AAAACGCGTCCCCCTTCAACATAAATGAAATTCGTGAGTTGTTTGCCGAGCATAAATTTCGGCATTAACATGCTCATTGCTCAGCGAATGGCAGCCGGACACGAACCAGGAGTAAACGCTCATGGATTTTGGCAACGGATGTCGGGGACGGGGAAAAAGCGGGTCTCCTTTGCACAATTTACGAGTCGTCGGGTGTAATAAATTAGCCAAAACTTGTTACGCAAACTGAAAATGCCAATAAAAAATGCGTTGCGAAAAACAGAGGCTAATAAATTATTGACCTCCTCCTTTAAGAGCCCTACTCTACTTGCTGTTTTTTGGAGCGATTTCGAGGAAGAATTACACTTATCCCGGAAGAGGAAAAAAAAAACAAAACTTAGACGACAGCATAGCCAACTTTGTTTTTACAAAAGTTACATTAAAGATTAAGGCAGATAAATGCTGATGTATTCAACTAAACTCTTCTTACAGCTTAGTTTAAACGCTGTTAATATAATATTTACACTGGATGGAAATCAAATCGTTTTATCTATGTTATTTTGCACAACCATAATTTAATATCTGACTGTTTGACCCCGTATTATGTAATCAATATGGAAAAAGTTTTATATTTAATGGAAAAAGTACTAGTGGGTAGAGCTAAATATTAGCTGAAAGGAAAAATAGAAACCAGGCCAGCAACAAAACCGAGATTCAATCAGTTTAATTAAGGCCAGGATATCTCTGTAATTGCTGTGCAACCATCAAACTTTTCAGGGCACACATTGCATTAGTTTTATTTGCACTACGCTTAAAAACGCACTGCACTCGAAGAGCAAATCAATTGAATTGGCGCAATGTTGCCAGGCAACTTTGACTGCAAAATCAGGATAAAAGGTGCAGCAGCACCAGCAGAGGAGCAAAGGAGCAAAGGAGCTGCAGCTGCTGCACAAGGATCTCATTGTTGCGCACAAACTTTAAAAACTTTTCGAGTGCCCATCCGACTTTATTCACTTACTCAGCTCGCCCAAGCCCTCCAGTTGACTTTGAGTGGCTTTTGGGTGTCTTTAATCTACTTCTGTGCAAAAGGAGACATAATCACTCTGCATATTCAACTTCCGGCAACTTATGAGCTTCGGTTTGCATTGAAACTCAAATCAAAGTTCCTCTTCGAGCTATTTGCACTGGAAATGCATTTGCCAGATCCCAGTCGATTTTAAAATTTCATTTTTTTCCTTTGGCCAGCACTTTAGTTTTGATAAGCCGAAAAAGTCTGCCAGCCTTTATGACTTTTTGGATTATAAGAGTCTTGTCTAAGGCAGTCATCTTATTTGGACCAGCTTCATTACAGATAATTAAACTTTTAAATATTACTTTTTTTTTTTTAAGTAAAACTCCTTTTTCATAGTTGCTTTAAATGGGTATTTTCAATTTCGAATCGAAAAACAAATTGTTTAGGAAATAAATACACACGTAACATTTCCTGTTTGCAAGCGGCTTTAGTAAAAGGATTAAAATGTATTTTATATTTGCCTAAGTTTCTCGTATTTATCAACAAAAATTTACAAAGTGCAAGGCATAAACATAATCGCCTAGGAAAAGGAAAGCTGGACCATTTGCATTTGCAGCTTAAGTTAATACAAATTGAGTTTCAAGGCAAAAACGAAGATGCATTTAAGCGGCTTTTGTTGAAATGAAAGTAATTCCCTTCGGTCATCTGTCGATAATCATTAATCCTTTTGGCCTCGATATTTTGCAAATAATTCGATGAAATATTTGAATATATTGCGTATACGCATCGTTTTCCCAGCAGGGAGCCGTAATTAAGTGCCTTAATGCACAGGAAAATCTACTTTCAACACACACATCACATACACACACATACAGAGACACACACAAATGGGATTTTTATCCAGTTAGGTATTAAAGGGACATAAACAATGAGTGAAACTGCAGCTGACAGCACGTAAATATTTATGAAATTTTCACAACAAACAAAATCTAACTAAGGCAAATAAATGCTTGCAGGCATAACCGTATTATAAACTGCAATCGAAGCCTTTACGCATACACACAAAAAGGACCCGAGTTTGGATAGTAGTAGGATGTTTGCTAGTGGGCTCTGGGAAAATACGATTCGCCGAGTGGGCAGGACACGTGCCGCCCTCGAGGACAATGTGACCGATATGCAAAAGTTCCGACCACAGCAACGGCAAAGTTGAACGAAAGGATGTGCTGACATTGTCCAGAGACAGCTACCTGTGATATTTTGTGAAATGCCAAAGGAAAACAAGAGGACCAAACCGAGACAGCCCCAATATGCACTGGCGATTGGGTGGGCGGGAATCATCTAGATACACACAGACATACACTCACCCTGGCACACTCGTATAAACAGGATTATGTGTCTCGGGGGTTATGTAAGTAAGCTTCCGTTGTAAATTGATTTTGTAGCAAGCCGGACACACTGAGGGAAAATGAAAAGGACTTTATCCACTTATTGTTGCCAGGGGTCGTGCTCGGCCACCACCTGAAACGGAAACTACATAAGTCCTCCGACCCATTCGTTTGCACAACTGCCGAATTTTAGAAGTACAATGGGAGTCACAAAACTATGAGTAAAATATGTTTTTCTAACTAATAGGAAGATTATTATTATTATTTGTCTAATTTATTTATATTTTTATTTATTATATTTATAATTAATCCCATCTACCAATAAACAAGTGACAGACTATATAACTTATCTGCAATGCTATTTTCTTGACCCTTCTTGTATATACTTAGCATTACATATTTGGGTCGTCGAAAGGAGGTCCGAAAGTTGCATGAATGAGTGAACTGCTATGTGGAAATATTTTTAATTTTGGCATAGCTCTGATTTGATTGTGTCTGGTTGAGGCTAGTCCTGCTGTTCGTCCTGAGAATGTTCTGTCCTTTTCTTCATCGTTTTATTGTTGTAAATTCTGCGGACTGGAGACAATTTTTCGCTTTGTTCGGTTGACATTTGCCGGATGACTGAAGTACGGGTTGACTATCCGCTATCTCTCTTCGTCCCTCTGTCAATGTCCATGCTTTTGATATTGATGTCCTTTGAAGTGTTTTCAATTAGTTTGCATTTCGCTTGTCGTTTTTCCTTCACTCCTTGGTTTCTTACAATGGTCTTTATTTTATGCTGGGTACTTCAAGGTAAGGAGAATATTTTAATTGCCATAAAATATTAAGTTAAGGGAACCTATATTTATGGCAGGAAAAAAGACAAATGACTTCTAAAAGGTGGACTATTTTTTCTAACCCATTTGAAAGCCTTTGGGGAATTTTTAGGTATCCCAAAGTCGGAATTCCCAACAATCTCATTTTTTCTCGTCTTGTTTTTGCAGAGGACAGCGGGCGCAGGACATATTAATAAAAGACAGACGACCAGGGGAATGCCCTGTGACCGTCTGCTAATTGAACGACGGACGTCGGACTCTCCAATCCGTCCGGGACTTGTCAGCTTTTGCGCCAAATGAGTTTCAAAGGTAAACGGGGAGCGGAAAGCCGGCAAATGCCAACTGCACAAACTGTCTACATGTGTCCCAAATTGGCGCTCAGTCGGATTAGCTACTTTTTGCTACAATCTGCACCTCTTTTTTCGCATTTCTACTGCATTCGTGGCAATTCGTGACAACTGCGAACAGGTGGCTGGCAAACATTTACGTAAAGTGTTCGTCCCTTTCTGCCTTTGGGATGGTCATAAATATTTGCGCTGGCTAATTCAGTGAGCATCTGTGTCGACCTGATCTTTGACATGCTTTCGGCATAAATTTGCAAGAGGGGAGAGGTTGATGGGGGTTGAGTTTTCTATTTCTAGTCCATTCCCCCAGATAGCCTTTATTCTATTCTATTTCTCGCATTTCCGTTCTCCGCCATCAGCATAATTTACTCGGACTTCCGCTCTGGCTCACCCAAAACCCCTGCTTGCATATTTTATGCCTTTTATCATAATTTATGCGTTGATACTGCAAATGCATAAAATTAAATTCAATTCACACACACGCACACAGACATACACACACACACACACACACACACACATCCATCCTTTTTGAGTTTTCCGAATGCATTCAATTTTGATTTTATGTAACTCCCTCTGTGGCCACGCCCCTTTCATTGCAGTGTCCATTTTTAGCTTAGAGCAAATGATGGCAGAATTTGCATAAATTGCATTTAATACTGGCTGCGTATCGATATGAATACTCCGGTGAGATCGGGCTATGCAAATGGAACTCATACGTGGCTGATTGGATAATTGCCGGTAATCAACAACAAAGCGTTTCTCTAACACGCACGAATTTCTCTCTTACGGGAAAAGAGTTAAAAAAATAATTGAAAATAAATATAAGCAACTATGAGCACATAAATATTTTATTAAATATGATTTAATTTCAATCAATTAAACTTTTAAGACTTTAATTGAAATGGAAAGAAATTACATTTTCGCAAACCGATACATATAGGTGATGATTCTTATACCATCAGGTAAATTTGTAGTTCATTTCAGTGATGGTAAACTCTTGTGGTTACGTGGGCGAAATTAAGGGCTGTGGGATTCGGATTTGGTTTATGAATATTTGATGCTACTGGATTATTTACCAAATCACATGTGTTGAAATGCTTAACTTGAGAAATATAAATAACAATTTTACAGTGCATCAATAAATAACATTTCGAAAAGTTGTTAAGCTTAGAAATTTTGACTCCGGACTGAAATGCTTATATTTAATTTCAAATGTGTTAAACAAATCTGTCTAACAAAGAACACAATCGGATTTTAAAAACAAAATCAAAATTCTAAGCTTACTTAAAAAGTTAAATTTGAGTACTTTAAAATTTTAAATATATATTTTCTCCTTTAAAACATTTTTTTCAGTGAATGTAAATAGTGGGGTAGCAGTTTTGTATGTGTTGTTGGGGTTTTGTCTATAAAAGGCGAGAGCTGTTATACATGCGTTTCATTTTGTAACCAAGTCAAGGGCAAGATGAGTCTCAATTTCTTAAAAAACAAAATATTTGCCCGGCAATCAGATGCCGCTGCGAAGCAAAAAAGAAACTATTACGTTGTGGAAGATTTTCTGTGGCTGCCCGTAATGTTTTATCATTCGATTGGAGTCGAACCCTATGTGCCCGAAACAAAGACCGAACTGTGGCTCTTGATATATTTCGGTTTCAATTTGATCAATACGACGATTGTTTTGTTAACGGAGCTCTGGTTTATGGTGGTCTCCTTTCGCGACAAGAAAAGTATTCTTGAGACTTGTATCATAGTGGGATACGTGTCATTCGTGGTCGTTGGATTTCTGAAAATCTTTACCGTGCTAATAAAGAAACAGAAGATGACAAAATTGGTGCGGCGTTTAAAGGCCTCCTTTCCGTCACAAAATGAAGAGGAACAAAAGAAGTACAATGTAAAGTACTATCTAAATAGATCCAACCTCTACATGAAAAGCTTCGGATGTCTTCTGGCGATCATGGTGTCAACCCACTGTTCGACTGCCTTTATCATTTATGCTTATCGAAGATGGTGGCTCCGTGTACCAAATGCTCAGCAAATTCTGCCTTTCTTCGATATGGCTCCCTGGAATTGGAGACAAAGCTGGATTTACTACCCGACTTACTTGAGCCAGTGTCTCGCCGGCTACACTGTCACCTGTGGAAATATATCCGGAGACCTCATGATCTTTGCCTCTAGTTTTCTCATAATTATGCAATTCGAAAGACTCTGCAAGGGACTCAAAGAACTGAATGTGCGAAACAACAAGGAGGCCGATGGTGCTTTGAAGGATCTGAGGGAGTTGAGAACCCTTGTCGCTCTTCACATCGATATTCTTGAGTTGAATACCTAAGCGCTTAAACTAGATCTAAAGCCTTATATATTAAATATTTTTCAGACTCATTGACGTGATGAACGAGGTATTTGGAATTCCCTTGCTGCTGAACTTTATGGCCTCCTCTATTCTCGTCTGCCTCTTGGGGTTTCAATTAACCCTCGAATTCAGCCCTGAGCAATTTGGCAAACAGCTTCTCCTCCTGATTTCTGCATTAGTGGAGATATACCTCCTTTGCTCCTTCAGCCAGATGCTTATCGATGCGGTCTGCTAACAATATTAATGCTAAACATTACAAATTAAATAGGTTTTTTGCAGAGTGAAAATGTCAGCTTTGCTGCCTATGAAATGAATTGGACAGAGGCCGACCGCACAGGTAAAAAAGTTCTAATTGTTTTGATGCTTCGGGCACAAAGGCCTGTTTGCCTTAAAGCCACCGTACTTTTGGATGTGTCCATTGAGACCATGAGCGCTGTAAGTTGAAAAAAAAATTTCAATGGTTTATATCTAAATAAGATTTTTTATCTGTTCATAGTTTTTGCGAATGTCCTATCGGTTCTTTTGTGCCATTCGAACAATGTACGGATAAATAAAGCAACGAATTACTCATTAAAATGTAGAACGCATAAGCAAGTACAGAAATGCAAGCTTTAAAAAATCTTTTTAAATAAATAATTCACCCAATATTCAATGAGTTCCCTGGTTCTTTTTTAGCAATTTCTGTCTTGGGTAATTTTACATTTTCTTACAAATTTCTTCACCTTCTGCAAAGAGTGTCTTTCTAATCTTGAAAGAGAAAAATTATTTAATTAAGAAGCACAAAGCTCTGGCGACCTCATCTCTAGCTCTATTCTTGCTCCTTGGCTCATTTTATTGAATTCGTTCGTGCAATAAAAATTTATTACCAGCATACCCAATCCGGCTCATTCCACGTAGACCGAACCGGACCGTAAAAAACTTCTGGAGTGAAGAGAAAGGAAGAAGTGGAGCCGGGATGGAAACTGATGATTTTATCACAGCCAGCAGTTTTTCAGCTTGAACTGTGGCAATGGCCTTTTATTCAATTTGCGCGCTTCATTCAAATTGTTCGCCGAGGGAAGAGAAGAAAGAAATGCAAAAGTTTCGGCCGCCTTTTGAACTTTTTGGCATTCGCCACCGATGTATTATTGAGTCAGTAAACCGCCCAGCTTGTTGCCAGTTAAGCCAAACTACAGCCGGCTGCTTTAATTTCAATTTAACAGGAGCGAAAAACGAATTGAGAGCCGAAAAAAGTGAAGACAGGGCGCCACGGGGCGCATAAAATGCGGCATTAATTTGACAGGCAACGTCTGGGTGCAAGGGCATGTGTGGAAAAGCTGAGCGAGTGTGGGGCCAACAAGGGGTTAAGAGCTGTCGCTTTTGGAGTCAAAAAAAAACAGAGTCGCGGGACCAACTTAACGCATCATGTGGCAAGATTGTGATAGGGATTCCCTGAAGGCCAACGGCGAAAAAAGATGATGACTTGACGCCTTCGCTTAAAGGGGAAAGAAGGCATAATATGAAAAACAAAATTATGGCTCTGTCATGTTAAAAATCTGAAATAAATATAAAAAGAGATTTAAAATATTTTAAAAATATTAAAGGTAAAAAAATAACACAAAATAAGAAATCTTTTTCTTATCTTTTCTTAAAAAGAATACGTATCTTTTCAGCAAGCGAACACAAAACTTTAGACAAATTTTACTCATTTGACAGCACAAAATTTAGGTTTTTTTTACATTTAAATATAAATGCCTCTCATATATTACGATCGAACGATTAACTCGGCTCAGGAGCTCATCTTGGCCGGTCTTCGAGATGCAACCACTGGCACTTCCCTGCGTGATTTGACTACGTTTGTGACGAGAAAAACGGGATTTCCGGGCGAAGTCTGCTTCAGAGTTATTGTGGATGCCCTCGAGGAGGGCATGGCCTGCAAGACCATCAGGGAAAAGGACGGGCTCTTCTACGACTTACCGCCAAAACCTCGCCGTCTGCCCGCTCGGCGAAAATGCAAAATACCGCAAGCAGAGCCGGCGAACGACTGTTGCGATAATTAATTCATAATGCCAAGAGTATATGCTCGAGTGGCCGAGGAGAGCAGCGCAAACACTTTATTAAAATTAAAATTTATCTAAATTGCGACAGCAAGCCATTCTATCCGCAAAGTACTTGAACAACTTCGTCTGACAATGACGGAAGGGTTGATGCCAGGCGTTCCCTCCGCAAAGTAAAGTGTCTGCACCCGCACCCGATATTTTTATTTTCTCCCATTTTCCCTTTATTTTTCTTTTTTTTGCTTTCTGGAAAGGTGCACTTCTTGTTGTTGCAGCGTCTTGTGTCTGTCAAACGTCAGTCTTGGCGTTCTGGAGCGTTGAAATTGAAAGCTCCGCTCGCTTTGTCTTCTGGCCAGGTGGAGCAAAGCCCCATAAGTTGCCACTGGTGGTTGGATGACGATGGCGATGGTGGTGGTGGTGGTGATGTTGATGGTGAAGGACTGGGCTCGGGCCTCTGCATTCTCAATGTGTCACTTTGATTTATTATTTTCGACAGCCCTCCCTACGGAGACCTGCTTACAGGACCCATAAGTCTAAGCAGCAGCACTGGAGTACATAAGCAAAAAAGAATAGGAGCACAAAATGTTGTCAAAGTTAGTAGCTTTCACTTTCAGGAAGTTATCTCAATTACATCAGCAGGAGGGAAAATTAAATATCTAGGGAATAATAATTAAAATAAATTTAATACTGGAAAGAATTTAATTTATATCTATTTTTTCTATAATGATTAACAACGCCATAAATTCAGAACAAATATTTGAATTTGTAACTACATACTTCATTATTGTTTTAGTTGATGCTGAAAGCTAATTAATAAATAACTGAAATTTACTTGTTTAAGTTAGTTGAAAAAAAACTGTTGAATGAATCCCGAAAATGTTAATGTCATGTTGTGTGGTATTTCCCTCAGTGCACCCTTTTCTTTGGCTGAACGCAACTCGAGCGCAATTTTTCATTTCCCCTTGCATTTTTTACACGCCCCTGCCACTTTGCGTTTTTATCTCATTTATTTATTTTACAATTAGACAAAGTGAAGTGCACTTCCACACGGGCAACAGCTGCACATGGGCCGCTGGTTTGTGGGTGGGATCGGAGATTGGGGATCGGGGTGGCAATCGCAATTCCAGCTGCAGTGGTAATGGCCGTGGCAACTGTTTCGCCATGTCCACGTCCATGTTGGGTGTGTACTTTGCGGCATGGCAGCACGCCAAGGAGTTCGGAGGTGGAATGGAAAAAAGGGATTCTTTTCGGCCTTGTGGCTGCCTTAAATCAAAAGCTTATGGGCAAACTGCTTAAAATTAACATTAAGGCTTAAGTATGCCATAGGCTCACGGTGCGCACAGATACCAGATACCTTCCTGAAAAGATACCTTCTCGCCAAGGTTGAGCTGGCAGGCTGGCAATAATCATAAAAGTAGCCCGCACACAAGTCTCTGGCAAACTTTTCACATCGACGAAACAAATGGCAAATGGCCTGGCAGAAGAAACACTTAAGCGCCAGGTAAGTGAAAACTCAAATAAAAATGGCAGGGCACCCCGAAAAGAAGGAGGAAACTTTTACAATGCGAACGCCGCTCCAGTTTGGGCTATTTTTGGGCATCAGAAACTTCGAGTTCCCCCAGATTCAATAAACCAACTGCTGGCATCTCTTAAAGGTTTTCTTATCGAAAGACTTTAATTCTGTTTTACTAAGGATAAACAGTAGATATTTTAGGGAAGGAAAAACTAAATAGTAGGAGATGCCTTTGCAAATTTAAATAGCTTAAATATATTAATTTAACAAGAATTAAAATGCTTACTTCTTAGTTAAAGAAAAATGTATTTGACCTATCGCAACAAACAAAAGCATTTATATCTGCAAATAAAACGAACTCCTTTTCTGACGTACATTGGGGTGTTTGCAGCAATATCCTTTAGAGCCTTTGAAGATTTCCTGGCTCCGCCTTGAGCTATGCAAGGCTTTATTTTTGCGGCGTCAGCTCTTTGAAGTCAGCACAAATTTTGATTGCAACCGGCCAGCGGCTGACATTTATAGCCATCCGCTCTGCACAATTTGGTCGCTTTGCCGGACTTCAGTTTGTCGAACTCCGATTATGAGTCTGTGTACGTCTAATTGCAATTTCGGCTTCATCTGGCATGTCTCGACTTTAAGGCACCGGGAAAGCTACAGAAGCAGTGAAAAAAGGGGGAAAAACTAAGGCAAAAAGCAAGTTATCATTGCATTAGCCTTTTCGGGGCAAAGTTGAAATGTCAACGCAAAGTCACACACAGACAATCACAGAGCAGACACTCACTGGTATACAGATTCATCGAGAAATATGCAAGCTGCGCACTTTTCCGGCTTCCCTGTTTGTGTTGCCTTTTTAGCCATTTTTTTGCTTTTGACTTTTCAGAAAAAAATATTTAAAACTTGAACACAACTGTTTAAAAATTTTTTGTTCGAAGATTGTTTCGGTAGATTTTTAATGGGTTGGTGCTCAGAAGATCTAAGGCACCTCAGATGTCACTATTAATTTAAGTACAATGCATATGTAATATTATTTAAGGCCCAATGAAATTAAAATGAAACAGAAAATGCGGAACTTACACTTTGCGGTTTTCTACTGAAAACTTTTGTGGTCAACCATATGTGCCATATTGGCAAAACAATCCCTAATAAATATTAATAAAGGTTCTGCCTTAGATAAAATATTTATTTCAACTGGTTTGACAAAACTAATTTTGAAACAACATTTTCCAGATAAATAATTCCATTTTATCTTACGATAAGCAAATCAAATTATTAATAGTTAAAGATTTAGCTCCCTTAGGACTCATTTAAATTAAAATTTAATCTGCTCCTTTTACACTTTGGGAGCACATAGGTATGCACTCGTTTTTTTTACAAACTTTTCCCAAACTGTGTGCAGCACTGTTTGTCCCCAAAAACTCACTGGACAGCAGAAGTCGAAAAATTTTTGAAATGCGACCCAATTTCGTCGTATCGCAACATGGCAGAGTTCGACACATTTCCGCACCTAGACAAAGGCGGGGAAAAGGAAGCTCGGCTCGCTGACATTCTGTCGAGCTGTGCATTTCGGCCATGTGCATGTCAGGGTTGTGCTACCCCATTTTGCCCCCCTTTTACCCCCTTCTGCCCCGCCCACGTGGTTGTCAGCCCACTTTTCACGGCCCAGTTGAGCCATCCGTCAGTTCGATTTATGTCACACAAACAGGCAAACTCACGTGAGTATTTGCGTTTGCTAATTAACAAACGTTTGGTCTCATTTCGAGCCAGGGACATTTTTGGCGGCCAAAACTGACTAATTACGCCGCAACGTAATCAAGTGACACGGATAGTGCACTTCATCAGCAGCAGCAAAATATTCTGTTTAAACAGTTTACCACATCCATGTACAAAAAAGTTGCAAACAAAGCAGATAAAAAAACTTTAAAAATGGTTTCATATATATTGCCACAACTCGTTGATTTAATGGCTGTAAAGGGTTATTCATTGAACGCCCGCAGGATATTTGAGTTTCATAGAAGCTTCAACTGATTTAAATTTTAAAATTCATTAACATCCTTTGAACAGCAGTCTACGGGCATCACAATGAACAAAATAAAAGTGTAAAACAAAAAATCCTAATATTTAAAGCGTTTAAATTCACATCAATATAAATTATGCACAAATTGTGTAATGAATATTTTGTTGTAAATTACCAAAATGCCCTTAATCACATTCTCTGTTGTATAATTTTAAACATGTTACAATTTTAAACATATACTCATTTATAATAAAGATGGTAATTTGTTCATTAAAGTACTTTGGTCAAAAATGGTGTTTGCAATAAATAATAAATAATTATATTAAAATAAATCAGCTAAAAATCAGTTCTTTTGAACTTGTAAAACAACTGAATACGAAATAGAATAGTATTTCGCCAAGAGTAATTTTATCTTCGCTCATTAAATTTTGTTTATGTTTTTATGTGTTGTTTGGAGGTCCTCTTTACAAGCACTAATTCCCGTAATTAATGTGAAATTGCGATAATTAATCAGCTCCTTGAATTGATAATTACTAAGGTCCAATTTGTGTGTTCACTAATGCATTGGGTCGTATTTCAATATGGATTAGGCTTCCAATTAGGAATCCTGGCTTCCCCAAAGTGATCCCGAATAAATACATTTTAATTTTGTCGAATGGCTACTAATTTAAAATCTCACCTCGTACCTGATTAGTTTGTCTTCCATCAGAGCTTCTAACAATCTTGCCGAAAACCTCAAAAAACAATTACCAAATAAAGCAAAAACGGGCCTCTTTAGCACAGCATGGGCTGAATGGTAGGCAAGCCAAACAATTCACAACAGAAACGAAAACGAAAACAACAGGAAATCAAAAAAACAAAAGCAGCTTCGAGTCAAATGCGAAATGAAAGGACATTAAACATGAACGAGCATTGTGGCACAAAGTAAATGGCAGGATTAAAACGGCTCATTCAGTCTCTGGCCATGTGTGTTGGTGTGGGAGTCCCCTGACCACTCACACTCACCTACCAGCGACACACACACTCACACACATACACAGGGGATGCAGGAACAAACCACCACCCACCCATTTGCCACCCAGCTAGGATCCAGCCTCAATGCCGCCACTTAAGCAGCGCTACGTGAGCCAAGAGACACACACGCAAATAACTGCGGGGGTAGCTTTTAATTATCTCGTTATTTTTTAATTTCCACCATTTCACTGATTTCATTTTGAGCACATCGAGCGCGACGGGCGGTCGGCGTTCTGGCCAGAAAAGGAAGAAGATGTGGACGAAGTCGCTCCGTAATCCCGACGCCATTCGAACCTGCTGAATATGCAGAAAAGAAGGACCTTAAGACGCGACTAATTCGCAGCTCGCTTATTTTGCCCAGGTTGTTGTCTTAGCGGCACACAGAAAAAGGTTTTCATAAAAGAAGTATAAACAAAAATATTTTAAAAAAAGAAAAACAAAATATACAAATTGTACAAAACATTAACCTTTTTATTATAAAAACTTTAATGAGAATATCTTAAGTTATATTTTATATTTCGCAAAAACAAACTCATAACCATTTGTGCAAATAACAAAAAATGTAATGTGTGTTTTACCAATTTTTTAATGCTTTGCCATTTTTTTCATCTTTTTCAAACTAAAGTAAAGCTTATCTACATAGACAGAAACTTTGTTTCATTTTTTCCTGTACAACAATAATTTGTTTACGCTCTAATGGCCCGGCCACTTGGAATGGCTCTTAAAGCCCCACAAAAACGACGGTGGAGTGTAAAGTGAGCTGAAAAACAATTAAGTCAGCTAGGTAGCCCACCGACCCCAATCCCCCAATCCACCGACCTGTCGACCCTCCACATTAACATCAAATTAGTTCGTGGATTAACACGTTTTTCACATGCCGGTGGCGAAAGGGGGGAAGGTGGGGCAACTTCAGGAACCCAAGCTCTATTACGCATACGACACGATGCCGGGCGGGCGGCCTTTTAGTTCGTCAGTTCTTTAGTTTACCTACCGAGTGCAGCGAATCGTGTGGAAAGGCTTACTACACTAATTATACTCTCGGATGGCCTTTATTTTCGGGGACATAGCTAAAAATACTTTAAAGTTTATTATTAACAAGTGAAACTTTTCCAAGAGCAGGTGTCCCTTTCATGCCGAATTAGGGATTGAACAGATTGCGACAGGAGCGCTCAACGTAACGTTAAATAAAACTTGGAAAAAATAGATGTACTTGATTTTATATTTTTATGGTTATATTATGGATTAATAAATAGTTTTTGTACTTATATACTTGGCAAATATTGAGGAAATTAACATCGTTAATCTGAAACCCTAAACACATTTTTATGAATGATTTAACTCACATTGAAAATATTATTTTTCAGTTTCAGTTCATTAAAAACATAGCTAAAATAACTTATAATCAAACTTTCAATGCTATCATTTTCACTCACACTGTAGGTATATTTAAATAAAGTTTTTTGTTCGACCTGGCAAAGTTTGCTGCTACAAAATAGGCTTCATTGCTCTTTTGTCATGCCCGGCAGAAGCTGGGAACATATATAGTCGCATATCTTGGAGCTAAAATCAGTGGCACAATGAGCATATTGTGTGGCTAAAAAATTTAATGCTTACGTGCCTGAAATATCTACGGAGCCACAAAGGATGCGATTGCAGCACATGAAAAGGATATGTGAGGCGCATCGACTCTTCGGGCAGAGTTCATAAATAAAGAGTCCGAGAATCTCGGCTTTTGGCTTGGTTTAAAATAAAAGTTGCTTGCCGTCGCTGAAAAAAGAAAAGAAGAATTGCTTCGAAACTGCAGCACTATAAAGAAAATCGTTTACTGATTTACTCGCTGTGGTGTTTTGGGAAAAGGGGAAAATGGGGAGAGATGCGAAGGGAGAACGCTGCAACTAATAAAAGTTTTCGCTGTTCGATGGCGCGTAGGGTGGTGTGCCACGCCCACCAACACACTGCCGCCCCTGGTCATCGGTTGAAATGTTTGCTGTTGTGGCTTTTCAACAATTTCGACGCACGTCCAAAGGGGGCACTACAAAAAAAGAACTTAATCCGGCCAGCACTTTAATAATGAGATTTATATTGAACTGAAATTGATTGCCTGCAAGGGAGTCAATAAATGGTCTCTTAAAACTAGATATTTTATTCTGGCCTCATAAAATTCCAGCCAAGGATTTCGATAGTGCTTTATTTATTTGTTGGTTCTAGCACTGTTTTGCTCAATTAACACAAGTATTTACAATATGGTAAAGTTTTTGCATTTTAAGAACAAATTTTTAATTTCATTAAAGCTTTTATTAAAGATAACAATAAATAATAATATGTTAATAGTTTTTTTTAATGGTTTTGTAGCTTTTACTTATTTAATAACATCTAAAAGAAAAATTCGTAAAAATCATACAATTCAATTGAAGCATTAATTTTACGTCTGTTTTGCATTTTTATGGCCTTGTAAGTTTTGTTAGCACTCTCCTTAGGTTGAGAAGTTTCTATTAATATATGTTTTGATTTAAAAATCCTCAAAAATTTATAAAATATTTCCTCCTCCAGCACTTTGCGTAAAATAACACAGTTTACAAAGTGTGCATTATTTTTACACTGCTTTTCTACAAGTGTGCTTTCGGTGCCATCTAGCGGAAAAACATTCTTCCACTGCTTTACAAAAAGGAGCACTGCTTTAGATTAACGGCAAAAACGGGAGTTTTTATTTGCTGTTTGTTGTGTTTTAAAATATATATTATCTATTTATTTTAACTCTGTAAAGGTGTACATTTTTAGATTTGCAAAACAATACATGAATAACAGTATATGCTTTAAATGCATTGAAATTTTTATTAAACAAAAATTGTTCAGTAATGTATATTTGAATTTTTCCTACCACTAAACGATTAACATTTTAATGTAATGCTTTATTCTAAATGAAATTCACCCAACAAACATTTCCAGCCTTGTGCTTATGTTAGATTTACTGCATATGCAATAGGAGAAATAAATCATTAACTAACAAGTCTTTGGCACGGAAAAGGAAATGGAGCCCAGCAAGACAAGCTCTACGAAAACAACTCCTTTCGATAGTATCATTTCCTGTTTGGGTTCAGTCCCCCAACTAAACCCAACCAGCGCCAAAAGAAACGCAATTAAACTGGATAAGTAACGTCCAGTACTCAGAACACCGCTGCGAAAACCACTCAAGAAAATCTCCGACTACAACCAGCGGAAGTGACAGTTTGCCATTTTGCACATATTCAATTAGGTGGATTTGCTGGCGAGATAAATTGATTAATTTGCTCGTGCAAATCAAACAATCGCACAACATCCAACGTATAAATACAACAAGAACTCTGCAATCTAGAACCAGTTTCCAGCAAACAAACGTGTTGTCAACTGACTTTTTCGAGAAACCCAACGCCCACGCCTTCGTCGTTGCCAAACAATTGACTACCGGTAAGTGTCAAGTACCGCTCCTACGTCACTGGTCCAAAATCTTAAGCCCGGCTCAAGTGTCACGCCCACAAAACCTCTGTGACGTATGGGCTTTTATCCATTAGTCATTTGCCGGCGCGTGTTGCCAATTAGTTAGGAAACATACAATTTGTGTCGCATAAAATTAACATAACTAAAAAATTTCCCACGCTTTAGTTGATTTTGATATCATTTTACATATTTCGTTTCGCGTGATTCGCTTCGATTAAATTGTTAACGAAACCAGTTGCCGGCGTGTCCGGTTGGAGGCAGGACAAAAGAATTCTTATTTATTTATATTTTACTGGGGCGTAAGTTATTGTTGCGGCGGCATCTGGTCTTGGATCCGTTCTACGCTTTACATTTAAGGCATGTTTTTACTGCATTTACAGCGCCATTAATTAATGGGCTCGCCAGTCGCATACGATTTGCATTCATTACGATTTCAGATCGGTTCGGCGGTGTCCGTTCGCTTGACACTTCCTGTTACTATTCCTGTTACTCGAAAAGAGCTTTTAGCTTCAGCTACTTTCTTTCCAAGTTCGGTGAATTTTTTATAATATGCTCTTGAAAATCGGGGAAATTTCTAAAGTCATGCGTTTCAGGAATTTACCATAATCAGTTATCAGAAAAGCTTGTTGAGCAGGGCATCTAATAATAGTTTATAGTTAATAATAAATAAAGCACAAAGTATATATTTTTTTAACTGCCAAATATTTTTTTCACCAATGTATAAATATACTGAAAAGTACATGTATAAAGTAAAAGGCAACACTATTTTCCTATTTCTATTTTTATTTTGATTTTTTATTTAATTAGATCTTCGTTTTTGTCATTCCACAAATTCCATTTGAAAAATACCTACTGCTCATCCATTCATCGCCTATTAAAATGGTCATAAAGCGAGTGTTAATTATGCAAAACTGAACAAACTCTTTTCTGTGGAGAAACATTTGTTGGGTTTTTTGCGTGGCGCTAGCGAATTTGCATACGCTTACAACTATAATAGATATTTGATTGAGTTCGTATTGATTTCGATTGGCTCAAAGATCTGACGTATTTTAGCGCCAGTGGGGCTGGCTTGTCGGGCGACTCGCCTCGCATCTGCGACCGGCTTCAGTAGTTGCTTTTTTATATTTTGTTTTTTTTTTTTTTATTTTGCCTTTTTTGTCTCAGGCTTCTTTACTCTGTTAAGCTTTCGCATCTGCGTTTGGGCCGAGAGCATATGTATATAAAATAAGAAGACAAACGAGCGATAATAATTATTTCCACTCCGCTCTAGACAGACAACGGTCGCAAGCCAGTCAGCTCTCCAAATCGATTGGTATTTTATATCTGAAAACCATCATCATGAACTGCAAGCCCTTGATTTTCTTCACCGTGGTGGCTGTTGCACTTTGTCTGGTGCATTTTGGAAATGCACTGCCCGCTATAAGCCATTATACCCATAAGCGATTTGGTAAGTCAAACTAAATTATATCATATTGAAATACGTTATTATAAATATATTTTGTACTTTTTTTATTTTGCAGATTCAATGGGTGGCATTGATTTTATTCAGGTTGGTTACTAGTTATTATTCTAATAGCCTTGAAAATCTCTCTGATAAGATATAAATATAAATAAATTTTGAATATATAAAGGGATATTTTTAAAATCCTTTTTAATATTATTATTGTAAAAGCCTTTTATTGATTGCATTGAATATGAAAAAAAATCAATTTTAATGATCCAAATTTAGTTTACAATAATTTATTTTTGATTTAACAGGCACGAAAATAGAGTTCCGCTTAACACTTTATCATTTTATTGAAGTACTTTATTCCCTTAACAATATTTAATTTATTTAATTGATATTCAACCGACAAAAAACTAATTTACTTGTATTTCCTAAACAGGTGTGCCTCAATAACTGCGTGCAGTGCAAGACCATGCTGGGTGATTACTTCCAAGGACAGACGTGCGCATTATCCTGCCTGAAGTTCAAGGGCAAGGCGATCCCCGACTGCGAGGATATAGCCTCCATAGCTCCGTTCATAAATGCGCTCGAATAAGCCGAAGAAGAAGCGCTTCTTGGCGGTGTGAAGAGTGCGGTGTGTGTGGAGATGTGTGCTTTTATGGCCTGTGACTCAGGTGTGGATTTGGGTCAATGCGATGCTCAACACGATGCTCAAGTCTTGGCGATCTTGGCTGCTGATGTCGACCACAACGATGATGAAATGACTTTGCTAAACAACTGACTTCCCAGCGCGAAACCAAAGAGTTCCTATTAACTTGTAATTGTGTAGAGAATAAATAAAATATTTAAAGAAAATTTAACAATTAACTTTATTTACTCTTTGACTTTATCACCTGTCACCGGAAAAGAAATATGCCACTTTTTTTGGGTTCACAAATATGTATCATAAAATAAATAAAATCAAAGATACATACTTACCAATACATATATAGATGCATTTTTGTAAAATTTGTTTTTAAATTTTATTTAAAAATTACTTGCATATACAAAAACTTACATCGAGATTTCTTTATAAAATTATTTCCGTTTCTTTATCGATTTTCCGATTGCTTCGATATGCTTTAACTTATTCGCTCTATTTCTGCTATTTAATAATAATATATACAGAGAATGAATGGGTTTCATGCACGGAAATGCTGGAAAGAGCTCTGAAGAGAATGACAGTGTCAAAACTACTGACTGGCTATAGAAACGCGGATGTGTGGGCAAAGACTAGTTAAGAGACTAAGCGGTGAGAAGAGGAAGGATATAGAACTATAGAAGGCAGAAGGTACAGATGTGGAGTCCAAAAAATGAATCGAGATTGTTCAACAAAACGTGAAAAACACAAATGGCAATTACTTCCTAAAGTTCAGCAACGTATCGGGTATTTCATTGATGTAGTTCTAAAATATTATATACAAAAGATATAAGCATTTTGAGTGTGAAAATCAGGATGGTAAACTTACATAGAGAGAAGGATCCACGCCATGACCGCCATAATCCGCCCATTTAGTCAGATCGATAGAGGGAATGATACCGCTCTTGCAGGGAACACGTGGATTACTAAAGTTTATGAAACATAAATTTAAGTTAAGAACAAGCTTATTTTATTTAAATGCTTAATACTTACATTTCATGATCCGGCAATACCATGGGATATATCTGCACAGTATCAATCAAATCGGTGTTGTCGCAAATCAAACGGGAGAGTTTCGCCTTGCGAATTTCCTGAAGCTGCTCGGGTGTGAATGATGAGGGCTGATTGGGCAGCTCATACCAGAAACGATCGCCACGTCGCAAGTAACTCATCTGGGTGGCAATAACACAGGCGAAAGTGGGTCCCAACATCGAGCCAGGAAGTGACTTCTCAGAAACACCGCCAGACCAAAGATCAATGTCAGCAGGGTGTCTAAAAATATAGATTATTATTAGTAAGATATTCCTATTTTCAATAATCAAAGAAACCTACTCAAATATACTGCCATATCGCAGTACAGTCTCATTTGGCATGGATCCATACATCTCATCCCAAGTATTTGAGGTTGGCAGTCCGCAGAATTTCCGGAACTCCATGTAACCGGGAATACCGAACTCCCGACCTCGCTGCATATTAAAGGACACCAGATCCATTCCGAATCTGGCACCCTCTTTCTTGAAGAGATGATTGGTAACCTCCTGAGTAATTGAGTCATCCATAGCCTGGGCCACCTGGTTCATCAGACCCATGAAGTACTCATCCAGGACTCCAGCACGGTAAAGATCATAAGGCCTCCTAATCAAATCCGACAGACGTTTCGAGGCAATGAACTTGTGGGCCTTGGACCAACGTTCCACTGCAGTTGGCAGTAGGGAGTGACCAAAACGGAAAGCAGCTCCGGCGAAAGAGTCAATAATGCCGGGATTCACTGTATGATCGTAGCCATCCCAGTAGCCGTCTTTCTGGAGAACCAAGCCAAACTTCTCCATCACTTCCTTCCCCAACAAAATGGGCAAGAATTCGTTGAAGGTGACGTGTTGCACAATGGCGATATTGATGCGTCTGGCTTCCTGGAACAAGGTCTCATCATCCCAGTGCTTGTTGATCTGCGACAATCCGGTGGCCAATCGATTGTGTTCACGGGCCATCAAGGTGTGCATGCAGGTGAGCACCAGTTGCTCGTTCACTCGAATTTCGCCTCCCCTCGAAACAGTACATGCTCTTGTTGGGACGCGTGCATCCTTCATCTGGAATATCCAGCTTCAGGGGCAGCAGATCCTTCAGGCCGTATTCCTGAAACACGGGATTCATACGCATCAGTCCCCCATAACCAGTCCTTAGCTTCCTGGCGAATGCTTCCTTCACGCCGTAAACTGTGTTGGCATCAATGACCCCGGTTAATGTGTTGAATTGCTGACGGGAACCTGAAAGAAAGAGATTTAATATTTTTAAGTAAAATAGTAAAATAAATATAATATTTTTATTGTAAATTTTTTTTTTGTTCTACGCTTGATAATAAAAAACCTCACCCAATTTGCAACCTGGACGAGGAGAGGGGAATCCTCGCACGAAATCAATGCACTTGACATTAAACAAACGGTAGAAGTAATCATCATCGGGAATGCGGATTTCATTACAATAAGGATGCTTCAGGTGCAGCGGTCTCTTGCAGCACTCCTCGGGGTCATTGCGGTTAATTGGATCTGAAATCAATTAAAATTTATTTATAGGGAGTTGTCAAGTTACACAAATTAAAATTTTAAAATTTATCGAATGACCTTTTTATATTAGAACAAAGGCCAAAACTAACATAAAAACGTATTTTGCTACTTTGCTTTGCTAGTTTCCTGAATTTAAGCATACAAGCAACCTTACCCAGAGGAGTTCCCGTGAGGGTGAAGTCGTGATCCATGAATTGTCCCCAGGCGATGACCATCACGGTGCCCGCATGATCGTGGAATCCATCATCGGGATGCATCGTACGGGAAACAACTCGGGAGAAGGGAAGATCTCGACCAGTTACCGATATCCTGGGAGCATTAATTCCGTCCGAGTATAGTGGCCCAATCAGGCGTTGGAATGGAGCATTCGCTGCTCCCCAAGTTGGATGCTCGATGTTGTTGCAAAGTCCATCGAATCGACGGTATTTTCCAGGTCGACACTCCACTCCAGCGAAAAAGGGTGGACACACCTCTCGAATCAGAGTTTTCGAGGTATCAATCGTGGGTAATCCCTTTTCGATTTCTTCATACGACAAGCCATACCTTAAAAAAATAATTATAAACGGACTTGAGTTTCCAGTCAAGTATAATTATCTCTGCATCTTAACGCAACTGCGGATATCGCTTAACTTGGGTCTTTCCTGCCGCCAACTTTTCGATTCCCCACACTTAAAAAAACGGACTTTAAGTTCAATAAGTAAATGAAAAATATGTACCAAAACATCAATCAAATCACCAATTATGCATGAGTTAGTTTAAAAAAATCATTATTATTCAACTTATAAATAAAAGAGTATAAGTATTTGTAAACACTTGATTCTTTTTTTGTGTGTACTCTTCAGATTTTTATTGGTAAATTGCAAAATTATCGTGTTAGCCCAGTTAGTAAGCGGGCCGCAATTAACGCGCTTTTGGCCTGGCCGGCAAATCTGCGACAGATATTGATGTTGACGCCTGACGTTGACAGTGGCAAATTTTTATACTTTCAATTGGTTTTTGATTTGCCATTTTTCTTCATTTTGTTTTTTTTTTGGCCTGAGACTTCAGAGTGCTGACAAACTGGTATGTAGTTGGCGGAGGAAGTTGTGAGTGCCGGCACATAAATCGCCAAAGGGAACGACATTAACTCTTCCTCGAGTGCATGAGAAAGCGAGAAAAGCCAAAGGGAAACTGCGTCCGGCTGGCCATTGTGTGAAGTTGGGAAGTGGAAAACTGTAAAGCTTCACAGCCAATTGGGTCTGCAATTTACTCTCGAGAAAGTGCCAGAAAAGTAGAAAAGCAGAAGGGAGATCTTGAAGAGCGATATCTTTCAATCGCCCATCATTGATTTACATGCGCCATTCGCCGCTTAAAGATGTCTCATTGTTTTCATAGAATGCCATAAAGCCAGGCAGTCGTTGCATTGGCCGTTTACAACGTGTTATTAGCCATAATCAAGAGATTATACAACGGCAATTCAGTTGTTGCAGGTGCAACAGTGGAAGATGCTGCCCCCTGTCTGGGTTGAAAATCGTCTAAGACGGCGTCCCGAGTGAAAGTCGTGGATGGGGAGTTGATGACGATGAGCACAGGCTCCCCGAAACTCCCAAATTGTGGCCAACTGACTCGCCAACCCGCTTACCCAGATTCCACTCCCCACACAAACAAAAAGTTTCCCCAAATTGGCCATAAAACTTATATATGCACACACATAATGGCACTGTCTTCAAACTTGTGTATTCTGTGTGCTATGAAATTTAAATACCTCTTTTAGGTTGTTTAATTTTTAAATACCAGAATTCTTGTCTGTAATTATCTGAAAGAGGTTTTACCCTTGAAATATGTTAATGGGCTTCCCCCAATTTAAAATACTTTCTATTCAATTCAAATAAAATTGTTTACATCCTTTTAAAAATCCTTTTCCAATATCTCCTAATTTTTTTGTTCATCCAAGTGGCAACAATAACATCCAATTTGGTGATACATTTTCTCGCTGTGCGGCAGGCAATCCATTGGCCAATGAAACACATGGCAGAAAAAGGAAAACCAAACTGGAAACGCTGAGCGGCATCTTCCGCAGCTTCTTTTCGAGAGGGGGAATTGGAGAGGGGGAGGGGAGGATGGCATCCAGCGGAGGGGCAAGTCACGCGCACTCTCACTGGCTTACTGGCTCACTGCTCACTGGCTGTTTGCGAAGCGGTCCGTTGCATAATCCCAGTTTGTTTACATCTGTGCTGCGAGCTCCGCAAATAGCTGCAAATATTTTGTGTGGCAAAAATGCGGTTGCGCCAGTTGGGAAGAAGAAGGCTTCGACGAGCTCTCGAATGCACTTCTTCGGCTGTCAGCCACTGGCCATCAGTCAAAACCCCAGACAATTAGCATTTGCATGTGCCGAACTTTCAAAAAAGAACTGGCGCACACCGAAAGAAAAACCAGATTACAATTGCATTTTAAGAACTAGTTCCTGAATATTTCGAATATGAACATTTTCTTTTGAATATATGAAATGTTAATTTCATAAACAAATTTATATTTTCTCTATCTCATTTCTCGTCTGATTAATAGAATATATAAAATAAACTCCTCAAAACTGTTGTAACTAATTTGTTTCTGTGCTGACGTATTTAAGTTAGATTTTCGATTTTTGGCGAGCGTAGAACCTTGGAGGCTTGGAAAGACCCATGCATATTTGATGACTGCAGGCGGTCTTTTCGGTGGTTCAGTGGTGCAGTTATTGGTGGTGCTAGGCTGTGTGGTGCTGTGGTGCACGACTTAACTGCCTTGTCATGCGTGATTTGGCAATCGTTATTAGCGCCGAGGGAGATGGAGATCGTGGGCGTGCCAGGGCAACTTTCAAATGCGTTTAGCGCTGATTACTTACGTTCGGGCCAATTGAATGGAAATGTCGAGCAGCAGTTCGCCCACGGTGGCCAGTTCCTCCGGCTTCCAGTCGGATTTCGGTTGAGCCACATCTGCAGGAAACGCATGATTGCTTTATAATCGGATAATCATGTTTACAATTAAGATTTCATAAACCTAAACTTTGCTAAACTGCACTTAGGCCTTAGGCTTTCACATGTTGTTAGTTATTTAGTTTTACCTTGGCTTTCAGTGCAGTCAGAACTAACTAATTTGGTAGTTATTACAACATTTACATATCTTGGTACAAACTTAAACCATTAAAAAATGTTGACCGGCTAGTTTTGTTAGTTTCTAAGCTTAAGAGGTTTTTTTTATCGATCTCGGATTGCAATAAAACAAGATTTGCTTACGTATACGTTTGCGTGCATCCAAGTAGGCCGCATTGATGGCATCGTATGTGATGCAAGTGCCCGGTCCATTGTTGTAGGGGTTCCTGTAAATAGGTTAAAGTGAAAGTGATTTAGATTGACAATAAAAGACGATTTGTCGCTTATCACATGCTAACCACACACCAAACCCACGCTTTCTAGGAAGCCTGCGCACTGGCAGATAATAAAATTATTGCCGGGCCACTGCGCTAGAAAGCCAACTTTCAAATGAAGAAGCGTTTTTTGTTCAGTAGAGAACTTAACTCGGTCGAAGTAACACCGTCAGGATGAAGAAAGAAAAAGTTGTAGAAGCTCGCAGTAGACTAGGACAAATATTAGATTCCCATAAACCCGATTATCTAAGTAGCACACTTCAGAACCTGTTGCCAAATTCCTGCAAAGGGTTTCAGTGCAGTAAAAAGTTGGCCAAGAGGATAAAGCTAGTATTGGTAACAATTGTTATTATACTCGGCGTGAAATACTATTATGAAGAAATGCAGGGAAAGGTACGTTTAGTTATTGTTAACGTTCTTCGCACTTGAGCATACAATTAAAATAATTTCAAATTATTATTTATGTATAAACATTTTTAGAAATGTGCACTTTCTCTGCCACCTCCTCTGCGTTATGCGTTTCGACCGCCCGAAAGTTGTGATTTCTGTGCAAATATTAAAAATGTCCCGCGACTTCAAAATATAAACCCTCAGGAGTTCGAGAAAAAATTCGCATACAACGCGGCTCCAGTAATTATTAGTGATGCCACAAAAAATTGGACAGCAGTTTCGGTAATTATTGGGTTTGATGGGTGTTCTGGAAAACAAATAACCTTGGTAATATTTCAGTTATTTAACTATTGGTACTTTCGCGATGTTTATGGAAAAGCCAAGCAAAAACAACAAATAAAAGAGTGCCAATTCCTGCCTTATAAAACGGGATTTTTCGATATTTACGATGCGTTGGATATGGAAGAGGATCGGGTGGAGTTAAAACCGGGAGAACAACCATGGTATTTTGGCTGGAGCAATTGTCATGCAGAAACGGCAGAGGAATTTCGAAAACACTACGGAAGACCATACTTTCTGCCTGAAAGCTCAGAAAATAACGCCGTCGATTGGTTTTTCATTGGAACCTCTGGTTTGGGAGCACAAATGCATGTAAGCTAAAAGAATTATTGATATCTTAAGTGGATTGTTATTATCATCCAACATTTGTATTTATTGATTTAGTATCTTGTTTTTGAATGGCAAATTCAACTAAAATTTCGCAACACTTTAATGCCTAAATAGCAATGGATCATGGCCACCAAATATATAAGTCTGCCATTCTCAGCTCTTTGCGGCAAAAATAGCAATTAAAAATGTAGTTGTTGGCATGCATTCACAAATGCAGTTTATTATCTATAAAACTGTATTATTGTTTTTTACGAGAGTTCATAGCATAAACTTTTAACAAATATAAAAAAGCAAAGGAGGTTTTGATGAATTTTGAGACTCTTATATCATATTGCATGCTAATTATATTAAATTTAATTTGAAATTAATTTAAATATGAATTTGAATTTGTGTTTATTTATATGTTTCTTATTTTATGTCGGCTCTTTACCACATTGCAGATTGACAACGTGAGGTTGCCGTCGTGGCAGGCTCAACTGGCGGGCAGCAAGCGATGGCTACTGGTGCCACCTCCCGAGTGCTACTTGCAATGCCACAGCTTCGATGTGGTGGTCCAGCAGGGTGACATTAGTGAGAAGCTCCTCGAAATAACCTCCAAATGCAATTACCTTAGAGCTCCCTTTGCAGTTGTGCTGGACACGAACAAATGGTACCATCAGACCTTTGTGCAGCCGGGAGCCATCAGTTTGACCATTGGAGCGGAGTACGACTAGATTTAACCGGCTGCGGGCGGTTTTCCTCGTGACAGGAAACGGCTGCCCCGACATCTCCATTTGGCTTAGCCAACGAACAAATATGGCCAACTCTTAGTGTTACAGTAACAAACTTAACTTTAACATTGCCATATTACTCTGCTTTTGCCAGCCGGTTTGTTAATTAAATGCCAAAAACACGCAAATTTCTTATGTCGAGCAGCTGCGACTCCGCAGCTCGGGAAAATCTATCCAAAAATGGGGGCCACAGCCACTTCCTCGAATGGTGCGACATGTAAAACGCGTGTCAGGCGACAACGATGCGTGTTAACAATGCGTAAGTATTAAGTAATTACAACAACAGCAGGAGCAACTGCAGCCGCAGCAACAGCAGCAGCAGCAGCAGATCCAGAAAATAGCCCACAAATGCTCTGCAGAGACATTGGCAACTCACGCAATGCGAAAGCGATTCGGCTAAAAGCAACATTTTTCACGAACTTGCAGTCAGTTCACCCTATCGTTGGGTAATTTCCCTCTGCTTTAAAGTTTCCATTTAAAAACTATTCGGGAAATTTAAGTGAGCCATAAAATGAGGCTTTATAGCATAGCATTTAATAATAAAGATCTTTCGATTAACAGTTTAACAAATTTAATTTAAATGAGTTGATGGACATTTAAAACTATCTTAATGCATAGTTAAATGGTAAATCTTCCAATGGGTGATAAAACAATTAACCTCTCATTAAAACCAATTATTTACGTTAAGCCTGTTTTCCTTTTTATTCCTGCTATGGGCATACAATTATAGATTAAGAGAACATAAAACGTTAGTAATGAAATTTCACTATTTTAAAGAGCACTCCTTTGTCGGCATTACTGCGTCACAGAGTGCGTACATATTTCTTGGGCAAATTTGTCAAATTGAAATCGAAAATGGCAATGTCTGGCACTTAACTGGTCTGCCGGTTAATTCCAACCAGAGCCAGTCGAGAGCACTCTCGCACAAAATTTACGGGATTCAAGTAAGTTCAATGTGCGCATAGCTAGAGTTTTGGGCCAACTAGAAAGTGGCTTGCATGCGGCACGCACTGAATTTTCGCTGCAAGCCACTTTGGGTCCACTCCAATCCCATCCAATCGAATCGAATCGAATCCACTCCACTGCACTCCACTCCTTTCGATCCAACTCGTCCCGCCCCAGACACGGACTTGTACTTGTTATCCTGATTGTAAAGTAGAAACTAATGTTATGAATCCCGGGCTGGCGATCGCAGGTGCTCGGCCCGAAAACGCCAACACTTCCTGATCGGTATTGAGTTGCAGCGGTGCGGCGCACGCGGCGTATGCGTAATATTGTGAATAATTGCAAAAGCGTGTCGTAAACTTGCTGTGTAAAATATTCAAATATCATTTATCTATGCGGCCTCTTACAATCTTTTTTCGTATTTTTTCTAGTCTCCCTCTCTCTCGGGGGAGCTACTTCGCTTACGCAGACAGCGAAGACTGAGTTGCAGATACAGATGCAGATGTCGATGGCGATGCAGATACAGATACAATTGCAGACTTTCAGCAGACGGAGCAGAGGCCGCAACGAAAGTGGCCCCCTTGGCCAAAACCTGTATTTAACTTTTAAGTAGGTTGTTGCGGCCAATTTTTTTAGCTTTTTTCCCAGCTGACTCTGGTCAGCCAGGTTCAATAGCCAGGCCAAAGTCAGCGATAACGACTTGGCCCGATTGGCAGGCTCACGTTTTCGATGCCCGACGACCCCAAAAATTAGCTCCACTTCGCAATGACCCCCAGCACTCGAAGACAATCGAGCAATTGAACAATTTGCAATCTCTATCTGGATCGTGTGACATTTAAAATATGTATATCTAAGTGTTGCCATAAGTGCTGCACTTTGGAAAAAATATGTTTGTTCTAATAGAAAATAAAAGAAACTGGTGCCTAAAGTGTTATATATAATGTATCTTGAAGAATGATCCTACTTTTAGGTAAGCACACATTTCAAGATCACGAAGGTCACAATTATGATAATTATTTTGCACTTGCTCCATATTTCGAGATATTTTTTCCCTGTGCAGGCTGAAGTTCAGATCGGGAGGCATTGTGTGTTGGCAACGTTTCAAAGTCACTTTTCGAAATCATCTCGAGACAAAAGTTTGCCATCAATGGCTGCTGCAGCCCCACGGCAGCTCAGGTGTTTTTATTTCATTTTCGGTGTTTTTCTTTTTATTTTTCCTTTGGCATCTGCAAGTGTTGCAATGCCATTTGTTTTGGGTTGCCGCTGATGCTGATGCCTTGCTATTTTTGTTTGCGGCTTTTTGTCGTGCGGTTTTCGATTTTTTTCGTTTACTAATAAATCGCGCCGGTCTGTCAGGTGACTTCATGATGCGTCCGTCTGCATCACATGACGCTCTGCCAAAGGCTGTCGTCGCCGATTCGAGGCCAGAAACCATTTGCTGATTGCCGTTAACGAGTCGCCGTGACAGCGAGTGAAACGTAAGAAGCCATCATCACACCTGAGAATCCATTTTCCGCGGCAAATGTTTTTTGCCGAAGGTCTAGTTTTAGCACCATGTGAAAAGTATTTAAGAAGGAAAGAAGGCGGAAAGGTAATTATAAATCAACAACATGAGGCTCCTGACTATTTTCCTACTTTTTAATGCTACTGCTGAAAGCCTTCAAAAGTCACCTGTGCAGCCTGAAGTTTTATATTTGTAAGAGCAAGAAAGGTGAGCTTAAGTTCTTACCTCTTATATTAAAGCTTGTCAAATCGGAAATTAATTAAAAACAATAGGAATTTTGTATTTCTTAACATCAATATGTGTCTTGTTAAACAAATTAATTATATATTTTGCAGCTTTAAAATGTGTGGACATAAATGCAATTTCTTTGCAAGTTTATGGATATCAAATTTTTCAGTTTGAAAAATAAAAGGCAATCAGCGCTGTCAATCGGCCGTTGGAAGTTGCGAAGAACCTGCTTTGTTATGCGCAAAAACAAGAACATCTTTTTACACAAGGGAAAGAAGGTTGTGGCGCAAAGCCAAAAGAAACCGATGAATAAATCATAAACTCTTTGCAATGCATAATAAATACCCCTCTGGAGTGGAATGAAGACGTTGGCTGTCAAAAGTTAACGCTAACTTGGCCACTCGTGTTCAGCCCGAGATGCAATCGTTCGGCTCAGCGGGCTCCCACTAAGAAACATATATGTATCTGGGTAGTACGGGTATATCTATCCCTAGGCACTGCAACATGGAAACATCAACGTCAGCAGGCGGTTGCCGAATGATTGCCGCTGCTGTTTGTGCTGCTAATGATTGGCTCAAAGCTCGTGTGCCGTGTTGTCGTAGGTGTAGAGCCATGTTGCCACCGCTCAAACAAGCTAAAACAGCGCAAACCAAGATTTATGGGACTCATTCGGACAGTTGTGCACTTGGGAAAATTCTATAGAACTAGGTAGATAGAATATCTACATCTGACTGGTATTATTTGTGTTTATCCAACGTATCGTTTTAACCAGTTTTTCTTATTTATGCATAATTAATAATTTTGTATTTCATGTGCAAGAGCTTATGTTTTTTTTTTGTCTGCACAACGTTTCGGTGTCAACGTTCAAATATTTAAGCCACAAACATAACCCAGAATGCCACCGAGCCACTTTTTCTGCATCGCCAGACAAGACACACAGTTTCTATTTGTACTCACAAAGTGCCGCGGAATAGATTCACGTTGTAGTCATAGACGGAGGAGCGACCGGGTCCGGCCAACAGAAGTGCACAATCGGAGCCGTGGGCCGTCTGGAGCTGTTCGCCAAACTGATGATATTGCGCATGCGCCACCGACAGCAGGGACACCACGAGTATTCTGCAAAGAAATATGAGCAAATGTGGGCAAATTAATACGTTAGGCAGACACACATGCAGCGGAGACGCCACGCCCCTTTGACAAACTTAAACACGCCTGCGGCCAAAGGCATTAATCACTCAACCAGCCAGATGAAATATTTGAACTTCTTAGCTTCGACCATAATTTATCACCAAAAACAAAGTGCTTATGCAGATTTCTAGCTAAAAACTCGAATGGGTGGAACGCTTAATTTATCAAAATATTAAATACCAATAAAATGAAACTTAAAACTGCATTCCTTCATTAATTACACTCTAGTGTAAACTAGAATTCTGTAACAGCAAAAACAAACTTAATGCTAAAACCCTATAAAAGTTTAAGTGTGAGGCATTTACTCATATGTAAATTCGACTTTTGGAATTTCAGCTATGGGTTGCAGCTGTCTGTCGATCGGCAGTCGTCGGAATCTATATGCCAAACTGCATTGTCTTTTCGGACTCCCCATTGTTTTGGGCGTTTCTTTATCTGTCAGCAAAAAAAGGCGGCTGGGGAATTGGACATCTGACATCTGGCAACCTTGCTTTTATTTCGCGGCATTAATGCGCTCAGATTTATGACTTGCAGCGCGTGTTAATCGCTTGTTAGCTTTTGTCGCCTTGCACAAAGCGAAAGCCAAAAACAAAAAACCCCATATTTTCGGTCAATTGTTAACGGCTCTCGATAAGTATTGATATTGATTGCTATTGTTATTGCCGCCTCCGGCTAACAGTGAAAGTATGGCGAGATATAGGTGAGCCATGCCCCCTGCGTCTTATATAACCGAAATCAAGGTTCGCCGCGAATACCCTTTAACGTATCGAGATTTGAAGTAACTGGAATTACTTAATTGAAATTTCGAAAACAATTAATTACTTCATTATATTAGATCACCTTGAGTAGCTGAACCTTAAAACTTGTTCAACCACTTGACTTAGAATTAATTACACGATTTTGAAAAGATTAAAGACTTTGTAGTCTCAATTAATATTTTACGAGAAATCTTTACCGAGAATAATCGCTTTTTAATGGAAATTTTTGGAAAGGGATTACTTAGAATTTAAACTAAAACGCAATTGTGTTTAATGGAAAATATATTAACATGTCATCTTTATATATTTATTTGCAATTTTAACTCCGGTCGCTGAACTTTAATTTCTTTTTTGAGATAGTAAAAATATTTTTTGTATTTTTTGAATATGTAATTATTCTGCAGATTACAAATAAAAGCAGGTGGAAAAAATATACGATGATAAGGGTTTTAGGGATGTAAAATATTTTTTCACTTGTCGCTGATTGTTGATAATACAAAAAAGTTTTTACACCTACCGGTACACTTAGCAATAACTAGTGAAAGTATTTTGCTCCTAATCTATTGAGGGTCTCGTTTTTACGAAGGGCACAGCTCCCTGGCTTTATAGCCAGTTGCTTATATAATCGCCAAGGGAAACAATAACGCACTTAAGTCCTTTCACTTTTCGTTTGACAGTTCGGTCTTTCTTTTTCACTGACCAAGTAAAGCGAGATGCCTTTTAAGTGTATCCCATTACAAGGGTTTACTGAACTCTGGTTCACGAATGAAATGATTTCAATGCACCTGCTTGCATTTAAATATTAGTGAATTGAACATCTGTTTCGTAAATGACTTTAGCAGCCCAAGTTTTTCGTTCTGGCTTATAAAAAGCAAGTCTCCAGTTATTTAACTCATTCGAAAAATCAGAACGTTACATAAGAAACATGAAGTGTGTTGCTATATTTGCTATTATTTCCCTGGCTTTAATGGCTTTGGTTAAGGCTGATGGGCGGCTGCCTTGCCCAAGAGCTTGTACAAGGGATTTCAGACCAGTTTGCGCCGAATGGCGAAGGGGTGTTACTCGGGTCATTGTAAGTACTTGTACTTTCCCCAACAGATGCACCCTTGACAATCAGAGATGCAGAACTGGTCAAAGTAAGCAAAAATTCTAAATTTCTATTATGCAAACAACATTATACTAACAATATAAATTTACAATCTAGATTGGGTTATCGTCAATGAAAATCGCAGGTGCAAGCGAGACACAAATGATTGCAGAGAGCTTCTGGATCCCCGTGAAAATTAATACCCGCGGCTGACCTTTGTGCACTCAACGAACCCTGACTTTTCCCGCTTTTATTACATCTGACTTTGATTAATCACTGGCCAGAAAATAAACAGAAGACTTGCTCACTCTTGACCAATGTGCGTTCATAATTTTGGGTTTACGGCTCACACGATTTGCAACTCTTTACGCTCCTCCCGTTAAACGCTTATTAAATCTGGTTACCAACGAGTTGCTTTCATTTCGGTTTTCGCACAACTGTGAATTTGGTTCAAGGCTGCCCTTAAAATATTTTGTTTTTTTTTCCGAATCCGTGAAACTTGTTTACGAACGCTTTGGAGTGCCTAATTCATTAGCCATCATGACAGGGCAATTAGAATGCAAACAAAACGCATTCGCCCACACAGATTGTACTTTATTCATTTGGCCGACATGCCACGCCCAAACGCGTGCCACAAGGGGGCAGTGTGCAGATTTAATTGCCGGACCCCAAGATGCAGATCAGATTTGCCGGCCAACGGGCCAGCAGGCCACTGCGTAAAGTCAATTAATTGTTGCTCGCCTTTGGGGCGACAGCTTTTGTGAAAGGCCAGCACGCAACGTCCTTCTGGCCAACCTGCCACCGCCAAATCCATACTGTTCAGTATATACATATCTGCAATTTATGCACACTCGCATGCATATGCAATCTTTACACCTGCCCGCAAGAGTCAATTAATTTCGGTTTGTCGATGGCCGGCCAAACGACTTTTACATAAATCGCAGCACCGGCTTATCTAAGGCACTTGGTCACAGTAGTCAGTTTCATTTGGATGACACACATATGTACTGGAGTTAATCCGACCTTTTTCAGGGGAATACAATCCCCAAAAAATTTATATTTGCATTCAACAAAAATATGTAGAAAGAATATCAATAATATCGCGTTATTACTTTGAGTATTTAGTATTCAGCATTGTAAAACCTTATAAGGTTTTGTTTTGAAATGTTTTCTCTTTGATATTATATTTTAGTTTATTATTAAACTATGAAATATTGTAATTCAATATGTGAATTTCTATAAAATGGCAGTACTTGTTTCGTGTGTACACTGTGAACAAAGAACGGGCGCAGTTGCCCAATTATTGTCGCCATATAGGACTCTCCCTTCCATATCTGTGCATATTTTAAAGCGCATCCAAAAGCTGACATTTGCTAATAATATTTTTTCCATAGGCAGCGCTACGTTAATTGCCCGATGCATTGTTAGACTTTGAAAGCGGGGAGCTGCCGATTGTATCTCGGGTTTTGCTCTGATGCTACTTATGTCATCTTGGCTGGGGAAGCCGAGTGCCGAATAACAAATACCGAATACCTTGGAGCAGGGCTTAAAGTTGAGCCCCCAGAAAGAGGGGCGTGCCAAGTGCATAGGACTTTTTGTTCGGATCTTTCTTTGTTTGCAGCTTGCCACATCGCTTTTGGCTTGTATGTAAATTGCCCCTCTTAGTTGGTTTCTGATGTCATGTAAATGTGTGGAAATTACTTTTGTAATACACAGAGAAATTCACAATTTATCTTCGCAGCATTTTCATTGATAATGATTAAGTATGATAAAATGAAAATATGACACGTGTATGAAAATGCTTAAGATGTCTTGGGTTTATCTTAAAGCTTTATACTGGTTTTCGTATGTGGCGACAGTCGCTTTCGTTGATAGTGATTAAGTATGGTGGGGTGAAATATGAGAGATTGCATCTATCATATATAATATTTTAAGTGTTGAGGGGTTTGCGAGTCTTTAATTTAACATACCAATCGAGGTTTATGGGAAGGTTCCTACTACAACTTCACACCATTTGATTTGAAAAGGTAGATGACATTGTGATACTGAGTTGAATTCCCACATTATTATTTAGACAAATGGGAATGCTTTATTTATTTATTTACGTTTGTAGAGTTTAAATTAAAGGTTTTTTATTAAAGTCAGTGTAATCCAATAATTACAGTATCAAAACTATTTTTAGTTTTCATTGGATAATCTACTGACCTCAACATCTGCAAGCCTGAAGCTGTGAACCGCTCATTAGCTATCATTTATCATCCGGCCTAAGATAACCAATAGAGCAACCGCATTTAAATCAAGCTAAAGCCACTCAATCGCCACGGGTTGAGTGCCGGCAATCGGCGATGTGCAAATATAGTTGCTGTTGCACTTCTATCCGCTCGCTCAACCCATGCTGAGTGAATCTCGTTTCTGGGCCCGATTGCTAATGCCAGACGGGTTTTAATTGTTGCACTCAGCTTTTTGCTCCACGCTTGGCTCTGGCCAATTGCTTAAATGATTCTGGCCAGACGGGTAGCGTTAATGTCCAATGTCTTCACATCCGCCTGCCATTTTGCAGGCAGCGGTGCAAAAAGCTGTGCATAACATATCGAATCCGTGGGGCACACATGTCGCATGCTTGATTAACGGCGGACCAATTGCAACATGACGCACATTTATGTGGCATTAGTGTCGCCTTCGATACTTTATTGTGCCATAAATTGGCAATGCAGATACGATGGCACACAGGCACACGGTACAAGGAACGATAAGCGGGCCAAAGCTGCCTTAATTCGCTCTCTGACCCACAAAACGTACGCGATCCTATCGCCGCAAGAAAATCTATTTGCACTCGCATAGCTACACAGAAAGAAATGGATTAATAATTATTCTAAAACATGTTTTAGTGGTGTTACATTATTGAAGCCTTAAGACGATATCCTTTTTTAGTTTGTTTAATAATTTAACGATCCAGATATATGTACATATCAAGATCTTTAAAATCTAAACTCTAAGCTTGTTACAAATTGAATTATAAAGTTGGAAAATTTAAATATAAATATATATAATAATTCAGTAATAATATTCCATAACTTCTTAATGATAATTTTTTTAATTTCACTTATTGCTTTCTAAGCTATTTTCACTTTTTGGAGTATCATATCCTTTTTTCCTGTGCAGAATTTTCGGCATGTGAAGGGTTTTGATATATCACCCAACCCGCACGCAACCGCGATAGCATCGGACACGGCTAACGTGCGGTTTATGGACTGCTCGGTCTCAAGTAGAATGTAACCGAAGTGCAGCTGGCCGGCGAGTCGAAAAACCAACTACATTTGGCTTCGATCTCCGCATTAAGTGACTGATAACCGAAGCCGGCAATCTGACGCTTTTAACAGCTTATTAATTGGGCGGCCGCCCCTTGCAGATTTATACCTGGCCAACTCGCCGCTAATTGCAAACAAATTGCAGCGGCTAAGCCAAATCAGAGAGCCGAAGCCAGCGACAAATTCAATGCCAGCTTTTTGACCGAAACTGTTCAATGCAAAACTGGCTGCAGCCTGCCTTTGATTGTGCATAAATCAAATGAAAACAACTTTTGCAATTGACGTTGATTCCACACACGGAGAAAAAGGATAGAAGATTTTTTGTGAGCAAATTGCAACCAGCGCCCTTTTTGCTTTATAATTTAATGGATTGTATAGGAAATGTTCAGAAAGAACATAAACTTTCTTCCTCAAACTAATTAGTTTTCATCGATAAATAAGAAAGTTACTTTTGAATGCTTAGTTTTAATACAATGTAAGCAATTTCAAGTTATTTTTTCCCGGTGATCTCTGCTTTGTGCGTTGGCTCTCGGCGATCAAGCCGACCGCCTTGACTTTCTTAGCCGAGTCTGAAGTGCACTTCTCCGCGGCGGCTGAGCATCCTCAGAAAATGACAGGGACTTACGAGTGGGCCACGTGAGCAGCAGACGCCTTTCACCAGTCTGGGTCCACCGGGTCCCCAAAATAGCTGCAACAATTACCAAACTTTGTGCTGCCGACTCAGGCATTCAATAGACGATGGCTGGCAATTGGCACATCGTCTTGATCATCGTCATCATCATCAATTTGAGTGCGAATGTTGCAAGCTCAAAACATATAAAATGAAATAAAAACACATGAGCACTCCACTTGGCCTGCCTACAAATGAGCCAAGTGATTATTCGGGTTCGGTTTGTTTGAGCCTGGCGTTTTTCGACTATTGCGTTGCCCAGCATACCGACATGCAGCATACTTGGGCTTTATTTAAATAGTTTTTCCGAAAAATAGTGAAACACAAAATATGTAACTGGCGGTTGCATCTGTTACTGTGTTCATGCTGCATTGGCTGGCACTGTTCAATTTGCACCGCCAGCTCACAGTTTTGCCGTCAGTTGCCACATAATTTCTGACGAGTGCACATACAAATCAAAACCAGCACGCCATTTGGGTTACCAGGGCTCTCACGATCCCATTCGAGAGATCTGCTGCGAATTGCGTCGACAGCCCCTGCATTTCAATTAGCCATCTCCGCGGTTGGTTCTCTGATAAGAAGAGAGCGCCGCCCCGAACGCAGCTTTTCACTTTCCGTTCTCACGCTTGTGGGTGGGTTAATTAAAAAACTACACACTCGAAGAAAATTCTTAACTTACAAAAAAAATCACAAAAACATTGTCCCTTTTATTCGTACTCTTATTTTTATTTTAAAAAAATATAATAAGTTTTGTCTTCTTCTGATTAATTTTAATTTATATAATGTATTTCTACTTTTTTTGTTTAATAGCAAGACCGGTAAGTTTGTTTTGTTATACCTATTTGTTACACTTTCTCGACCCGTGAGTCAGCAAATAAATAAATAAAATGTTTTCACCAAAACAAAAGCCCTACAACTCAAGCCCCTTTCGGTGGCTCAAACATCGTCGATGAAGCACGTTGTTGTATCATCAAATCAGTGTAAATGGGAGGCCCACCCCTGGCGTCCATTCATAAAGAGCAGCACGTTGGAGCACTCGTCCATTCGATCAAATCATCGCCATCCACTTGAGCCATGATCCCTGCTCGTTCGACTTTCTTTTGTTATAACATCAATCAGCGATGTTCGCGAAATCAAAGCAACATCGTGTCAGGGCGCAAAAAACATCTAATTTAACAAAAATAAACCGAAAATAGAAAACGCATTGAAGAGGTGGCTGTTGTGGGCAGGCATGACGTGAATTCGGCTTTTGAAAGTGAAATGATTTCGAGTAATTTCCGTTAATGTAGCGCATTAATGGCGCATCATCAGCAGCACCCGAAAAGAAGGAGATCTGCGAGCCAAAAGTGAATGTTGACCAGCATTCACTTCAAGAAATCGAGCAGTTGCAAAATATTATGTAGCCGAAGATACATACATACTTTATGTATGGTATATCCATCAATGTAAGGCCGCCAAATGATTTGTTTCAATGTTTCCACCGCTCTTCTCTGGGGCAAGGGATTGCATGAGTTGTGCGAGTAATTGTGGCAAACACATCAGACAGACATTTTGCCCAAAAAAGGAGAAAACAACGGCAATATGCTACCACAAGTCATGGCTTTTGCTGCCTCTTGTCTTGTGAACCTTGTAAGGCGGTTTATGTAACGAATCCAGCGCCAAAGTTTTGCCTGCGGCCGCCATTTGGCCACAACAAAGGCCCAAAAACACTGATCGATATAGACACGGTTGAATTTCTATACCTTGAAGTCTCCAAGTTACATTTTTCGGGAACCCGATTATGTTGAAAAATGTTTAATGACTTGAATAAAACTAAGTTATTATTAAAAAATAATCAACATCAAACCTCAACATCCATGTTGAATACCAATAATCAATTTAATTTTATGTTCAAATATTTTTATTTTTACTAAAATAACTTTTCCACTTATGGAATCTCCACCGTGGCAGACTTTGGCTTTGGCACTCATTAATACGCAGCACAATGCCACAATGTTTATCGCCCGGTCCCGATCTCGACTTCGATTTGAGTTCGATTTCGATTGGGATCTTTGAATGCACTTCGCATTCCGCTTTCCAAATTGGCACTAACGCCCTGGTCCGATTGTCTGATTTATATGCAGCATGCAAATGGAGTGGCTGCATTTCGTGGTGCTAAAAGTGCTGCCAGCCTTGACACAAATTCAGCCTGGAGAGCGGCAATCAACGCCGTCCGCCCCCTCACCCTCACCCTCCACCAGTTTTTTTTTTTCATTTCTTTCACCTGCCCCGCAATTATGTCTTCATTTTATAACATTTTGCGGCGAGCTGGAGACCGGATTGGTGGCAAGTCACGAGGCAGATGTGGCCTGCGAGCCAGGAAATCAACAGGTTGCTCCGTTTCTGGTCTTCTACATTTAAGGAGAAAGTAAATCGCTGCCTGATCGATTTCAGCTGGCAACTGGTTGAACGTGAAGTTCAACATCCAACCACAGGCATTGTGCAACTCGCTTTGAACTTCGCATCAAATGTTAATGACCCCGTTTGGCCAACAGCCAAAAGCTTAACGAAAAAAAAAAAAAATCAAGAGAGGTAAGTCCGCTCGGTTCTTGGTCATAACTATGCTTTATGAGGGGGTCTTGGAAAAACAAATCAGCGAACGAGGCGACCCAGCAAACTGCGGACAATTAGCAGGCACTCGCTAAGTTCCACCCAGCCGGGTTTTTATGCCCACTGCAGTTGGCCGGGTAGCTCTGCCACGTTGGCCAGGTAATCGAGGTGTGAGCTGCCGCCGGCCAAGTACCGTTAGCCAATAGAACTCGCCGGGAAGTTATGGCCGTGTCCCCGGCAACATGACAAATCACCTGGACACGCCCGCTTTAACTAAGCCTGATTAAAACGAGGGCTAGACGACTTAGCCTTGGTTTTAAGCGGATAAACTCCGTCTCGATTGCCTCGCACTAAGTTTTGAAATAGTGTATACTGCAGCATACACATAATTCTATGATCTGCAATCAGGGTTTTAATTAAAAATCTTTATCGCCAATATAAAATTAAAATTAATTGATTAATAAATTAAGTTTGTTATGAGCAATATATGTTATTATTTTTACATGAGAATGTTTGGCGGTTTAATTATTAATCCAATAAGAATAACTAATAAAATCAGACAACCTATTTCTTATTAATGACAATAACGCAAAATACTCAAATGATTAATACAATAAGTCTAAATGCTATTAATGTAGAAATACGGATTTATGCAAAAATGATTATTATTTAAAAGTGCAATAATACAAATTAGAAAGGCGATTTTAAACAATTAATAATTATCCAAAAATAAATGGTTTTCTTAGCAGCACTCCAAACTACTCGACTGGCGCTTGTTGTCTTATCTTCGCCTTAAACTTAATTGCTATTTAAATTGAAACCGAAAATCCCGCTGAGCTCCATTTTAAGCCCGCATCGGAGGTGTGATTTCGTCGGAAGCTGAGACGGCCAAGAGCGTGACCTATACGCTCATTAATTCCGTTGCTCCAGGCGCTGATTTGTTCATCATTACGAGCTGGAAATGGCGCGTGGATGGCCAGATAGCCAGACAACCAGATAGAAAGTGGCAGGAAGCCATTAGCATGGGAAGTAACATAGTTGGACAAGAAAAAGAGCTAAGCAACTAACCGAAGCGGTTGGCCTGAATATAAATGAAATAATCAAATCACATATATGGCGCAATGCGTTTAATCACTCGTCGAAAATCAACAAAATACCGCACATACCGAACAAAAACTTTCTGTGCCAGCGACTCAGAACTTTCCATCTACCACACACATACAGAAAACAATAAAAAAAAAGAAGAGAACGAGAATTTCGGAGAAATGTTTACAGAAAGTTGTCATAAGCTAGCGACAGACACGTAAAAATTACATAAAAACGGGCAGAAACATGGCTAGAACCAGACACCAACTTGGTCTAGACATTTCCGAGACTCCTAAACGATAACTTGCCACACACAGGAAATTAACTGGAAGAATGTGTACCAAAACTCAGAGTGCGGCTCATTAAAAAATAGCCAGCTTACATACCTTAAGATCATTTTGTTGACGTTGCACGTTGCCACTTGGCCGTTGGCCGTTGTTGTTAATGACTTCTCTAAATGCGTTGGCTATATGGGTATACTTTGTTTATATTTGGCTTGCGAATACGTTGAGCTGTGAATTAATCCGACTGCGGCAGACGATGGCCCACGCTAAGTTGGCCTTAATTAGTAACGGACTGGCGCGAAGAGTTCACCGAGTTCGTTGCCAGAGTCTTTTGTTTGCGATGAATGAACGATTATCAGGCACTTGTCGCCGCTGCGGGTAACTTTTACCACTGGGTTTCACCCTTTTGTCACTAATTTTTACTTCTTTTCGAATGCACTTTGTTTCCTGCACACTCTGCTCACTCACTCACTGACACCAAAAAGCCCGTCGATTTCTTCCGCCTGCACAACCGCCACGGAGTGTGTCCAACAATTAACTGAGCTCCGCCAGCCGATGCTGCCACAGAAAAGCCAAAAAAAGAAGCTAACACACGGAGCCGGCTCGCCGTCGACGTCGGCGTCTCTCTGGAGCAGCAGCGATAGCAGTCGGCGGACCTCGGTTATCAGCTGCCAAGTGCCGGCGGCAGCAGCAGCGGGAAAAAAAAACAAAAAGAAGAAACTAAATATACAGACGCCCCAAACACGACTCGTTTTTGAGTGAAAGTTTGAGTGGAAATAAGATTGGTTGCGTGCGGTTTGTTGTGAGGTGAATGGAGTGCCGCTGTGGTGGGTTTCGTAGGGTGCAGTTCGTGTCTTAAGTCTTTCGATTTTTTAGAGAAATTTTATAAACAATAGAATTTTCAATTTTTATTACAAATTTTTTAAGCATTTATTTTAATTGTTTTAAGTCTTATGTCACATAAGTGTTTGATGGTGCCTAAGTTTGTAGATTATTCCAATTGATATACAATTTTAAATACAGCTTTGTAAATTACCTCATATAATTAAACAAGTGCTCTTCTCTTGTATTCAACACGTATCCAGTCTATTGGGTGACATTTATAAATCGTTATCGGGCAGCAAATTAATTATTAAGTAATTTAAATTGCAATAAAATATGCAAAATACAATTTATGGCCGATGGCAAGATTTAGAAAAAATGTCTAAAAGTTTAAGGTTTGTATTGTATTACATTACAAATTTATGACTCTTGACCATTTTTGTAATCACAATTAGATAATTTGTCTTGCTTATAACTCGCTTAGATTCAAGAATTAAATTATAAATAATGCGATACACAACATGAAATCATCAAATGAATAAATCTTACCAATTTTATATTTATAGAGCTTTAGTTGTTTTTCCTATAACTTCAATAAACTATTACCCAAAGGGTGTTTCTTTTAGCACTATCTTGATTTAAAACTATTAAGCTTCCCCACAGCAAAACCACATTTCACTTAGTCAGGTAAAGTCTCAATAATTACTTAGTGACGGCTGGGCCCCACAAAACAACTCCTACACCGCTATCTGCGATCTCCATGCCCATGTAAAAACAAAATCTCAATCTGCAGTCGTTCCTTTTTCTCTACACTTACTTATTCAATTTGCCAAACGGAGCTGCACCTTCGGCGGGGCAATCTAAGTCCGAAGTGCGGCATATCAGTACTAGCCAATTAATTTAATTTGTCAAACCGCACACACAAATCAGGCAAGCCTTCAGCAAAAGTCAAAATTCGGAGGGAGTATATGCATGAATACAATAAAGTAATGCAAAGGAGTCTAATAATAATAAACGTAAACCAGAAAACGTCAAAACGGGGAGCAGTTGATATTAATTTCGCCTAAGCACCGCAGAGTGGAGTTTTCTCGTGGTAAAATTGGCTTTGTGCCAACAGTTGAGTCCGTATCGATTTTGTGGCCTTTGGCTTTGGGCTTTGTTGCATTTGACAATTGCTTTGCATGAACGCACGAATATTGTGCAACATTTTTTGGACCCGAGCAGCAGCAACAACAAGAAACAAGATCAGTATTAACAATGTACCACGCATTTTTTGAAAAGTTGTTCGTGCCACGTTTTTGTTCTTTTATTTGATTCAATTTTTGTTCGGGGTTGACGTTGTTGTATGAGCATTAAATGCCGAAATTTTGTATTATCGACCCGGTTTGACTGCATCGAGTCTGACCGACTCCTTTTTCTCTATTTAATTTCGCATGATTTTTTTTCCGTAGCTTTTTGCTTTTTAAACATGCTATTAATTTTTAATGGCGTGTGACATTTTTGTTTACGCACAGCCTCAATGTAGAGCAAAACATTAGCATGTCTGCAGTATTAGTTTACCATTTTTCTTGCTGCCATTGAGCCATTTGACGGTGTCTTAATTGATATTTATCGCTGGACGATTGCCATGTTCATCATAATAGAGTCGTGTAGCCGACAAAAAGCTCATTACTTTGGCTGTCTGGCGGCTGAATGGCAAACGCGCCTACAATTTGGCCATTTGATTAGCCTCACCTCGCCATGGTCGTCGGACCCCAAATGGCCGATCCAATCCGGCACATAAAATCCAATTTAATTAAGTTAGACTCTCGGATTGAGACGCAGTCGGAGGATCGAGACTGAGACTGAGACCTGAGACTCAGACTGAGATGGAGGCCCACAGCAGCAGCTGCCGTGGCAGACAACCTTGCCAACATTCTTAACGTGTTCAAGATTTTTACCAACGCACTGCTTTTAGGTTTGTCGTTTTCTTGTTGTTGTTGTTAATGTTGTTTTTGTTGTCGCGTTCACTTTTCAAATGCTTACGAAATGTCAATATTCGGCACAAAGTTATTTGTTATTTGATCGAAGCGATTGAGCAATTGTTGATATACAATTTTTGTGTTTTATTTCGCTGATTTGTTCTTTTTGTCTAACGGTTTCGCATTGATTTGTTAGCTAATTGTATACGAAAAATGTAATTAAAATTAAAACGAGTAACTGGAAACCCGCAACGCTTGCATGTCAGCTTGACAAGCCAAAAGTAAGCAAATAAAAAGTGTTAACACCCAGATCGCACAGCTGGCGACAAAACTGCCAATGAGTCACGATTGCATGGGAGTAGAGTTTCAATTAGTTGAATATTAAGTGCTTAATTGAAGAACAAATAGAAAACGAATCCAATTATTATTTTAATTGTAATATTTTTTTTGTAAAGCGTACACTTGTTCACATATGAGTGATACACCCAAATTGGTTCACACACTTTGCTTTACTTTCCAAATTGCAGAAATCGCCAAAACCATTTTTACGTAATTTCATTAAATGTTGCCACCATGACATTTCATTTTTACCATTTTATCGTTGTTATTGCCAACCTATCAAAGCCCAATTGGGATTGCGATTTCTTAGACAATCATAAGCCTAATTTGCTTTCATTGTTATGGATAATAAACAGACCCTGAGCCATATTTGACAAGGTTACCCATTATTTTTGCTCTCTCACTTGAATGAGCCTATATTTTGAAAACTATTTTCACAAATGCCCGACTTCCTGACAAACGCGATGATGGTTGTCTCGATTTGGCCTAGCTAATGGCCGCCTTAATCAAGTCTTCTATATGCCAATTAAATCGATGGCTGCCTGAAATGCTAGTTAAGCCATAATTGTACGAAAAGGGGGCTTCTGTGTTAGCCAACGATTCATGTATTATGCATAAATTGCTTTAGGAGTTCACCGAAAAAGTATGGCATGATAAATTCATCAAAATATGCCTGCGATTTTTTCTCAGATCATGTAAGTTCAGTTAACTTTCAAAATTCGTTTTACAATTTGAGCAGCTTTGTTTTTGCTGAAATCCATATTTAAATAAATAGTAGAAAGGTTAGTGAACTGTGTAGTTCATGAAACTCTGACTCACATTTTAAATTGTAAAAACTGGATCATTGGGGGAACTTAAGATTAAATCTCACTTAAGTCCATTAATGACATCAATGCAATTATCAAGATTATTTGTTCAAATATTTTAATTAAGACAATTGGCTGAGTTTCTCATGTTATTGAACAACTTTAAACTTCTGCTATAAAAGTTTTCAATTCTGTAAGGAAATTATCAGTTGTTTCCCATTCACCAATCGAGCACCTAATTCCAAGTTCAATTTCACGCAGCAGAAATGGCTTTCCGTTACATTTTCGTTATCAGTGCTCTGATTGTCCTGGCCCAAGGATCTTACTTGTCTTCGGTTAACCAGGAATCTGTGGTCGGAGTCCATCACTCTGGAGTAGTTTCAGCTGGAGCTCCTGTCGCCGGAATTCCCCGAGGCCACTCAGCTGGTCCCCAGCCCCAACGTCCTGGTCATGGAGGTCCAGTTGGAGGATCCCGTCGTTTGAGCGGAGCTGGAGGAGCTGGAGGTCGTCCTCACGGAGGTGCTCTTCGTCGTCCTTCTGCTGGAGCTCATGGTCGCCCAATTGGAGGTGCAGCTGGCCATGGAAATGCCCACCAGAACCGCAACCGCAGCCAGAAGCCCCACTAAGAAAAATCCCAATACCATCAGCAAATGACCAAATTCACCTTCAATATTACCCTTCTATCTAATTCATTAATCGATTTTTACATAGCTATGTACTGCAAAATATAACAATTGTTATACAAATGATTTTATTCTTTATATTTACTTTACAATGGTGGGGAAACCATAAAATATGTTTATGAACATGTTTCGAATTCACAGTATAGCCTGTTGTTAGCCTTTAACACCAATTGCACCTTTTATTGTCTGGCTAGTTAATCAATTAAAACGTTAGCGGAACGGTAAACACCCAACGGAGTGCACTTCATGTTTAAAACATTTTTAGTTGGTCCAAAGAGAATTGCAGAATAAGACTGCAAACTTTTAAAGTCATTGTTTTGTTTTTTTCTTTTTGTAATTGGAAACACTCTATTTACTAAAATAAAGTTTTAAGAAAATTCGTCCATTTAAACATAGTTATATACAATTAGTAAATCATGATTAAATTCTTAAAACAACAATAAAAGTTTCCAAAATCTTTTAAGTTTCATATGCATTTTGTTATTATTTCTAATAACTTGGTTACCAAATAACATTTTGCAAAATTTTAAACTATTCAGATTTCTTATTTTATAAAGAGTATTTCCAGATTAAGAAACTTAACCTAAAATAATAAACTACTAATATACAACTATAACAATAGAACTTAGTTGGATGCATTTAAAAATACGAATTCTTTATTTAATTTAGTTGTTATGTTTGGGTGGATTTTCTAGATATAGTTCCGATCGGGTTTAGTAGGGTTTCTGATTACGATTGCGATTCTGGCCAACGGGACGTCCAGCCGCAGAAGGACGAGCTTGTCGACGAGCAGCTGCAGAAATAATACGAGGACGAGAAGCTGCTGCAGGACGTGGGGCTCCCACAGGACGAGCAGCAGGAGTTGGGGGCTGAGATCCTGTGGATGGACGATTTTCCGGGAAACTGATTGCCGCTCCTGACGTAACTCCTCCGGCAGAATGCGTTTCCGCGACGGCTTCCTGTGCCACTGGCGCTACACGCGATCCTTGGGCCAGGACAATTAGGAGACAAAAAACAAAAATAAAACGAGTGTCCATGGTTGATAAGAGTTGATAACTAATGGTACCTTCGGAAAATGCCTGTCTCTTTTATAAGCTTTTAAATTTACAGAATGATAATACGGGCAGCGACAAATATTCAATTAAATATGTAATTCAATTAAATTTGAAATTCTGATTTTATAACAAGAAGGTGAATCACTGAGATAAGAGTGTAATAAATCAAATTTTGGGACTTTCCACTCTGATCCAGTTTTGGTAAATTAATCAAAATAAAAATATGTAAGATAAAGAACACTGAACTTATCAACACACTATCAACATCCATACGATATAAAATGAACATATTTGCAACCCAAATGGAATTTTATATTTTTCTTTCTATGATAACTAACAAGTTAGAAAATTGTAAGACTTTTAACATACTTAAAAACAAATCTAATTTACATATCGATATATGATTGGTGGGTTGAGTATAAGAATAGAGTTGTTTTGAAAGTAATTGTGGTAAAATTGTATATGTATGTCTAAAAACACCTGAAATTAATTGTTAAAAATTTTTTATATCTATTACAGTGTCAGCAGAACACATATTAAAAGTAACTTAATTAATATAATTAATCCAGTGAGTTTCTATAATCTTTCTTCCAACTTGCTATTGGTGATTTAAAATTTTTTTTAGTCTAAAACAAAGGGACTAAAAAATTTTGTTTGCTACTTTGTTTGCTATATTCTTATTTTATTCTTTTATAGACGAAAATAACCATTATTTAGTTCAATATAATTGTTTTATTTGCAGTATTTGTATGAAATTTTTTATTTCAATTGCTATTGATTTTTAGGGATTACAGGAAGGGTTAGATATTGTGTATTGTGTGGGTCGGAGGGGAAGCTTGCACTTGATGTTCTTTCTAGCCGTGATGAGGATTACGGTGCACATTGCCGTGACCAGCGCCTACCACAACTGGAACTGGGACTGGAACAGGAACGGCTACCCCATGGGGCTGGCGGATGGGATGCGCCGGGGCAACCACAACTCGAGGAGCAGGAACCACCACTCGGGGAGCAGGCACAACAACGGTGGCAGGACGGGAGTAGACTACGGGAGCTGGGCGGTGGGCCAATCCCGATCGGATCACACCATGGGGTCCTGCAACTGGAATCGGAAGTGGGCCATGGCTGAGGATCGGACGCGGAGCCGAATGCACAGATGGGTGTCCTTGGACGACCACAGGAGCTCCAGCAGAGACCACTCCAGAGTGAACTGCAACCTCGGATTCCTGTTCGATGGGCAGAATATTCGATCCTTGAGCCAGGACGACGATGGCGCTGAAGACAACAATGAAGCGGGAGGCCATTTTGCTTTGGTTGTTTGTTTTGGATGCTTCAGGTGGAACTGATACTTTCAGCTTGGAAAATTAAAGCTTTTATAGTAAAACTCGGCTGTACAAATATCTCGATCTTAACACAAAATACCAAAGCACTTAATTAATTATTTAAAATAATAACTGTAATGGGAGCAAGCACACGTGTGAATCCATTTCTAAACTTGAATTTTTTTAATTTTAAGAACTTTGCTCTCTGAACTTTCTTAGGTCTCAAGTTCACTGAACTAAATATTTTGTTAAATGTATAAACAGTGCAGAGATTATAAATCATCTAAATAATAAGTTGTTGATCTTCTCTTTGCCTGTTTGGAAAAAATTCCAAGATTAATGCAAATTGGAGAGTGGAAAGAAAAGCACAATATGAAAATTATATTCATGATCGATTTTTAGTTTTGTTTTTTGGTTTGTTTTTGTACATCCTTCAAATTTTAGGAAAGATTGTAATTTTTTAATAAGACGTCATTTCTAAAAGTTGTACGTTGTTGATAAAAATTACCAAATTATAGGAACGTTTCAATTTTCTCGATAAGCACAAGCCACAAAATCTATCTATTTGAAATTCTTAACATGAATAATATTTATTCTTTTAAAATAAAGAATAATTTAAGTTTAATATCTAATGATATTGTAGAACAAGCTTATGATCTGGAACATGCTTTAAAGTTTAAAACTTATGAAGAAAGCATACCTAACATAAGCATACAAACTTTGTTATTTCCCATGAGTTCACTGAAGAGATAAAAACCAATATATTCAAAAGTTTTGTTATTTTTAATTATCCTTTATTTAGGATAACAACCATTCAAAAACTTTTTTCCTTCGCAGAATCACTTTAATACTTCCCACATATAAATATTATAAATCACTCCCAAAGAGTACAAATACACACAATTTTTGCATAAAAGTTGTTATTATTCGTAAAAGATGCATGTTAAAAAAGTTGTAGAGGGTTAAGTAGAGTTGGCAAAAATAAGCAATGTGTTTTTGGTACAATCAATTCAGTAAAAGGAGTGAACGTTTTCTATTGAGGCTTCTGGTTGCGGTTGCGGTTTCCGTGGGTAGCTCCTCCGATTGGACGACCTCCAGCAGGACGGTTGTGGGCTCCACCAGCCTGACGACGTGGGGCACCTCCATGAGCACGAGGTCCAGCCGCTCTGGCTCCGCTCAATCGCCGGGATCCTCCAGCTGGAGCAGAGAGTCCTCCATGACCGGGAGCAGGACGTTGGGGACCAGCCGAATGACCACGTGGAATTCCAACAACAGGAGCACCTGATGAAACCACTCCAGAGTGATGGACTCCCACGACAGATTCCTGCTCAACTGGCAAAATGATTGATCCTTGAGCCAGGACGATTGTGGCAATGAAGACGAAAATGCAACGGATGGCCATTTTTGATTTGATTATTTGGGATTATTGCTTGTAAGACAACTGATGATTTGTATTAAAAAGTATTGGCTTATATACTTCAGAAAGTCAAACACAGCTCGGGCTGCAAAAATATGTTATTAATAATTTTAATTGCTATAATGCTATCACGTGTGACTCACGAAACTTTGGCTTCCCCGAAATTTGTTTGCTGCCAAGTTCTTTGCTTTTTCAACTCTCGCGCAGTTCAAATAAAGTTCACTGAACCATTTACCTTTGCTACTTTTAATTAAACAGCATTTTAAAGAATTTTAAGCGCCATAAATAAGTTGTTTTATACTTCATTAACTAAAACAATACTATACTAAAACTGCACCATCTACCTTTGCTACTTTTAATAAAACAGTTTTTAAAAGATTTTTAAGCGCCATAAATAAGTTGTTTTATACTCCGTTAACTAAAATAATACTAATAAAGTTTAATAAGAAATTTCTGTACTTCTAATTAACAATGCCTAGTGTTGTTTAATTACTTTTAGGAATGACAAAAGTCAAACAGCTAACGGGCTATTATAATACAAATATAATTTCTAAATAAAAATTAACCTACTTTATGCAAAAAAAATAATTAATTTATAAATCAATCCTTTCTGCAACAACGAATCAAAGCTACTAGCTATTAAGGCATATTGTAAAATTAAAGTTCTAAAATTGACTGCGTAAAAATGTTATCGCCCATGAAAATATAGTAGAACTTGTATAATATTAGGAACCGCGATGAACATTTTTTTTTTTTGCCAATCGATGGATTAGCGATACACGCAAAAACGACATAATAAATCAGCTTAACAAATATCAAGAACATAGATTAACTAAAAGCGAGATATGGGTCCAATCCGCTTAAAAAGTCACACTCTTACCTTGCAAAGCTCTTAAGCTGCATACTTGAATAGGCAACATTTTTTGTTATTTCTATTAACCTTATAGTATCCGAAGCACTTTAAAAACCCGACTGACTTAGAGTGCTTTTGAAGAAGATGCAAAACATAACAATTTGATTTAGTGTATGTATATTATTTATTTTTTATTTTTTTTAAATCGTTGCTATTGTTGTAACTAGGTTTTATAATGTGTCAAATCCGTTGGGCAGTAGTATTGTTACAGTTTCTAGCCGTGATGGGGATTACGGTGCACATTGCCGTGGCCAACCACAACTGGAACTGGAACAGGAACTGGGACAGCTACTCCATGAGGCTGACGAACGGGAGCCACTGGGGCAACCACCACTTGGGGAGCAGCAACCACCACGGTGGTGGCTGGACGAGCCACATAGGGACGAGCTCCCAATCCGAGTCCACGGTGAGGTGCAGCCACTGGAACTGGAAGAGGCACAATGGGCTGGGCCACTGGTGCATGTCCGTGGGAAAGAACAGGAACGGGAGCTCCAGAGTGAACTTCCACCTCGGCTTCCTGCTCAATGGGCAGAATGCTGGATCCTTGTGCCAGGACGATAATGGCGCTGAAGAAAACAATGAAGCGGGCTGCCATTTTGCTATGGTTTGTTGGGATTATTGTTTGGAAAACAACTGATACTTTTGCAGGCGATCTTACGGCTTTTATACTGGAGAAACGCATACGAGGCTAGATTTTCTAAGCATGTAATTTATCATTTTTAAGGCAATTAAAGTAAGAAAGTGATGTCATGTTTCTTTACCAAATTAAAATTTGACCCAGTTTTGGCATTAAGAAGTGCTTTGAACTTTGAGGTAGTTCGTGTCAATATTATTAAAGCTTATGAAAGCTAAAAAAAAGCAGTAATAATCATAATATTATTAAGAGAAACCATTCTTTAGAATATATCATTATTATTGGTTTTCAGACTAACCTAAGTAATACAATATAATACATTTTTTTATGATTTAAGTTCTTTTTATGTGTTGCTTGTTCCTACGTAATTTTTTTATTTATACTATGTTGTTTGTATTTTAATTGAACCAGAAAATAGACTGAGTATCAAAGTAAAACACTTATTAGAACTTAGAGGACGAGAATTGGCTGTTGTCTTGTTCCACAAACTATATTGACCACGGAAAGCAAAACACGCAAATTATAATTATTCATTTAAATTTTTAGATTTATTTGCATAAAGCTATAAACTTGTTGTCAAGGTACTTAATTGTCATCGCAATGTGTCACATAATTTCCATTCATAAAGGTTACAATTATATCAAGTCTTATTATTAATTAGAGTTTCTAGATTGGTTAGCATAGGAGCAACTAAGCTAGTTGTCAAAATAAATTAAATTTCCAATGCATTGTGTCTCAAAATTTTTGTCATTCAGGTTACAAGCTAGTCAAGTGTAGTCCACCATGTGGTTATAATTTTTATTCTCACTTTTGCGGAACGCTTTCTTCAAAAGGTTTCGATTTTTTTATTGGCCACCGAACAACATAAAGGACGTCGAAGAAATCGAGCAAAACCAGGAGGAAGATTACGTCCCTGTAGCCAAAGGAGATTGCCAAGATGCCGAAGAGTTCTTGTACTTCCTTCCGGGGAACAAGTACTTCAGGGTGAGCCACTTAAAGGACCATTTTAAGAGGTCCATTCTGTTAACAAGAAAGTTTATTTTGTATAACCACCTGCAGTTACAAGGGGTTACATATTGCGAATTTCGGGTCCTTTGACCTCGATGTAGGATCTATAATGAAAGAGTGGAAGAGTCATAAGACTCTGCATTTGGCGTGATGGGCTGACTGACCTGTAACCTCTATAAAAGAAAAACGTGTGACACACTGTGGCGGTAAGTAGCTTTTGTAGTTTTTCGCAGTGACGAGTCAATTTTTAATGTGAATGTCAAAAATTTTGAGTTGCATCGGCTAAATATCGTCACAAACTGTGAGGGCTATACCAAAAAAACACTGGATCCTTTCCAAATTTTCAAAAAATGGATATTTTAAATTTTTATGATAATTTTAACTTAATGGTATAAGTCCAACTTAATAGAGTTCCTTAATTGCTCACAGAATTTTTATTGTTTATTGACAGTGGGACAAGGTCTTAAAACTCTGCCGACAAATTTAGCAGAGAGTCCGTTGTAACACTTTTGTTAATTAAAATAAGTCCAAAATAAATAATTGTTGTACATGTTTATTTACATTGGGAATAATCAAGAACAAATGCTACATATGTAGTAAATATGGTCAGTGGATCAGTTTTTATCAGTTCATTTTGAAGCTTTAGTGGGATCTGTGAGCTGTGGGCAGATGGTGGCATTCGTGATGACCGATGTGCCTCAAAACTGCAATTTAAGAAAAATATTATACTTCGCATTGACGCAGACTAAATCAATACTTACGTGGCTTCAGTTCATTGCGGCGCAGGCAGTTCAAAACGGCCAACTCGCAAGGGTTCTCCACGTGGAAGCAGACATGCCCATCGGTGGCGTAGGTGGGACTATGGACCCTGGGGCAGTGGATGGTCGCATGGCAGTTGCGATGGTGGTGCAAGTGGTGAACTCCATGATGCCCATGATGTCCATGAATTCCATGCAGATGATGGTGATCATGGTGATGGCCTCCATGAATGTGGTGGTGCGCCTCATGGTGATGATGGTGATGGGGACCTTCATGAACAAGGTGATGCGACTCCTGGTGATGATGATGGGATTCGGAGAGGTGATGGTGCGACTTCACGTGATGGTGAGGTCCATGCTCGTGGTGGTGGGATTGAGCCTGGTAATCATGTCCATGATGATCGCCTCCAATTTCTGCTTCCGAGTGCTCATGGTGATGGGAATGCGGCTCTACAGCATCCTCGGCCGGCAGATATTCCTCCTGGGGAACCTCGCCTTCGGCACCAACTATGTCCGATTGGTGGGCCTCATTTAGATCTCCGTGATGAAGTGATCCTTGGACAAGGACAATGAAAACGCTGAACACCACAACGAAACGCAGGGCCATATTTGCTTCGTTACTCAACAGGCAACTGATGCCATTTCACAGGAACCTTTACTGTTTTATACCAAAAGCGTAGTAGATGCCGCTTCCAACACTTTAAACTTAATAAGAAGCCCATTTCAATTAGAAGTTAATTAAAAGATAAGCACTGCAATGGCATCGCTGCTGAGGAGCTAATTAAAAAATATAAATATACTAACGCAAACCGTAAATCAAAAGCCATATGGTAAATGCAGGCTAGGAACATTCAACTTATTCGTTCCATTTGTCCAGTTATTCGCGTGCATAGAGTTTTGAATTTAGAATGTCAACCTGGGTTTACTGAACCTATACAATTGTTTACAAAAACATTCTTGAAAACTGGTTATCATTACATACCATATCTTCACACTTTGAAAGTTTAAACTCGATGGGCTTTTCTAGTCACTAGTCAGCAAAATGAACAACTTATTGACACGTTTCAAGGTGAAATTTGACTTTGATCCGTAAGTATGCCAGTTATCCAATAAAACACATCGTACAGCAAATAATTGAAAGATTCTGTTTTTCGGTGTTCAATTGTTAATTTACCAAATAAATAAACAGGAAAGAATAAAACACAAAAGAATACATTGTTCGTTGTTCAAAAACAAACACCCGTTGCGTCAAAATACTTTAAACAAGTGTATTAATTGTATACATATTTATGTTTATTTAAGACAGAAAATAATTTAATGCATTAGCAGAGAAAAAAACAGAAAATCCGAAAAAAACTGATCAGAATTACTCTGAGATTTTAGGTTTAATCAAAATTCTCTTTAGCGGCTTTATTTACATTTAAAAATAATTAGAGCACTTTAATCGTTTTACAAAAGGCTGTAATGGAAAATACATACACTTTTATGAAAGTGCGTCAAGATAAATACTTTCTTTACTTTAGCATAAAACAGTTTGAATATTTATTGAATTTTTAATAAATATGGCAATCTTCTATTAAATTATTTGTAATCTCTGTACTTAACATAAAAAACGACAATTCAAACTGCAGAGCAGGTTATTCAGCTGTTATTTATTTATTCGTATACACATTTGTATTACTTTTCCACCATTTGCGTGAGTTTACAAGAAAGCTGAAAGCAATTAAACAATTACTCTATGATTTTGTCCAAATTAACTTGGTAATTGCACTTACTCTCGCCAGTACGACAGGTGTGAATCCGTTTTTGGCATTCATTGCTGAACTCCCGGATCTGCCCATTATAATTTCCAGTTGTTGGGCTATAAATTGCAGGGCAGATCTGAGGGCACTGTTTCTGGCACTCATCCTTTGTGGTGACGGTGTAGCCTTTGAATATTATTAGTTTTATTATAATGCTTTCAGAGAATTAGTTTAGAATTCTCACCTGGTTTGCGGACCATATTTGCTTTATTTAAGTAACACTGATTACGAAAAACATTGCAGCCACCTCCAAGAGCCCAAACTACATCTTCAGTATCTGGACAATCTGCGCAATCGGCACAATATAACGCTGTGCTGAGAACCAAACACAGAGTAATGAATAATTTCATTGCGGGCTAATATTTTTCTTTAATGGAGTTTTAGCAACCGAGTTTGTCGTGTGACTAGCTTTCTATCTCTAATATGATGAGCTTTTATAGGGTTCTGCAGTTGTCATAGTCAATATTGGCAGCGTGCCAGGTGTCGGGGCTTTTTCTATTGTTCGGTTTGTTTTCGCGATTTCACGAAAAATAAATATATGGTTAATGATCGCCAATAAAATACTCATTGAACATATAAGGCCTTACTACATTAAATTTAAAAAACAAATATTTAAAATCGAACTTATGTTATTATATGATTTTAAAATAAAAATATTATTTAAAAACTTAAAACTTGTGTTGTTTTTATTGCATAATAAAAAAAAATTTAATTTTTTTATAATTACATCGGTAGGCGCGGACTTCTACGTGAATTTTTATTGCATTGTTGTTTTGCGATGACCATACGTCGACGATTTAAGTTATTAATAAGGTAGTTGAAAATAATAACCAAAAAACATTTAATTCCCCCACTATTCACCAACTTAGTGAAAAAAAAAATATTTTATCAATTTAAGATTGTGGTAAACAAGTTCTTTATATAAATAACCATGATTTTTTTATGTATATTATTTTATTTAGCCGTCTCTTCTTTTAATGTGGTTTACAAAAAAGCTGTTTAAAATAAAAAATAAGTAATCAGGTAATGGTTTATTTATTTTATATCACTTACTTTCGCCGGTTCGACAGGTGTGCGCATACTTCTCGCATTCATTGCCAAAGCTCCGAACTTGTCCCTTGTAAATTCCACCTGCGGGTTGGTAAACAGCGGGACAAATATCGGCGCATTGCTTCTGGCACTCCTCCTTGGTAGTTATAATCAGTGCTAGATAAAGTCGGATTGATTATAAAAATACAATACAAGTACAATAACTAGTCAAGAAATAGTTACGCGGCTTGCGATGGCAGTTCTCCTTGTCAAAGTAGCACTTGTTCCGAAAAACATGGCAACTTCCTCCAAGAGCCCAAACAACGTCCTCCGTATCAGGGCAATTTCCAGAGCAATCTGCACTAATTTGGCTTAAAGCCAGTAGCAAAATCACACAAATGGGGAAAAATAATTTCATACTGCTGCGTAGCGTTGAGTTTGTGGATGAACTGAACACCTGTCTTTATTGAATCTTCTTTTATATCAGGTTCCAAGGGGGCGCGTCTTTCAAGATATCTATAAACTTACGACGTCATACGCTCAGCAGATGTGGGGGATTTTTTTTCCGTATTATCGATTTATCTAATTTGCACATTGTTTAGTAGACGGTGATCGCCGATGAGTTACTCATTTGTTTTACTTCACATGAATAACTTTTCATTTTTTTTATTTTTTTTTAGTAATATCTTTGTCAATAAAAACTTGATTAGAATCAATCTATGTATAAAACTTGAACGAAATCACAGACTGAGGATCAAAATGAAACACTTATAAGACATATAATGGACTTAGTAATCGACTACCCAATTGGCTGTTGTCTTGTTCCACAAACACTATTGACCACGGAAAACAAAACACACAAATTACAATTATTAATTTAAATTTGTAGATTTATTTGCATAAAAGCTACAAAAACTTGTTGGCAAGGTATTAAATTTCCATCGCAGTGTCTCACATAATTTCCATTCATAGAGGATACAATTAAGTCAAGACTTATTACTAATTTGAATTTGATTGGTTAGCATAGGAGCAACCGAGCTAGTTGTCAAAGTAAATAAAATTTCCAATGCATAGTGTCTCAAAATTTTTGTCATTCAGGTTACAAGCTAGTCTAGTGTAGTCCACCATGTGGTTATAATTTTTATTCTCCCTTTTGTGCAACGCTTTCTAAAAAAGTTTGCGATTTTTTGATTGGCCACCGACCAACATGAAGAACATGGAGGAAACAGAGCAAAACCAGGAGCGAGATTACGTCCCTGTAGCCAAAGAAGATTGCCAAGATGCCGAAGAGTTTTTGTACTTCCTTCCGGGGAACAAGTACTTCAGGGTGGACCACTTAAAGGGCCATTTTAAGAGGTCCACCCTGTTAACAAGAAGGGTAAGATTCTTTTGTACAACCACTTGCAGTTACAAGGGGTTAAATATTGCGAATTTAGTGTCCTTTGACCTCGATGTAGGACCTATAATGGAAGAGTATAGTGAAGAGTGGAGGAGTCACAAGACTCAGCACTTGGCGTGGTGACTTACCTGTTACATCTATAAAAGAAAAATGTGTGACGGTAAGTAGCTTCAATTATTTATGTGAATGTAAAAAATTTAGAGTTGCATCGGCTAAATATCGTCAGAAACTGTGAGGGTTATACCAATAAATCACTGGATTGAGTAAGTAACGAAAAGCATCGATAGAGTACGCCAGGAAAGCATTCAATGTACCCGCAGAATTTATAACCTTTAATCATGTACCTAAATTCCTGTAAAGTAAAACGAAATAGCGTAGAAGTTTTTTTTAAATTTTATTCATAGCACGAAACGTTAATCAAAATACTTACTTCCAATAAAATGAACCTCACTCGTTGCGTATTTGTATTCTATGTGGTGTTTCCAGGGAATAGACTTGGTGACCTAAATATGATATAATGTTCAATGTATGGAAACGTAGAATCTGAACGTCACTCAATCAGCTTGCTTTGTTTTACAATCCGGTTTCAATCCGTTCTCGCTCCGTTAATAACTCTCGTGATTTCTCTCCGTTCACGCTTTGCAACTAAATAGAACAGATGTTTATTGCTAATTGGAAATGAAACGTGCTGTTTAGGCCGCTGGTGCAAATCCAATCTGCCGATGGCCAGCATCAAAAGCGGTGTAATACCGGCCTATAAAGACGTCTCCCAGGATCCAAAACTCGGCATCCATCAAGGTAAAAGCGGAAAGACATATAGTGGTGCCATCGTCATTGGCCACACTCATTACATAATCTGTGGGCTGCAATCCGAATCGCTGCCCTCCAATGATGAACACAATTTCGGGCAGTTTGTCGATCTCCGAACAGTTGAGCAGGTACTCATTGTTCGATGTGGGCAAACCGCCAAGCAGGCTGTTAATTATCAGGTATTCCCTGGGAGGAGCTGCCAAAAGAGAAGTACCTGTATCTGCGATCGCCTGGCGATTCTGGCTGATAATTGTGCCTCCCACTTCCAAGCCATCCAATCGGAATTGCCAGTAACCCGCATGAGTAAGAGGTACGTAGGTAAGTGATCCCACGAACTTGGTCTTATCCACGCCACCGAAAAGTAGCTCACCACCCATTCTCTCACTGCCATTACGTTTCAGATAAAAAGAAAATACACACTCATCCACCAAATGCTGATCGCACATGCTCTCGAACAAAGGAGCGATTCTATGTTCGGCTATCGCTCGGAAACCCAGTCCCACAATCCCGGCGAAGTTGGTGTCTACAAAAGTGGAGCCGGGTTCGTGCATGGCCATGCCAAAGGTTTGATTCCGCACCACCAACTGGCCAATAGAAACCGTATCCTGGGCCAGTCGACCCGACAAGCTCCCAGTTCCGTAGGCAATGGCGAATCTCCGACCATCCGGGACATAACTGCTCGAGGCACTCGAGTTGTAGCGATGATGGCGCTGGCAGGCACGATTTTTGGCCGAACACTCGGCACTTGGCACCCAGAGATTCGCGGAGCCAGTATCAAACAGCATATTGAATGGCTGACCCGGGGAGCCAATGCTAATGGGTCCTGCGTACTCCAGATTCAATCGGTTATCCAGCGTTTCTGTGGCTCCACTATTTCTTGATGTGATATCCTGTCCTCCAACCACATTGTACTTGGCCAAAAGAGACGATCTACCGGCGCGATGTTGACGACGACTGGCCATGAAAGAGGCCTGGTATTGCATGGGAATCCGAACCAGTTGGCCAAGGCATCCCGGCCAAAGTAGGCACAATATCCACAGGGACAACAGCCAAAGGAGGCACTGCATCGCTGACCAACCGAAAACGAAACGATCCGAACCGTGTGTGAATTCCCTTCGAACTAATTGGCAGAGATTCTGGAGGCGATTGTTTTATAGCACCTGCAAATGGAGCAATTTAATGGCCAATTTCGTCTGGCATTCAAATGGAATTGGCTAATGTGGCGGTTGAACGCACTTCAATGTTTGCGTAAATAGCACATAAATAGGGCGAGTACATTTAATTGAATAAACAAAGCAATGGGCAATTACCGAATTAAATTGTGCGAACAGTGGGCTAGTATGCTTTTTAAATAGCAATTAGAAGCTGAAAACTTCCCCGGAAAAATAGCCAACTTTGAAACGAAATTATATGTTATTATACTTTATAAAACAATGTTTGTATTTCAACAGAGCCACTCTCACTTTTAGCACATATTTGACTTAACATGCATACGATAAACATAGCTCTTATCTCATTTAATTATCTTTTAATCAGGCCAAAGTATTTTTTTAGCCACTACCTTGCACCGACTTAGCCAATCCAATTTTCTTTGCTGTGGCATCGTAAACCGTATAGTACCTTCCCAGAAAGACATCCCCAAGCACCCAAAATGGCATTTTAATGGGAGCAATGGCCAGCAGACAAATCTTTTTACGATCCACTGTCAACTCCCTCAGATAATCGTTTGGTGTTAGGGGAAAAACCTTGCCTCCGATGACAATATTAATATTAGGCAAAGATTCTCTCCTGCAGGTTAACACATTATAGCCAATTTGCAGTCGAGTCGATAAGGCTCTTAACAGATTATAGTAAGTTTCTTGGGGCATTAAGACCAGCGAAGTGCCAGTGTCCAAAATAGCATTGCTTTTCCCGCCAATTTGTTTACTTTCTACGGTTGTGTTGGTTATTTCCAGGCTCCAAGAATTCGAACGGCTGATCGGCACATAATGAAGTTTCCCTTCAAACTTGGTTTTGTCAAAGCCACCGAAGATTATTTCCCCTCCCGGAAGTTTTGACAAATGGCTTCGGAGGTAAACCGAAAATATGCAGTCATCAACTAAACGCTTTTCGCATAAAAGTGTCAAAAAAGGTTTCGTGTTGGCCCAGGCTAAAACCCCGAGGCCCAAGCCCACCAGTCCATCGAATTTCACTGAATTAAAGGCAAAGTGTTGAAGGTACAAACTCTCTCCGAAAATTAGTCCAGTTAAATCAGCTCCAGCAAAGTGCAAAGTGTCCTTTGAGAGATAACCAACCACTCTACCAGATCCGTAATGCAAGCTAAAGTTACGTCCATCGGGGATATAGCTGCTCGATCTGGAGGAGTCATATCTTCGGTGATTCTGACAAGCGGAATTACTTTTCGGGCAATTGGTTGAAGGCAACCAGGTGTTCGAAGATCCCGTGTCGAAAATCACACTGAAGTTTTGCCTCGGGGTTCCCATTGAAATGTTCCCATAGTATTCCAGATTTTTGTGAGTCTGCAGAGCCACAAGAAGTGGTTTACTTCCTCTAGTTGAATTTTTGGCAAAGAGCTGCTCACTTCCATTGATTTTTTGCCTGACATAAAGCGGCACTTTCAGTACTTTTTTACTAGCAAAGGTTACAAATGAAAGCGCGAGTAAAATAAACACAGCTCGAAGCATCATCGATGAGTTTGCTTGGAGAACTGAACAAATTCCTCTCAGATTTTTGCATTCTAAGTGGAATATTGCTCATGTAACTGCACAGCTGTTTGGACTTATTAGCCAGGCAAGTAGTTAGGTTAAAAGACCTGTTTTTGGCTCGGCTTGTTAACTTTTGCATTCAATAGTTACAAATTTATGTAGCTCTCAAAAGAACAGTCCTACCAGAATTATGAATATAGTTATGAAATATTTTTCGGGAATTATTTTTATTATATTTCTCACTAAAATGTGATTGCAAATAGATCAAAATTTAATAGAACAAATTGAGATTTAAGATGATCCTTTATTTGAGATCAAATATAGGGTACTAAGAATTAAAAGCGCTTAACGATTTGGCCTAATTGGAGTAAGTGGTGGCAGCGAATCCGATGCGGTTTTTAGCCAAATCGAAGATTACGCAGTAGTGACGGATAAGGGAGTCGCCCAGGATCACCGGACCGTCAAGCAAGGTGACCGCCGAAAGGCAAATGGTTCTGCCCTTCTTGGTCTTGACCCTCATCATCATCTTGTGTCCCGGGAGGCGGAGCTTCACGCCCGCCACCTCAAACTCGTAGTAGGGGACTGCCTTGGAGCACTCCATCCAGCACTCTCCGCTGGAGGTCTCCGTGCATCCGAGGATCTGGTTGATCTTCTTATAGATTCTAGGGGGAGCCGTTATCAAAGAGGTTCCGGAATCCACAATCGCCTGGATGGGACCACCCACTTTGGTGCCGCCGACGTAGATTCCCTGCAGCTTGAACTGCCAGTAGCCCTGTTTGGTCACCGGGGTGTAGGTGTAGCTATGCGATCCAGTGTAGGCACTGGTGTCGGTGGAGCCGAAGATCAGGGCTCCTCCCCTCGAGGAGCTGCCACCACCCCTCATGCAGATGGCAAACACACAGGTGGTGATCACATCTTCCGAGCACATGTTCTGCACCAAGGTCTTCACATTGTCCACCGAAATCGATTGATAGCCCAGACCCAATATGCCATCGAACTTGGACTTGACGAAGACGGAGCCCGGCTCCTTGGTGGTCATCGCGAAGGTTTGGTTCGTGACCGTCAGTCCGGCCACCTTCATGTTGTCCATGGCCAGGACTCCCTCCACACTTCCCGACTCGTAGTCGATGGCAAAGGCCGTACCGTTCTTCACGTAGGTGCTCGACTTGCCAGGATGGTAGCGATTGTGCACCTTGCAGGCCTTGCTCTCGCAGTGAGGTCCTGGTACCCAGATATTGGAACTTCCGGTGTCCGGCAGGAAGATGAACTTCTGACCGCCAATGAATCCCTTGCAGGTGTACTGCATGTTGCCCGTATTGGCCAAAGCTGTTCTTCCGGTGGTTGCGGCAAAACTCAAGCCATAGCGATGGGCCAGGAACACCCTTTCGAACTGGATGCTGTCGGTGGTTCGCATGTAGTTCTGATCGAAGTCCAGTGGCAGAACGGCGTAACTGGAACCACTACTGGCGGTGGACGTGCCTTCTCGACGGGACTTGGCCTTGGTTCTATGGTTCTTCTTCTTGGCCAAGTTGCGCCGCTTCCTGTTCTTCCTTGCCGCATTCTGTCGCCTTCTTCGCGAATTCTTCCCTCTGGCTGCCAGTCTGTTTCCCCGACGTCCAACGTTTCCCCGACGTGCAACGTTTTCCTGATGTCCTACGTTTTCCCGAATCCTGTTTCCATGTCTGCGCTCCAAGGATCTGGCTCCGGTTTGGTTTTCCCTCCTTTGCCTGGCCTCTGCCAAAACAACGAAGAGGCAAATCAAGGCGCACAACACTAAAACGCTAACGCGCATTTTAGGTATTTTAAGCAGGAAGTTTAATTGGCACTAACCCTCGCAATTCGGGGGGAGTGGGTTTTATAGACCTCAGCATAGTCTAAGATTTGGTATTCAAGGTCAGTAGATAAAACAGATGTGGGTATGTTTCAAATTCTTTAAAGCGCGTAAGAGAACAAGTAAATAGAAACAAGACTGTAGCGAATCACATGGAAATATATTCTAAAATTAGATCTCAAAGCTATCTCTTTGTTATAAAATATCTAAAATGAAATAAAAATTATAAGCCATGCATATATAAAAACTGGGACAGTTAGAAAAAAAGACTTAACCCAAGAAGACCAGTCTTCGTGGAATAAAAAAAAGATTGATATTGCCATTGAAAACAATTTGCTTAGACCTTTAAATAAATAATTAGTAAAGCAAGATGAACAAGTTGAGTTTTGAATACCAAAAAGTAAACATTATAATAAATGTTAGTTGTTGTTTACAACTTGTAAACCATGTTCTGATTCGAAGACATATGAGTTAAGCTAAACCCACACCATAAAAAAATTCTAAAACATAAATATCAATAATGAACCATATTTATTTTCCAAAAAAGTGTCAACATTTAGAGTAATCAACGTCATAACTGAGTTTATATAAATAACTCTTTTTTTATTTGCAGAGTGATATTTTTAGATTATCTAAGTTGACTACATTTAGGAGAAGTTCTTGCACATTTATTCAAGGTCGTTCCAGACCAACCTGTTGGAAAGTAAACAAAAAATGGAAACATAATAAGTAAAGAGCAAAGTTAAATATATATCTCACTCACTTATTTTGTGACGACATGCGCTGACACCCATTTCACATCCATTGCCGAACTCGCATCTTACCAAGTTTCCCCCAATCATAGCCTCTCCACAAACAGGCATATAAACTGCAGGGCAAGCATCAGGACAACGTGGCCTGGTTTGAGCCTTAATCTGAACTAAGAGATAAAACAAACAGAAAATCAGAGCAAACGACTTCATCTTCCCAGAAAAGTAAAACGATTCTGACTGTTTAGTGACAGGCTGATGAGCTTTTATAGGCAGAGAGATGAGCAGGTTTCAAACAAAAGCAGCTGTAAAAAGTTCATTTAAATGTATTGTCATTCATTTCAATATTGAATGCGGTGGGGATCCCCTTTTCGGGGATCATCGATCAATTCCCTATAAAAACATCCACACTCTCCCACTATAATGCCAAACTGGTTAACCGCAACAACCTTCACTTAGTCTTGGATCACTCCAAATGGTTGTGAAGTCCGAACGGAAAACGTGCTGGCCAGGTTAACTATTATGTGTTTGAATTTCAATTTACTGCGATCATTTTCTGCCACAAATCGATTCGTTTCGACCACCACTTGAACTCCATAAAGAGATCAGAGCAAATCCAATTGAAAGTCGGTTATGACTGCTGCGTGGGTGTGGATGCTCTTGGCGGTCATGAATTTGACACTCGGTCAATCGGTCATTAAGGCGCTGCCGAACGAAAATCAAGAAAATAGTTTAAGTATTCAGCCAAAGACTACAAAGACTCGAAGAAGCTTGTGTAAAAAATGTTATCCATATCTCTACCCAAAGGATAAATACTATGTGCTGCCCAGGAGTACGGGTAAAAACAGGCCACATAATGTTGTCTTTCTCCTGGAGGATCAAAAAACTGGACGACCTGTCAAGGTGGCATTCAAGCATGGTCTTAAAAATGATAGAAATTTGCGTGTTTTAAAAGGCTTCAATAACTCCATTGACCCGTGTCGGGATAAGCCAGGTAGATGTGTCTATCGGCTGATTAATAGAAAAACATTGCGCACCTACCGAGTTCAATTAAAAAATAAGTTTAAAAATAGAAAACGAACAGCTATATTAAAGCTTATCCCATAGGTACACAGTAAAATCTTTTTAAAGCAGGTTGAACCACTTAAAAAAATTGATCACACACTGAGTTCTAAAATTTATTTTGTAAACACATAAAAATTAATCTATGTACTGATTATTTAAATTTTATCGTACTTGTAAAAGCTTTTACTTCAATTAAGGTCAGAACTGTCTGCCACTACATATATTTCCTTACTTTGTTCCTTACATTTTCGATTATCAATAAAAAATACTTTCTGAGTGCAAAGTAAAACGAAATTAATGCCGCTGTGGGCTCCCAACACTCAGAGCTCCCATTCACTTGGCTGCGACCTGTCGACTGTCATGTATTTTCGATCGGACCGGGCCAAATCGAAGCGGGCCAACGGGTGGGCGTTGAAGTTGGCCAACGAGATACGCACGCGGTGTCGCCAAGCTGACAGAGCCAAAGATTTATTACCAAAGGGGTCCAAACATTCGCTTTCTGCTCTTTTTTGCCGAATTAATACACCTTCAAGAGACAAAGTCAATCAAAAAGCGAAAAATTACGCGTGCGTAGATTTTACTTTCGAAATGAAAGCCAAAACCGGAAACCTGTAAAAGCAATTACTTTTAAAAACACAAGACCATTATTGCCATCAATGAAGATGAGCCTTTTTTTAAGTTGTCTGTTTACTTTTTGCACCAGAAAAGTGACCAATCGATGTCAAGCTAAGTCGTTGTTTTAATCCGATTTGAATCGGTAGTTTAAATTTGCAAGCGGAAAATTCTGAAATTATATCCAAAATGAAAAAATACATACAGTCGTTTCTTTGAACCTTAATCAAAATGCAAGTTCGTTTTCTTACTTTATTTAGTCTAATTTGCTTGTCGTTAATAATAGCAATTCGAGGCATCCTTCTCGAAACTTCAAAAAAATGTGGAGTAAACGAGACTTTGACTGTGAACTAGAGGTGGGCGCGGGCCGGGCTTTTTTCGTGGCCCGCGGGCTTACACAGGCCCGGAGCGGGCCCGGGCCTTGAAATTAAGATTCGTGCGGGTTTCGTGCGGGCCCGGGCCTTATCAAAAAGGCCCGGCCCGTAAAAGCCCGAAAAGAAAGTTGAGAAAAACGCTATCGACATAGAGCTTGACAAATATTTGGCCTATCCAGCAGCTCCTGGCACACATATTTTAGAGTTCTAGAAAAATGCAAGGGACTTAAAATACCTTTCTAAATTAGCTCGGACTATTCTGGCTATTCCCGCCAGTTCGTCTACGAGCGAAAGGCTTTTTTCAACATCGGGCCATGTTTTAAATGAAAAAAGCACAAATTTGGAAAATATTTTATTTTTAAATAAAAGTATGACATGATTTGTTTTTTTATTAAATACATAACATTATTCATGTATGTACCTATACCTTATACCGTTTTGCACCAGAAAAGTGACCAATCGATGTCAAGCTAAGTCGTTGTTTTAATCCGATTTGAATCGGTAGTTTAAATTTGCAAGCGGAAAATTCTGAAATTATTGGGTTGGCAAGAAAGTAATGTCGTTTTTTTTAGTAATCGTTTTTAATCTAATTTATTTACGACTATTCGAGCACCAGGGTCACACTTTTTAGTATAGTTTTAAAGCTTATTGTCTTAGGTACTAACGACGAAAATTTGGTAATTATTCGATAACATTTGTGGAAGCTATAGCAAATTAAACATGGAGGACCAAAGTGAGCATTTTCGGCATATTTTGCTTTTTTACTTTCAAAAAGGAAAAAAGCGGTCGAAGCTCGCGAAAAATTGTGCGAAGTGTATGGTAAAGATGCCATGAGTGATCGCCAATGTCAGCGCTGGTTTGCCAAATTCAGGCTTGGAGATTTTGGAGTTAAAGACGCTCCACCTTCTGGACGACCATCGGCCGTTTTTGACGAAAAAATTCAGGCTTTGCTGGATGAAAACCGGCATTATTCAACGCGGGAGATGTCAGAGAAGCTCAGTGTGTCGCATACAACGGTTGAAAACCATTTGAAGAAACTTGGCTACGTAAGCAAGCTCGATGTTTGGGTTCCGCATAACTTAAAGGAAATTCACCTAACTAAGCGTATCAACATCTGCTATTCTCTGCTGCAACGGATTAAAAACGATCCTTTTTTGAAGCGGGTCATTACTGGCGACGAAAAGTGGGTTGTTTACAATAACGTCCAACGAAAAAAAACATGGAGCAAGAAAGATGAGCCAGCCCAAGTCACATCACATTATGCTATCTGTTTGGTGGAATTGGAAGATGTAGTGCACTTTGAGCTGCTGGGACGGAATGAAACCATCAATTCAGATGTGTACTGTCGCCAGCTATTCAATTTGGCGGAAAAAGGAGCCGGCACTAGCTAATCGCAAGGGTATAGTCTTTCTCCATGACAACGCTAGGCCCCACACATCTTTGGTCACTCGGCAAAAATTAACGGAGCTAAATTGGGAAGTGCTACCACATCCACCTTATAGTCCGGACTTAGCACCTTCAGATTACCATTTGTTTCGTTCTCTTCAAAACTCTTTGAATGGTAAAAACTTTGATTCAGATGAGGCTGTCGAAAACCACTTGTCTCGATTCTTTGCTGGAAAAGACCAAAAGTTCTTCGAGCGCGGAATTATGCAGCTGCCCGAAAGATGGTCATTAGTGGTCGAACAAAACGGCCAATACATAATTGATTAATTATAAGTCCTGATATAAATAAATCATCTTTGAAAATATTGAAAAAAAACGACATTACTTTCTTGCCAACCCAATATATCCAAAATGAAAAAATACATACAGTCGTTTCTTTGAACCTTAATCAAAATACAAGTTCGTTTTCTTACTTTATTTAGTCTAATTTGCTTGTCGTTAATAATAGCAATTCGAGGCCTCCTTCTCGAAACTTCAAAAAAATGTGGAGTAAACGAGACTTTGACTGTGAAAAACCACTGTCGAAAGTTAAGTAAAACCTTATACTTATTCACAAAACTTCAAGAGATTTATTTATTGTTTCATTTACCAGATCGCCTAAATAAAAATCAAAATACAAGTTCGTTTTCTTACTTTATTTAGTCTAATTTGCTTGTCGTTAATAATAGCAATTCGAGGCCTCCTTCTCGAAACTTCAAAAAAATGTGGAGTAAACGAGACTTTGACTGTGAAAAACCACTGTCGAAAGTTAAGTAAAACCTTATACTTATTCACAAAACTTCAAGAGATTTATTTATTGTTTCATTTACCAGATCGCCTAAATAAAAATTATTTTCAGCTGTTCACACATGGATTTAACTGCTGAATATCGAGTGCAAATCTTTATAAATATATCCAAATTCGAAGGAAAGCAATTCAGTCTTCTGTTTTCGCTTTTTCCAACATGAACTTCAGTCTTTATTTATTTTCTGTGTTGTTGTGTGGATTCTTTCCTCAGAATAAAGCTCAAACCAGAAACTGTACGAATGCGTGTATATCACGAGCTAGGTGCAATCCATACTATAAAAATCTTGTCTGGGCAATTGAAGGTCGGATGTGTCGCGTTTTTCAGAACGGCTGCCTTTTTGGCAATGAAAACTGTATGAGGGCCAATCAATGTCAACGTCGTATGTTGTAATATTATTAAATCATTAATAATATGTAATAAGGATTGTTGTTGTTTTCCAGCCTTGGTTGCTACTTCAAAGGAGAGGTGTATGGAATTTTGCCCAAGAATGTGTTATAGAGGAGCACCTAGGGTGTGTGGATGGTTTCCCCAAACACTGTGCAACGGCACAAATGTGGGTCGGGAAATGACATTTGGAACTCGATGCTTCCTTGATATGTACGCCTGCCGTAATGCCGAAGGTATAATACCTTTTTTCTATTTTCTTTTTCTCTCACTATTAAATTATTCATTTACTTAAATTACAATTTATTTGATTGCAGCATACGTAAATGAACCACGCAATGGACCCTGCTCACGCTAAGTTCGATTTCTGTTTTTAAAAAATACGCACTGTTTCACCCCTTTTGAACTGCACTCCTTGAATTTTACAATAGCTCCTGATAATATTGAATATCAATTAACAATAAGTATTTTAAACCTTACCGTGTTTTCTCTTTAACAAAGAATCCATACAATAATTTGAATAATAAAAAAGAACGTTTAATTTCACCTGTTTATACAATAAGTCAGTGGGAAGTTCATTATATGCAGATTTCGGTCTATATATTTTTAAGCAAATCGTATGATGCTTGATAATAAAAAATGGATCTTTTAAAGCATTACCTTCTCGTGGCTTTCCTCGCTGGATTTTCTAGCCATATTCTGGGCCAAGTCACGGATTGTTCGGGAACTTGTAACTTACAGTTCAGATGCGATCCCTACGCCAAAAATCTTGTCTGGACAGTTTCTAGAGGTGTTTGCCGAGTATTTCAGAACCCGTGCTTCCTCGGATCCCACAATTGTCAAAGGAAAAATCAGTGCTTGCAACGTAAGTTCAATAAAAGTAATGATAATATCGGAAACAAACCATGTTGATTGTTTTTGTAGCTCTTGTTTCAATTTCTCAAACTAAATGCATGGCCCACTGCCCAAGAAGCTGTGCCTTAAGTGGGCAACGAGTTTGTGCCTCGTTCTCCTATGTCGACAATAATGGAGTTAAAAGAGATCGACAAATAACCTTTCACAATCTGTGTCACTTGGAGCAGTATGTCTGCCAAAATGCCAATGGTACTCTTTAAAGTAGAAAAAAATTATAAAATTCTAAGTAATACATTCATTTTAATTTTAGCATACATTGGAGATCCCTCGACCGGTCCCTGTTTTTAGAATAGAGTTACTATCTATAATATTGCCAGCTTGTATGTATACAAATATTTTTTGAATTTTTATTGAATACTTTTAATCGCAGATCGCTTTTTTTGTGATATGTTTAAATAAAACAAGCCTTAAAGTGCCGTGCTTCCTTGGATCCCAAAAATGTCGAAGGAAAATAAGTGCTTGCTTGTCTGTGCTTATCTTATATATATAAATCTCCTGTCACGATGTTTGTCCGCGATGGACTCCTAAACTTCTTAACCGATTTTAAATTAAATTGGCACACCGTGAGCAGTCTGGTCCAACTTGAGAGATAGGATAGATTAGATCTTTAATTATAGTCGCAATTTTATTTTATTGCTAATTATTTGTCTATAATTAATTGACAGTCACAATACTTTTCAAACGATATACAGCATTGCCAGGTACGATTATATGTGACTTCACAAGCGAAGCGCGAAATTTGAATGTAAAAACCAGTATGTCATTACCAAACAACCTAATATATAAAGGAAGTCGTGTTAGTTACACCACTTATAACTCAAGAACGGCTGATCAGATTTGGCTGAAAATTGGTAGGGAGGTAGCTTAGAGCCAGGAATAGGACATAGGATACTTTTTATCCTATCCACTTTTTATAAAGTGAGTTACTACCGCTACCATAGCATTTTAACTAAATTTTTGTGGTTTTGGTGAATTGAAGTGAAGTGAAGTTTTTTGTGGTTTTGATGATGGCTTCGTTTTATGTAACATTTCGACAGCGTTCCCGTGTGTCGGGAAATCTTCTGGAAAAATCTTCTGTACGCCTGTTAGTCATTGAACTCCTCCTAAACGGCTGGACCTTTATTCCAGGGGCTTAAGGATGGATTAGATTTACAATATGTTAAAAAAAAATTTATTATTTTTATCGGATATCTGGCTTGGGAGTTGTTACAATAATAAATTTGGGAGATGCTACAATAATAAAATTTTTAGAAAAAGTGATAATGATACAAACAAACAAGCAAACAAATTTTACCTCTTTATAATAATTGTGTGAAAGGTAAAACTATTTAAAAAAAACCGGGCGAAGCTGGGACGGGCAGCTAGTATTGTATATATTCTACCAAAAATAAAAGCATTTAATAATTTTTTATTAAATACCTTTGAGCTAGACAACATTTTTGTTTTGAACAGTTTTAACAAAAACAAAAACCCTAAAAGCACACTTCAGTTTAATAACCATTTAAATACCTTTTATTTACATGATATTTAAGAATTGATAAATTGATAAAAGTTGATATACATTGCTTAGTTACACGTGAGAAAGAATGTAGATTGACGTGTGGAGTCTTTTGTTTAATTGTGGCAATATGGTGATCGAATCGAGTTCATTGGCTGGCCTAAATCTGTTTACATATAAAACTAAAAAAACGAATTGCTGGGGCCAGTTGAAAAGCCCTCGTACCAAAATGAAGTTGATCCTCGTCGTTCTACTGCTGTTTTTTCTCGGAATTTCAAATTCACAAGTTTGTAACGACGATTGCAGGGGAGTAGGAATTGATTATCTCTGCGGAAAAACTGTCCGTAATGGCAGCGAGATTCGCTGTACTTACCGGAATCCCTGCGAAATGAATCTGCATGCCTGCCAAAAACGAGAAGGTTACATGTTTAAAAACTTGTTTATAAATAACTATTATTCATTTAAATTATTTCACCAGAGTGGAAGAAAGATTCAACAGGTCGATGCACACGCAACTCCGATGAATGCAGACGGTAGGAAAAATTACCATGCGCAGGAGAAGCAGCTGAATATTTTTAAGAAATGTATAAATATTGACACAATTGACAACACGAAAAATACAAAATATTATTTTTGACAGGCTCAGAAAACTTTTGTGAAATAATATTTTAATACGAAATTTGCAAACAGCGCGATCGGTTGGACGATAAAAATGCAAATCGTCTACACGCTGGGCAACAAAGTTTTTCTAATTTGTGTGGTGCTAGGGATCTTTTTCGTAGTTGAGAGCCAACTATATGGCTTGACGGGTAAGTCGAAATTGAGTCTATGAATTAAAGTTTTTATAAAACACCTTAGGTCCCAAAAAGTGCCACGATGTGTGTCCCATGAGCTATAGGGTGGTGTGTGCCCTGGACGTCTTAGATGGATGTCTGCGGAGTTTTGCCAGCAGTTGTGTCATGCGAATGTACAACTGCAAGTACCAGAAAGGTTGGTTAAACATCTGAGAAACCATAAAAAATATTTTTAAAAAGCTAGAAACATCAACCAAAATATACGTATTTTTAGTTCCATGCTGAATGAGTGCCATTTGGTTCTAAAAATTCGCTTTTTTTCGGTTTGCAAATACAAATAAAAGTTAGTCGTGTATAAAAGTTTATATTTTTGTTCATTTTTGTGAGTTTTTTTTTTTTTTAATTATTATTTACTTATACTATAACCCTTTCAGATTATCGCATTATAGCAGAACGGGCCTGTGAATTTATAACTAACGACGAGCTGCAAAAGCTGGAAATCTAGTTGTCGTTTTTATAGGCCGCCAGAGGGCGCCAACAAAACACTGCGCACGCGTCGTATACGCAATGTGGATGGAAACTAAAATCGCCAATTGTCCTCCGTTATTTTCCCAGCAAAGCCATCCTTTTTGTACGACATTGTTAATGTTTTAAATTTCAAGAATAAATTAAGAATAAAAATAGCTAAGGTGTATAAAATACAAGCAAAGAGTTTTCTGTGGCAGTGATAAAAGCAAAGAAGAAATAGAGAGAAAAGAAATATAAGTTCTCGCTCGTAAGCGCAAGTGAAAAATTGTTTGGGCAGGCAGGAGCAGCACAAAGGATATAATACACATATACTCGACTGTTTTCGTGAGCGCTGAAGGCTGAAAAGTTTTCTCGCTTGACGATTCATTAACAGGTTGGTTTTGGTTTTTTTTCTCCATACATTTTTGATTATTTGTGAAAAAAGCGGGGGAAAATCTTTTCCCGCATTGCAATGACAGCAAATTGCGTATCATAAATTATGTATAACATCTCCATGTGTGTGCGTGCAGCTGGATGCGTTTGCATGTGTGTTGGTTACTTTTTGTTGCATAGATTTTAGCGTTAATTCTTGTTTATCTAAAAAATCCTTTGACTGTAAATGGCATATGTAATTTTTTTCAATCATGAGCGTATAAATGGACAATTTTTATTGGATTTGTTACATATATTCTCAACATCATTTGAAAGTGCAAATAGCACCAAAATCTGTATTTACTTTCCCTTGATTTTGGCCAAACGGCTCAACAATCTATACATTGAGGCAAAAACATGCAAAAGCTCAGTACCTGAAGCTTTTTAGTGAAGCTTCCTGGGAATTTGGGAACTGTATATAAACAAATACTTTCCGATATTACCTTGAAAAATTTTAAATATATATTTTATTAAGATAACAGTCTGAAATTTCTTTTTGTTTTTTGTAACATAAATAATATTATCAATTAAAATTGGAGAGTAAACTTTATTTATCATCCTTATACATAACTACAAACGTGCGTCCTGTTCAACAGCTGATTTAATGTAAATGCCTTTCATATATATTTAATAAAAAGTTTGCTATATATATATATTTATATATGTACTTATTACCATTATTTTTTTTTTAAGTTTTCTAAAAATAGAAAACAACAAGCTGTGTCTTCTCCGTTATCAAAAAGTAGAACAAGGTTAATGAGCGTGTTTTAGTTTTTTATCATTACTTTTTTAGCAAACTGACTTCAGTAGAAACATGCATAGTTTTATCACATTTTTTTACTTTTCTCAAAATTAATCAAAGCTGTGGGTTGTCTTTAGCACATTGAGTACGAGAATGCCGAAAAAAGATAATATTTAAACGAAACAATGTAATGTTAAAAATTTACAAATCCCGCTTATTGAATTTGATGATTCACGGAGCAGTTCTTGTCTAAATGTGGTTGGTGCACTCGCTAGGTTAGGTCGGGTATTGGCTATGTTCGGAGGGTGCACTCGCTAAGTTAGGAGGATGTAACTGCTAAAAGTTATATAAAATTCTACAGCTGGGAAACTATCGATTGAACCAAACATTCTTAAAAGTCGATGCTTCTCCATCACTATCGAGAGTATATCGCAAATTAAATAACAACAATAAAACAATAATGCGTGCGGCGGTTTCTAGATCGAAAGAACATAACAAAGAAATCTAAGAAATCGGGTTTAATGGCAACTGAGTGAAATTAGTAAGTTTCGTTTAAACGACTTATTGCGTTATCAGTGCGTATTGCTCAGGAGTGCGTGTATATGTTTGCGTATATATAGTATGTGTATCTGTGCCGATTTATGTTTGGTTCCCCGCCCACAAACAAGTCGAAAAAAGAACAATAACAACAATTGAGCAGTGCAATGGCAATCAAATGGAAATTTACCATGAATCAGTCGTTTCTCTATCTATCATTACGGGGTCTTAATCATAAGCTGCATACAATTCCCCGGCATTAGCCGATCAGTCGGATCAAATCCCCTACACACAGAGAAATGTACATAATTTGTCGGTCCGTATTTGTACATACAAATTTCACGGCGAACAATGAACATTTTATGGCTTTTCGATACGAATATTTACTTTATTTACTTAAAAACAAAAACGTCGTTCCTTATCGATTCAGGAATTTGAATGGTCTTTAATTTGGTAAAATTGCGCTTTAGCGGCTTTTGCTAAAAATGGTCTAGGAATTTTTTTTTTTTTTTAATGGATACCTTGGGGTCTAAACATTAATAAAAAAGTGGCGGAAAGCTTAAATTTTAATTATTAATGTGTTAAAATTGCAATTATTACTGCCGCGAGGCAACCCGTTTTAGAACATTGCCATGTTTTTCTAGCGAAAAACTTTACCGTTGAGAATGTGTTGTGGATGAAGAGTGCTGCAATTGTGTGAAAATTTAAAAACAAAATAAATTTAACAATTTTACCATGTCAGGCAGTGCCAATTTTACTACTGAGCGCTGTAAAGGTTGCGAAATGACTCAGAGTGATTTTATAGTACTGAGTGAATACCCAGAAAAGCTATGGCCAGTTGCTTTTTTGCTATTTTTACAAATAAATACTTAGAAATCAAGCTTTCCGCCACTTTTTTATTAATGTTAAGGCCCCAAGGTATCCATTAAAAAAAAAAAAAAAAATTCCTAGACCATTTTTAGCAAAAGCCGCTAAAGCGCAATTTTACCTTTAATTTTATTAGTCCCTTCTTGATATGGTCAGATTTAAGAACAAGACACCAAAAAGATTAATTTCGTGAAAGAAAATAATATTCTTTCAATCAAAAAGTTTTAAAAGTATTATTATTAAATATAACATTAAAACGATGTACTACTTTATAAATATCCTCTCCAATTTTTATAACGGATAAATCTTCAAATTAAACTATCCTAAAGTGAAGAAATTTTGTCAGGACCAAGATATTTTTCCATATATTCTTTCCGTGCACCTTCCACTTGAGCGACCATTTAATTGGCCTCAATGTGCATTGTTCGCATATGCTAAATCTGTGAAATCCGAGAAGCGTGTCTCCGAAATTCGCTTTGGGTTTTAAGTAAACATCCAGTTCGGGTTACGCTGCGTCCGGTGCTCCAAGGGTCCTTCATAACGGCACATGCACTTTCAACCTTTGACTTTGGCATTGGCTCTGGCTTTTCCAGGAATCGCCTGACACCGGCTCTCACTGACCTTGACATTTGCCGTTAAAATACCAGGAGCATTCCGTGAGGGTCGCGGTGGGCGGCGGTGGCAAAGGGTGGCAAGGTTGGTGGATGGGCGGCGGAAAAGAGGGATGCGATTTCTGCACGTGGCCAGCAGCATTGACAGCCTTAAAGAACCTTACGAGCTTTAAGTTACGCATCCCCTTAGTACACAGTAATGTATTATTTAATTACTGTCCGCCAAGCAAGAGATGATTTTCTAATCTTATCTGTAACACGCGTACTTTTTTTTGTATAAACACTACCGATAAAATAATATTAACCCTAGACCAATTTAAAGAAAGTTAGCTCGAGCACTTTTTTTTTATTTAATTAACAATTACGAAGATAAATACATACGTGTTTTAATGTTCTTATGAACATTTTTCAAAATTTTTAAAGAATTTTTTACTAAATTTTTTATTGACTCTCCGCTCTTGCCCATAAGTTGTATGTTATATTGTCTTTTAGTACAGATACAGAAATATATACATATGTAAAACTGTTAAAAAAAATATAAATACATATATATACATATTTGGAAAGAAAATATCTGTTTAACATTGAGCCTAATTACTCGTAAAGTATTGGGTTTCTATAAGCGCCAAAATTATTCCCGATAATATAATATAATACATAGTCAATATTGTGACGTCACTGTTTGGAATTTTTAATTGTTGATTTGCGTGTGGGTTTCTGAACACATTATGGTCAACTGGTTAATAAGGAGCGACGTCAACACGCGCGTTCCTGCGGCTGCGTGAACGCGTCCTTGCGTCTGCGTATGCGCGTGCCTTCGTGTACGTTTGTTTGTCACGTAAGCAGAACCAATAAAGCCGGGCTAATAGTAAGGGGTTTGGTTGGAGGATGGGCGGCAGAACCATGACGATGACGCACGATGCGATTGCCGACCGGCTGACGCACAATTGATAAAGTGCAGCCATAAACGAGTGCGGGAGTTGTCGGCCGGTCTTTCCCTTTCCTTTCCTGCGATTGCACACAGGAAAAAATAAAATACGAAGATTAATTTGGGTCCCTTAAAAATGATATTTTTATGGCATATTTGTTTTTCGTTGCTTTGATAGTTGATTAACATGGGCTTTTTCCATCGCAGGGTAGAGCAACGAGTTCCTCCGGCTGCGGCTGTTGCTGCTGTTGCTTGGGCACATTTCTGGGCAACGCATTGTCGCCGCCGACCGCAAAGCTGGGCAAAATTATGAACTTGTGTTCCTCGGGCGCAACGGCATCGACCACATCGTTATCGTCCACGGGCCAGGCGGAGAGGAGCGGCGGAGTTCCGGGAGGAGGAGCAGAGGGCGGCGGAGGGGGAGGAGGCGGAGGCAGTGGTAGTGGAAGCGGCGGCGGCGGCAAGTCGAGCGACGGTACCTCCGAGGCGACACTCTGTTTCGGCGGTTCGGGCATATCAGGGGCTGCAATTTCCGTGGCGGAGGAGCTGTCCAACGGAGGAGCAAGTGGTCAACAGCCGACTGGCAGCAACGGTCACGGTCAGCCACACAACGAAAACAACGCAATCATGCCGCCCGAGACGCGTCCCAAGATGGTGACCGTCAAGCACCCGGAGTCCAACAAGCCCAAGCCCACCACCAAGAAGAGCAAGCCCATCCAAGCGGACCAGGATGTCATCAAGGCGCTGCAGCGATGTCGCGACGAAGGCAAGTTTTGACAAGCCCCAAAAAGAATTAGCTAATTTTTCGTTTTTTTTTTTAAATATAGTTAGCAATATTTCTATTTCCTGAAATATAGATTTGTATTGGGGCTTAAAAAAATATATATTTTTTCTAAATAACATTCCATGTTAACAATAATTTCTGTCATTCCCTTAGGAATCAAGCGCTTGGACCTGAGCAAGTCCTCGATCACGGTGATTCCCAGCACGGTGAAGGAGTGCGTCCACCTGACGGAGCTCTATTTATACAGCAACAAAATAGGCCAGCTGCCGCCGGAGATCGGTTGTTTGGTGAGCCTGAGGAACCTGGCGCTGAACGAGAATTCGCTAACCTCGCTGCCGGAGTCGCTGCAAAACTGCAGCCAGCTAAAGGTTCTGGATCTGCGGCACAACAAGCTGGCGGAGATTCCGCCGGTCATCTACCGGCTGCGCAGCCTGACCACTCTCTACCTGCGCTTCAACCGCATCACCACCGTGGCGGACGATCTGCGCCAGCTGGTCAACCTGACCATGCTGAGTCTGCGGGAGAACAAGATCCGGGAGCTGGGCAGTGCCATCGGAGCTCTGGTGAACCTCACCACGCTCGACGTATCGCACAATCACCTGGAGCACCTGCCCGAGGACATCGGTAACTGCGTGAACCTCAGCGCATTGGACTTGCAGCACAACGAGCTGCTGGATATTCCCGATAGTATTGGGAACCTCAAGTCCCTGGTGCGACTCGGCATGAGGTACAACCGGTTGAGCAGCGTGCCGGCCACTCTGAAGAACTGCAAGAGCATGGATGAGTTCAATGTGGAGGGCAATGGCATAACTCAGCTGCCAGACGGAATGCTGGCCAGCTTGAGCGGCTTAACTACCATCACCCTTTCGAGGAATCAGTTTACCAGTTATCCAACTGGCGGACCGGCGCAGTTCACCAATGTGTATAGCATCAACCTGGAGCACAACCGAATCGATAAGATCCCCTACGGGATTTTCTCGCGGGCCAAGGGTCTTACCAAGCTGAACATGAAGGAGAATATGCTGACGGCGTTGCCTTTGGACATTGGCACTTGGGTTAATATGGTGGAGCTGAATCTGGCCACAAATGCGCTGCAAAAGCTGCCCGACGATATCATGAACCTGCAGAACCTCGAGATACTCATCCTGTCCAACAACATGCTCAAGAAGATACCGAATACGATTGGCAATTTGCGAAGGCTGAGGATACTCGACTTGGAGGAGAATCGGATCGAGGTGTTACCGCACGAAATTGGACTGCTGCACGAGTTGCAGCGATTGATTCTACAGACCAATCAAATCACCATGCTGCCCCGCAGCATCGGCCACCTGGGCAACCTGACTCACCTGTCTGTTAGCGAGAATAACCTGCAGTTCCTGCCCGAGGAGATTGGTTCGCTGGAAAGTCTGGAAAATCTCTACATCAACCAGAATCCCGGCTTGGAGAAACTGCCGTTTGAGCTGGCCCTGTGCCAGAACCTCAAGTATCTTAACATTGACAAGTGCCCGCTGAGCACTATTCCACCGGAGATCCAGGCGGGCGGGCCGTCGCTGGTGCTGCAGTGGCTGAAAATGCACTCGCCGTACCGCCAGATGTGAGATGTGGACGGCGTTTGGCGCACCGTCTACGTGGGCAGCGACTGCTACTACCAGTATGAGCTGCAGGCGGTGAACCAGGCGCCCGGTGGAGGTGTTAGTGGTGGTGGTGGTGGTGCAGGAGGAGGATCAGCGTCCAGAAGCAGCGACCGTCGCTAACGGTGCGATCTAAGCTAACGGGCGAGATCCTTTCCCCATTATCAATCCTTATCCTTGAAGGGAAAACCACAATAGAAAAGGGGTTTATGTTCGACTTATCAAAAAACAAGCTTATAACTTACTATCATTTTCAAATTTCTAATTAAAATTTGTAAAGTCGAATATCTAACAAGATACAAGAATATGACGTAACATTCTGTTAAAACTAGAAAGTATTTTCCCTAATTTATTAGGAGAACTGTTTGCATTTTTTGTATTTACTCCAATTTACTTATTTTCTTTTGTGGTTTAACCCGTTTATTCGACTGGAGTGCGTTGGCTGACAAAACGATAGCTTTAACTTGTTATACCAATGTCCCGCGTATTGTAAACTGCCCCGATTTGCTTTTTCATTCTGTGTTCAAGTCCAGTTCCGAGTCCACACTTTAGGTTATAATTTAACTCATGCTTCCAAGCTAGTCAAAAATGTAACACGCGGAATGAATCGAAATGAATTGAAAGCTTTAACCTTCTGTTCGATTTTTGGTCATAGGGAAAGCAAAATCTAACGTTCAAAACTAAACAAAAAATACGCAAGCGCCAAGGAATTGTTTGAAAACAAAAAATTAAGAAAACTAAAAACAAAAATGGTTAAGAAATTATTAATCGGTATACACATAAATGGTAGACGTATTTTGTATAAGCAAGTGCAACAAATCTTAGCAACAAGTATTAAACTCTGTGTAATTTGTTTAAATGAAACGATTGCAAATGATTTTTTATGGTGCATCCAGGCAAATTCATATTTGTCGTATACATTTATTGAAATGTAGATGTTGTGGACTTTTTAAATCGGCCTGGATGGTGCACAGCTAATGCAGCATTTTGTATGTTAGACTAAGCAAAAAAATAACCACGTAATGTACTACAGCCTTTTGCATGTTTGGCATTATGGCATTAAAATAGCAAAAGATAATGTTGTATACTTCATCATTTTAATGTGGGTGTGTCTGTAATTGATTTGTATGAATAGATGATTTAAATGCATTTAGTTATCATAACCATAATCAACGATATTTGTATGGCAAGTAAAAAGAGATGAACGTAAAAAATATTATATAATGCCACATAACTGATAAGCGTAAAAGATTTCTAGAGATAACATGGACTAAGAGTTGCTGTTCTTCTAGCTAAGTTGGATTTATACAACTACTTCTAATCGAGAAAAAGTGTTTTGACAAGGTGAAACTGAACACATTGTTCAATATTAAGTTATAGGTATTTTTCATTTGTTAAGCATAAATTTTGCTTGTGTCAAAACACTTTTGTTCGAAAGCTTGAAACACCGATCTGCCAATATGGTACTACTCCATTAAATCAGCTCAAAACAAGTTACAAAAATCGATTTATTTATTTTTATATTGTAAACTAAATGTCTTGAAACACAAACAAAGAAGAAAGATACAATTTTGAGCTACTCTCCGCTGCAATGCAACGCAAATGGGCTTTAAACTTTAAACAAATCTTAAACAAAATCAATAAATCAACGAAGCTAACTTTAAATGTTTTACATCCAAACATATTTACACTGTACACTTACAATCAACTTTTACACATCTATTTTTTGAGAACAACACACAAGATCTATGCGTACATCATTTTTTCAGGACTCCATGAGATATGCATAGTGTGTACATATATTTTTCAAACAAACTGTATGCGGCAGGGTAAACAAATCTGGCAAAAGTAATTTAATTACAACAAAAAAATGTCTAATAATATGAGAACAAGAAATATTTCCAACGGTACAAAGATAAAACGTAATGAAACAAAATTAAAATTAAATGTTAAACTAATAATCGCACTCTAGAATAATGAACACACACGGTGGATTCAAACCGGAAGTTGGCAAAATTTCGAGCCAATCGCAAATAGTAACAATAAATGTTAATGAGGTCAAGTTAAATGAAAGTGAAATGTACAAGTTATATGGTAAACAAGATAAAGTCAAAATATGATGATACTCCTGAAAAAACCTATTTAAGCATACCTACATATTTGCGAAATAAAAAGAAAGAAAGTGTTAAAATAATTAAAACTCAGTCTGGCTATTCAAGTCAAGTTTGTATTTAAATTTTGGTCTGGCAATGCTGTATTCAATATTCTTTCTGGATGATCGGTCAAATGGTACCTCTAGTGCATATATATATACGATTTTTTTCGCTTAAAACTTAAATTTAAAAAATATTTATGACATATCCTATTTAGTTGAAAAAGCTAATGTTGTGTGTGTTTTTTAAGATCACTTTAAATTAGTTTATTTGGAAGAAACGTAAACCCTTACCTTATTATATTACATTTCTTTTAAGTTTTTTTTTCTCAAATATGCCTGGACTTAAAGTGCGATTGGTGAGCCAGAGTCTCGACAGTCGTTTGCCAAATTACTATAATTAAATTTGATTTGTAATTGAGTTCGCTAATGGATGTCTGAAAGGTGCGGAAGCCGGGTTTCAAAAATAACAGGCCCTTCTCTTGTCATATACACCCTCGCCAGCTGACTCAAAACCGAGGTACCTGCTCAGAACAGCTGTGCTTGTTTCTTTGTACTCGGAACAGGTGATAAAAAAGGCGCATAAGTTGCTCAGTCAGTTTACAAACAAATCTTGAGCAAGAAGTACCGATAACAGGAGTACTACTTCAGATCCTCCAGGTAGGAAATTTATATACTAAGTACGCAAAGAACGAGTGCAAAATGAAAGTAGCAGGAAGGCGGAAAAGGTCAATGCTATCTGTTAGTCGCTTTGTGTTTGATTTACATGAATCACAGAGAACATTAAAAGTGAGTGTTGTATTCCATTACGATTACAGGAACGATAAGTCGAGTACTTGATTGCGAATTTCGTGCCCATAAATACCTTCTTCCCGAAGTCCGACTGTCCAGTGATCTTTTAAATCTGAATCGTTATACTTGCAGCTTGACCATGAAAACCTGCCCTGCCATTCTAGTGGCCTTGATATTGGCCCTGGTTAGCCCCAGTCCAACTTTTGGTTACTCTCCACGACAAGATGCCCGAATTATTAAGGAATATAAGCGGAAACAAGAGCTAAATCACGCGAAGATCGCCAGGGATTTGGTCCATCGGGCCAATTGGGCGGCTTTGGGAAGTCTATCCACCAACAAATTAGTGGAAGGCTACCCCATGGTCAATATTATCTCGATAGATGACAGCGATGAGAAGGGTAATTCCACCGGAAGGATACGCTTCCTGCTGACCGATCTAGACTTCACTGGTCCCGACTGGCAAAAGGATAACAAGGTCACATTCCTGTTCAGCGATGAGCAGACTTTAAGGTGCAAGGATGCGGGAAAGGATCCCATGGAGCCCACATGTGCACGCTCCATGATTAGTGGACAGGTCAAAAAGGTTTGTAATATGTCAACAATATACCATAAAATCATTTAATAAAAATATGCTATCTTCAAATAATTCTCAGTTGGATCCCAATGAAAGCACTTATCAGCCTGTGCTGGATGCCTATATAAATCGTCACCCTTCTGCCAAAAATTGGATAAAGGGTAAGCCCCTGTAATTTTTCAATTACAAAAAAATTATATAATTTTTTGTTTGCAGCCCACAATTTCTACCTTTGTGAGCTGGACATTAGCAATATATTTGTTTTGGACTTTTATGGAGGTCCCCATCAAGTCAGTCCCTCGGACTATTACGTTGCTTTAGTTTGATGATCTTCTTAAGAAGGAAATAACCTGACGCCTCATATACTTTGTCTACTGCGTGACCGACAAAAATATTGATAAGAATACTTGATCAACAAGAGTCTTCAAAACAAGTGAAGTAGACAAAAGAAAGAAAGCCACTTATCAGTTAAGTCCTGTGATTTCATTCAATAGCACAATACCTTATATTCAAGAAAAAATATATTTCAATAAATATAAGCTTTGGTTGTATGTTACGTTTTATAAAGAAAATTTAATAAACTTCAATTTTTCGTTTGTACATACATATTTTAAAACACTAAAAAATTAATTGGAACAGATAACAAATTATTAAAACTCACAAATAAAAAACTGCATTTTTTTACCTATTAAAAAAAGTTTTGATAAGGCAAGGTGGACAATTCATATACCCTCTGATTCATTAAGTAAACAACTTCGAAGTGTTTGGTTTTTACTATAACTTAAGATAAGTGACGAGAAAGCAGGAAGGTGCAGAGCAATTAGCACAAATTATATTGGTGCTTATCTCATTGCTTTGCCCTTTTCCACTGTGTTATTAAAAAAAAAACATGTTAAATTTTTTAGTTTTAATATATATTTAAACGCAATTTTCCAAAGTTATTCAATACAAATGTGTCGGCGTATCGCCGCGGATTAGTCTTTTAGAGGGGTTAGGTCAGATCCATCTAGGATCCGGGCACCTTGCACAGGGTGGCATCGATCTTCTGCAGCTGCGGCAGGATGTCGCGTAGCTTGGAGCGATAACGGACGTCTTTGGCCAGGGGATTGTACTCCAGGTAGATCGTCTGCAGGGCCGTGTTTACCTTCAGCAACTCGATGTTCTTCCAATCGTCCACGCCGTTGTGGTTCAGCCAAAGTTCCTCGAGGAGTTCCAGGCTTTCTAGGTTGCCAATGCTCTTCAATCGGTTCTTGGCCAAGTCTAGAGTCTCCAGCTTTTTGTTCTCGGAGAGGTTTTCAATGGTTTCCACACCATTTTCTGATATGTAAAGCTCTCGAAGGCTAGTCAACTTCTCTATGTTCTCAATTTTCACAATGCGATTGGCCTGCAGACTAAGGATTTCCAGGTTGACCAGAGTGTCTAGGTTTTCGATTTTGGCTATCTTGTTTTTGCCCAGGAAAAGCTGTCGCAGGTTCACCAGCGTTTCGATGTTTTCGATCTTCTTCAGTTTGTTGTCTCCCAGCTCCAACATGGTAAGATTCGTGAGCATCTCTATGTTCTCGATTTTGGAGATGCGATTCGAGACGAAGAATACCTTTTCCAACTTTACCAGCTTGTCAAGGTTCTCTATTTGGGTAAGACGATTAAAGCTGATGTCCAACATTTCCAGATTGGTCAGCTCATCAAGATTCTCAATCTTGGTGATCTGATTATCGTAAAGCTCCAGTTCGACCAAAGTCTTAAGCGTCGACAGGTTCTCGATCTTTTTAATCAGATTCCAGCGCAGGAACAGACGTTCAATCTGCGTAAGGGGTTCAAAATTCTCCAATTTCTCGATTCGGCGATGATTCAGATCCAATTCATAGCAATCCGGATCAATTGTAATTATCTCCTCGATGGAGGCCACTTCCTCGGCGGGGATCACTTGGATTCCCTGCACCGTCTTAACAACTTCCGTATCGTTCATCGCTTTGTCAGCATCGCCCATGTTGAAATATATTAACCGGTATTTCTGTTTAACAGATGACTTTTAGAAAATTCTACGCCGACTTGAAATGTTTATTTCGCCTGCACAGGGTGTCAAGAAATGTGGGGTAGCTTTTTATTGCAGGACTTGTGATGTCACGAGCTTGTCAACTTCATTAAATTTAATTTTTAAGTTGGTTTTTTGTTTAACAACCTTAGAGAAAGAAAAATAAAATAATAAAACAATAAATTAAAAAAATTATTTTATTAAAATTAGGTAAAACTGTTTTCTAACTAAAATTAACTTTTTATTGCGTCACCTTAAAAGCTTACCGACTTTTGGTAATGTATGTGCTAGAGATGTGGAGACTAGTCACAAAAATTCGATCGCAACTACAAAGACCTAAAGAAACAACTAATAAAATGGTGGTATTAAAACTACAAATTATTTTGTTTTATTCGCATTTTTTAAATAATTGATACCTAGTAAATTTTATTAATAAATTTAACAGTCTGGGCTGCGTGACTAATATGTGAAAATTCTCATCTCTAGCTTGTTCTGTTCTAGGAGAAGTGTTGTAAAACGCAAATGGGCAGCCAGTCAGCTGTTCGCCAAGCGTGTTGATTTTAATTGGCAACAAATCGTAATTTGTTTAAACAAAAGGCAAAAAATGCTCTGAATTGACAGCTAACAAGTGGTTTCTGCTGTTGTTCCTATCGGGAAACAAGCAAACGTGCTGGTAGTGTACAAAGAAAGGGAGCCAGTGAAAGTTAAAAAAATCAACAATCATGTCTACGGGTTTAAAATGTCGCAATTGCGGATCGAACGAGATCGAGGAGGATAATGCTCGCGGAGATCGGGGTATGTTGTGGAATGTTCAATATTTGCAAGTTATTTAACATGTCTATAACAGTTTGCATGAACTGCGGCTCTGTGCTCGAGGATTCCCTAATCGTTTCGGAAGTTCAGTTCGAGGAAGTTGGTCATGGAGCAGCGGCGATAGGCCAGTTTGTGTCCGCCGAATCTTCGGGCGGGGCCACTAACTATGGCTATGGAAAGTTTCAGGTTGGATCTGGCACTGAGTCCCGCGAAGTGACCATCAAAAAGGCCAAGAAGGACATTACATTGCTCTGCCAGCAGCTGCAGCTATCTCAGCACTACGCCGATACGGCTCTTAATTTCTTTAAGATGGCTTTGAGCAGGCATTTAACTCGGGGCAGAAAGAGCACCCACATTTACGCCGCATGCGTGTATATGACTTGCAGGACAGAAGGCACTTCCCGTAAGTCTTATCTTTGTTTTGGTTTTTAGTATATAATCCCTTTTTAATATCTCTCCAGACCTTCTCATCGACATCAGTGACGTTCAGCAAATCTGCTCGTACGAACTGGGCCGCACCTACCTGAAGCTATCTCACGCCCTTTGCATCAACATACCGTCTGTGGGTGAGTGAACGCCATGAATATTGAATTGCCCCTAAAAAAATCTTTAACAGATATAAATAAGTAAAATTCGTGAAGTTAGAACGTTGTCAAAGATTGAAAACTTAGCGACCTCTTTATTTGAAGTTTATAAAAAGATATGTAAATCGCATTCCGCTTTTCTCGGTTGTTACATCAAAATTTGTGGCTTTACTTACCCTTCTGACAATTGATGTCACGCAATCCCATAAATTGCAAACTATTTATGCGTAAATTCGCAAAAATCTAATAATGTATTTCGTTTGATTAAAGTACATAATGGTAATAGGTTCATAATCAATATAGGATAACATGTTTATTTATATAGATATATTTGTATATAAAAAAACGGTAATTGTCTTCTTATCAAAAGCAAAAAATCAGTACAATTTCCAAAGAAATCCAAAAGTCGAACGTAAAACTGATTGTTGCGCAAAGCAGCCTAGAATAATGCACAGGGGCAAAGTACGGGGCTTAATATCAGTAGAAAGGCATATGTGTATTTATGAGAGATATAATGGAACAACTACGAAATATAGATAATGCATTCTACAAGATTAATATTCGAATATTTGTAGAGAAGATTTTGTGCGCATACTCGTACAAGATCCCTTGATTTCATTTTTGTTTCATATTTCGTAAACTGGTTAACTTGGCTTTCAAATTCGTCGTATGCAATTCTTAACATGGCTTTTAATCCCTTGAAGTGTATAGGTCTATAGTTTATCTAGATGCTTGTATATATCTTTATCAGATCAGATGTGTATATATGTTAGGTATATGCTGGCAAAAATATGTTTGGTATATATCGTATTAGTTTCTTCCACTCTACCTTCAACTCTCTTTAGAATATTGGTTAACGCTAGCTTGACTGATTGCCCGATTTTCACTTATTGCATTTATATATGCGACTCTATTCTGCGCCCTTTCTACCCCATCCCGCCCTTTCAAATCGTGGAACGTATTAAGTTTTCGAGTCAACTAGTATCTGCATCTATATAGTTATGGGTGTATATGATCAACTTTCGATTTTGAAAATATCTTTATATGCTTTACCAACAAACTACGCACAGTGCGTTTTAGAGCAGCAAAACCTTCAAATTTAACTTGCTTAACATACTTGGGATAACGAAGGGAATTTGTTCAATCGTTGAAAATTCCTTATATCGAATGACTGGCTTTGGATGACTTTCTCGTTGAGATTATCTCGCTTTGTCAACAGTCTTGGAGCTTTAAAACGCACTGCCGAGGTGTATATATATATGTGTCTATGCCTTTAGTTTATATATGACTATATATAGGACTATTACGAAAACTAGAGCACTCTACTATCGTGGTATATATATGCGCCTAAAACTCCAATTTGCTTTGTTGTGTTGCACTGAAAACCCATGAGTTTCGATTTTGTATCTGTATCTGTAGCTGCTGCGGCTGCTGTGTTTTGTATTGTTGTGTTGGTCTCCTCTGTTGCTGCTGCTGCTGCTGCTGGCGGTAGTAACACGCTCCCTGCCACTCGGCGCAGTAGAGCTGTGCACATCAGGTGCTTCCATCGCCGGCCAAATCCTCTCCAGAACCATTGGCGTTATTGCCCGATCCACTGCTGCCATTTGAAATGGCAGTTCCCGCTGCTGTTGTGGTTGTTGTGGCTCCCGCGACTGCTGGTCCACCGCCAATTGGCGTGGCACACACCGAATTTGTAGGTGAACTCAATGCAGTCACCGTTGTGGGTCCGTAGAAGATTAACTCCGGGATCTGACCACCTTGCACTCCGGTGCCGTTGGTGCTCTCCGACGAGCACTGAAACTGGAATGTCACGTTGCCCATGAGCACCTCCGACATGCCCTCCTGGCCGAAAAAGCTTAGCTCGTTGCCGTCGAGGATTACAGAGGCGGTGTAATAGCATTCGGGCTCGATCTGAATGGGATTCTCGAAGAAGACGTGGAACGTGTTGCTCGATCCGTCCGAAAAGAACTTGGTGTCGTTCTCGGCGAGCGTGCGACCCAGGCGTTTCAGCTCAATCTTCACGTTGTAGTTGGCTGCGCCAGTTGATGAGCCGTACAGTCCAAAGCCCACAATGAAGATTCTACAAAAGGAAGTTACCGATTATATAAATCCTTGAATAAAGTCAATTAAGTTATCTTACCTCCGATCAACTGAGAACTGAATAGAGTCACAGCGTCCGCGGTATCGCCACTGATTCGAGCGGTAGGCGCACGACTGGAAACGATGGCAGACCTGCGTTTTTAGTCCCGCCCTCGAGCGTGTTGGAAAGCCCAGCGAGGGTTTCATCTTGGCGGTGAAGTGCAGGAACATGTCGATCGTCTCCTGCGACGACAGAATGCCTGTCTGCGCCACGCCGTTGGCGAACTCCTCCAGCGACATTGTGGGAATGCGGATAAGGTGCAGCGCCTGTCCCAACAGCCTGCGTTTGTTTTGCGGGGTGTCGTCGATGCTCATCTTCTCGCAGGCGTTCAAGGCCCAGTTGAGAGCCGCCTCGAACAGGTGAATCTCCTTGCAGTTGAGCGTTTCCCGCGACAGAATCGACTCGAACGTCTTGAGATCGATGTCTACAAAGTCCTCGGACTTAACCGCCATCTCGGCCTGTGCGTCGATCACTTCCCAGCAACGTTGCATCAGCTCGGGCTCCTCGAACAGACGCGATTGACTGAGAAGTAGGCAGGCGTTTTTTGCCGTCAACTTCACCTCCAGATAGTTGACGCAGGCTCTAGCCAAATGGGGGACGATGTACTTCTTGGCCGCATACAGGGTGGCCAGGATGTGTTCAGGTTCCAGTTTGATTTCATCACAATAGAGGTACCTAAAATTTCAAGTTTAATCATCAGTATTCTAGTTGTTTTAATTTGTGTTTCAAATATCCAACCTTAGCAACGTTAGGAAGGCAGTGGGTTCCACATCAGGCACTTTGATTTCCTGCTTGTTCTCCGCCAGTCCTCCATAGAACATAGCATAGAATACAGAGCTGCCCGTGGCGAGGATGTATTTGTGGGCGGGAATAGTCTGAATGGGATCGATATCTGCCGAAAAGTTTAGTTATTGGATAATGCATTAACTCGTGAAGTCAATCAACTATTACCGAACTCTCCGCCTACTATGAACTTGATATCAGACATAAGTTCGTTGTTGAACATGGCAGCATTCCTCTCGAGAACCGTCGCCTTGCTGGCCTGCCAGTTGGGATCCGCTGTATCGATGGCATTCGATGCTGCCACAGCCGCGAAATGCCAGTTGGTTCCTGCGGAGCAGACATACGATCCACTGCCGCTGGTGGGCGTGGCGGAGATGGCGGCCACTGCCGCCGCCGTGGAGCTGGAGGGCAGACAGAAGGCCGTGGGACTGCCGGAGATGACTCCGCCACTTCCTCCTCCGCCGCCACTGCTGCTGCTGCTGCTGTTCAGGGCACCTGGCGAGGCCAGTGGCGAGGATGGGGCACTGATGGGCTGCGTTATCTGGATATTGTGATCCGCCCCAGCAGAGGGCCCTCCTCCTCCGCCGCCGCCAGGTGGAGATGTGCCGCCTCCGCCGCGCTGCTGTTGTTGCTGCTGCTGCTGGTGATTGTGGGGCGGCGAGTGGAGCAGTCCGTTACCATTGTTGAGGGTTTCCACTGCGGACGAGATTAGATAAACGGATTAATATTTGGGTTACGCTAGTTATATCTGGGCTGAGTATCCCACCAAGTTCGCTTAAAACCAGCAGCACGCGTGGCCACATTTGTGCAACTTCCGCTGCGTGTGCATCGTAAATAACAAATGCCAGGGTCTCCCCTTTTTTCCACAATTATTACACCCCAAATACAGTGAAGCTGCCACTAAGGGAGACATCTATGCACCTGAGGAAAAGTACTTTCCACACGTTGTTATTGAACAGAAACAACTCTGTTTTCTGCTTTATTCCAACTAACTAAACAAACTTGTAAGAAAATATTTTTAAAAGTATTTTCAATCAAAAAATTTTATTGTTTGAACGACGTCAACTTAACAAATAAAAAAAAAAACTGCTCATTACAAGTATTTGATTGGCACTTTGAACCTGATACCTGTTTAAGTATGAGAATGCTTTTAAACAAAGGGGTCTCAGCGACCTTGAAAAGCGAATTGTTGTTTTTACTTTAAGCATTGAATATTCATTGATACGAATAATCAAATGTTTTCATTTGGGATGTTCTAATTTTTGGAGGTTCTGCTGTACTGTAAAAGTGGAGCGTCTCAAAATAGCAACGCAGTTGAGTGTTGTTGTTGTTTTTGTTGCCAGACAGCGCCCCTCTCTGCCCCTTTTACCCCCCAACCCCTCCCCTCAGTGACACTGTTTGGGTTGTGTGAAAAATCAATAACTCACAGACACAGGGCACCTGCCTGACCCTCCCCCCTCCTCCTCTAAATGCGCCTCCCTCCCCGATTTTCCGCCTGAGTTCTGAGTTTTCCCCTAGGTTTTTTCCGCCTTACCATTAATCCATCCGCCGTTGGGCTGGGAATGGGACATGCTCTCCTGGTTTCGCTTTCCGGCGGATTTCAGGGACAATCGGTTCAGTGGATTGTGGCCTCCGTGGTTGTTGGTCGAGGAATTGTTACTACTACTGCTGGCCATCGCGGGGAAAAAAAGCGATTTGTAGCACTCCGGAACGAAAAAACTCAGGAAATCGGACAAGTTTCACTCAAGTACTCGCTGTTCAAACATTTGCCTTCACTTAAGCCAGTCGTATGACATTTTTACACCGACTTTTTCATTTTTTCCTCAGAATAGAATATAGAAGTATGTGAATTTATAGCTACACACCAAATGTAAACACTAAATGCAGTTTAAGCTCCAAAACTGGCAATCGCTATCTGGCCACATTGGCACTGAAATGGTCACCCTATCTGTCAGTGCTGCTCAATGTTCAAGTGACAGCGTTGGTAAACACTGGAATTTGGCGCGTGTTTTGAATTTGAATTAGCTGAAATGAGTCTGCTGACGGTTTCGCAACCCATTTGATTATATCACGGCCACTCGATACTAATATGTATTTCCGTCATGGCGCGCCATAAAAAGGCGTACGTGTGGGAGCTAATAGGGCAGATTCAAGAGGATTTTATCACTAGGAAAAAAATGCGTTCTTGAAATAAAAACTTAACTTATGCTGTTTTCATGGAAAAAAACTAGTTGAACGTGTTTTTTGACCAACATCTCAGTTAGTTGAAAATTCAGATTCTACCAATCCAATTTCGCCAATGCTTTCCCAACTGCAATCAATATTTTTCAGTGTATATAATTACCACTATATATTTATTTCTTTTACTTTACAACCCTCCGTCTCTTTCGGTTTAGCCTTGCTGGGGGCTTTACCTGGTATTTGCATGTCCGAATCGTATTTGGTCTATTATTTATTGCCTGGCCCGCGAATATTTGTTATGAAGAAACATATCGCTGAACTTGAAATCGATTTTGATGTGTTTGCTCGGCCAGTGAAGCTTACTTGTCAAGGTTTGTTTATTTCTTAGCACATTTGTGTACAGTAAAACCTGTTTCTGCAGCAGCACCACCAACAGAAGCACCAGCCGGCAGCAGATCGAAGATGTGTGCCGAAATAAAAAAAAAACATGTTGTTGACCTTTGCTTAAGCTAATTTTTGAGTCATACCCCTGTTGACCACTTTTCTGGTTTATTGGCTTTGAGTTAGGCTCATGTTTAGCAAATAAAAGTGGTATTTAATGCAATCATCTAGGCCATGTTCAGGCTATCATTATTTCATTTTAAGTACCAATATATGTCAGACATTTATAAGTGTTTAAAGTGGTTTTATGTGGGAATGGATTATTCATTCATCTTGAATTAAAAATCCCCTTCAAGCAACATATATTCCGGGATGCACTCACTCTGTTCTGGAGGTGGTAGCTCCTCGTTCTCCGGCACTCGAGCGGCGTACTCCGGCTCATAGTTGTGCGCGTAGGCGCTGCCCCAGTGGCCGGCGAAGTCCTCCTCCTCGAGGGTCAGCAGGTGGTCCAGCACCTGGACTCCCCGCTCAAGGGGGCCGTGGAACTTGTTGATCAGCTCGGAGAGCCGCAGGTTGAGGCCGTAGTTTCCCGAACCGGCGCTGCTCGATTCAATGGCCCAGTAGAATAGGTGGCGTCCCAGGTGGCTGCTCAAGTGGTTTGCAAAGGCCTCGATCATCTTTCGGTCAGCTGCGGGGTCATCTTCACACTACTTCTGCTCCTGGCTGCTAAATACAGTAGATATATCAATAAACAACATGTCAGTACATGGCATTGTAATCTTACTATATAGATTTTTATTTTTTATAAACAGCCCCAAAACTATTTTGCATAAAATCGATTCGAAATGGAAAAGTGTTTTCCATACCGTAAAATATATAATCAAGTTTAAATCTACAGGCTGTTCTCTATTATATCAAACAAGTCAGTTAAGACAAATTGACGAATTCACTTATCATGTCGAATGAGAAACTACAACCGCAAATGGTAATAGCACTCCTATTAGCTTGACCGCAATAGTAATTTTGATATGTAACATAATCTGATTTTTATGGATATAAATGATACAATTTCGAATCAATTTTGGTTGAGTCTTCGAGCTTGCCGGCTCTCAAATGAAAAATTGCCAATTGCGGGCTGCACTTTCACTTCTCCAATTCCATTTTCTACTTAAACTCCAGCTCGCACGCATTTGTCGCATTTTATTAGCAGCAGGAAGTGAATTAAGTCGAGCCCCTCTCTTTCGGATTGACCCCCACCACCAGTTTGGCTTAAAAGTTTTTGGGTCAACTGGAGAACTCTTTTCCACCTGACTCTCTGCCAGCGGAAATTATGCAAGCGGCTATTTTTAATTGGCAGCATGGCGAAGTCCGTAACCAAAACAAAACGGCGACAGACATGAACATAATTTTTGTTTCTCTCACTTCATTTTCGACTCGTCACGGCTGTCTTTGCCACAATCAACAGGTCTCTGTGGCGAGGGCGATATATGGATAAAGGTATCTCTCTCCACCTGACAAAATGATGTATTACAATACCCCACACCGCCTTCCCTCGCCTCCTGCCACGCCCCCCAATAAACAAAGCAATTTGTTTTCGACGCCTAATGAAGTTCTTCACGCTTCGATTCGTCTTTGGGTTTGAACTGAGTTAGATCTTTGTGCGGACTTAGTTTTGGTTGGGCATAAAGATTAACCTTTGACAACATTTTGGCTGATTATCTGAAAAGTAATAAATTACAGCAGTGAAGAATTAACGTTGTGTAACTATAGTTCTGTACTATAACCAGAATAGTTTCTGATTTTAAGATCTTGATCAATTCGCTGTGTCATTTATTTTTCATTCATCAGAATTACCATACAATACAAAAGATTAATTAAGCGCATGCTGCAAATTTGTTTACATTTCAATGGCTCATTTGCGGTGTTGACAGCTTAATTTTTTTTTAAGTATCCAAAGTCATTAAAATATTTTTAATATAATTAATATTTTATTTGATTATTTTTGGTTAAGAGTTAAAACTTAAAATTCGGAGTTTGTTTTAACTGAATATTTATTATCTTTTTGACCATTTTAACGACTGTTCCTTAAATAAAAAATGCATTTCCATTGACTCATTCGCACTGAAATAAATTACGTCAAATTCTAGTCAGAAGATCGCAGCTCCCCTTCGGTTCTCCGTAACCCCTTAACCCTCTTAGTTGCTATGCAAAACACACATACAATTTATGCTAAATTAATTTAATGGCTTAACAGTCGAGTCACGTTTATTATTCATCAGCTGTAGGCTTTTGTTATTTTCCAGCCACATTTCAATTTCGGCTTGTTTTGTTTAATTTCTTTCTCGCGTGTGTGAGCGCTGATTTTTGGATTAAATGCGTATTTCTGCGCTATGCCATTGCACTCTCGTATGAAGGTGCAATCGAATTTGCCGCTTGCATTAACATTGGCCGCCCTTTTCTTAATTGTATTCGTTGTTTTCCTCAGACCGGGGTTTATTTCACTTTTCATTGCCTCTTTAATTGCAAATGGTGCGACCCACTTTTTGGCCAAGACTCGGGTCAGAGTCTCACACACACACACACACACACACTGACCGAAAAAGGTGGTAAAGGGGAGACCCCAAAGCAACGCCCGCGTAACACTTTCGATTTTTATTTCCTCATTACACGCTCGCCAAAAAAAAAAAAAAAAAAAAAAAATCCAACCACATCCACAAGATCACAGTAAAGCAGAAAATACAAAAACAGAAAAAACCGAAAAGTGAAGAGTTTGTATTTTTTCTTGCAGTCAAGTCTTTTGTTTTTCCATTATTTCGTGGCCCTTTTTAATGAGTTCCTTTTGTTGCATTTTCCTTTTGGCCCCCTCGAACATTTTGCAATCGCCACGCATTTGGCTGATTAAACCAAAAGTGTCATAAAGCCAAAAAACGCCCCGAACCCTCCGATGATTGTTTGGATTTAATCTAAGCCTCGAAAGCAATCGACCTCTGAAGCCCCTCACATCGCAGTTGCAGACATTCGCTCACGTGGCCAACGAAATAACCTGTCGAACTCTTGGCCAAGCACTCGAACTGTCGATTAGGCGATCAGTCGGTCAAGTAGTCGGCTAAAGAGCTCGCTGATTTGCCGATTTTGCACTTTAATTGTGCGCGCTTGTCTGATTTTTGTTTTTCCGTTTTTCTTGGCCAATTTGTATAAGGTTTTTGCACTTTTTATGGCGACTCGTGGGCCAACTTCGTAATCTGATAAGGGCTTTAAAGAGCGAATTACAAGAAAGGTTTCGAGTTAGCCAAAATTTTGATTGAGGTCAAAACAGCATGGTAATTAAGAACTCCCTTGAGTAAAAATAATTTTATTGAGTAATTACAACGCGGCAGTAAGGTTCTAGTTTAGCATTGAATACATTTGCATTCGGCACGCTTGGTGTCTCAGTTTTGCATATTTCTGGACCAGAGTATCTAGTATCTAGTTCTCATCGAGCTGCACTGTCGCAGTTCCATTTTGCGAGGCACTCGACTTTTGTTTGAGGTGTTTCCATGTGTGTTTGGACCTCGCTTCGAGTGCCCTTAGGTTGTTTCGCAATTATTCAGACAGTCAGCTGTCGGTCGGTGGCTCTGTCTTTCGGTTTTTGAGTCTATCAGCTTTTCAGCCAGCGTCTTTGGCTTTGGACGCTTTAATTTGCAGATAATTTTATATGCATTAACATGCAGTTTTTCTCACTCACTTTTCATATTTCTTAAGATTATTTGGTAAGTCATGTTGCATTTTGTCTAATGACTCGACGAATTAACATTTTTTGTACAATCCCCAAGTTTTGATGTTTGGATTCGATTCTTTTTGGCCCAGAAAAGTCCCCATTTGAATGCTTTTCATCTCGGAATGAGTTGCTGAATTCTAAATCGGTTTCTGTGGTTTTGTGACATGTTCTTTGTCAAATATTTATTGCTGTGTTTCGGTTTCGGCCGAAACCCGTTTGCGTTTCCTTTTCTGCGTGTATATTAGTTAAAGTTTATAAGTTGTCACTGAGTTACTTAATATTTAAATATTCATGCCTCCATTTTGCGCGACTCTTGAGTGGAATTCTAAATGCGGCTTCGACGACTAGAGTGAAAAGACTTAATCCTCTTGTGTTTTGTTTGTTTCGCCAGCTTTTTCTCTTCTTTTGGGTGGGGCTACTTTAGTTTTTACCCAAAGTTTACCTTGCTTTGAAATACAAACACGAAACGCTATGGGAATTATTGGGTTTTTGAAAACTGAAACCTCGGGAAGTACAAACACTGGGAGGGCTGCCATTAAAAGCAGCGCCTCTAAGCACAAATCATAGTTATGGTCAGTAAATTACGGCCAAATGCTCGGCAATTAACCGAGAGTGCATCTAAGGGATAATTACACGTCGGAACCACTTATTCCGCGGTGATAAGAGTTTTCAGCCTTGATTAAGATCTCGAATTATTTATTTTTCGACTTGGAGGCGTTGATCATTAGGCGATCATTAATTCAGTGGGCATCGATGAGTGGGGCGCACTTTAGAAAACTTAATGAAGCGGAATTCGCAACTGAATTCCTAATGTTGTCGATTATTTTTAGCATGGCAAAGCACTTCCCGGGTGACACTTAGTGGGCTAAATATTGAAAAAATTAATTAACCCCTGACAATTTCAGTCCGCACTTAAAATCAATGAGTTCTGTCCACAATAAACACGTGACGTAAGCGAAGAAAGAGCGAATTCATTCCAGGCAGGTGAGAAAAAGTGTTTGGAGGCAAAACCGATCCGTAATCATTAGAAACAATTATATGTGCGGAATTTTTGGGGATTTTTTCACCCGGCTCTCTGTTATATTTGCACTTCACTTAAAGCAATTTTCCTTGGTTGTTTTTTTTCACGCTCAACCGGCATCGCAAAGCTGTCAGCTGAGTGATGAAAAAAACGGAAAAAAAGTCCAAACTGCACATAAATTAAAACGTCAACAGAAGAACAAACAAACGAGCTACGCGCACTTTGCCAACGATTATTATTACTTTAACAAGCAATCAGACAAATACACACTTTTGTAATTTGTTGGGATGAACGGCAGACCGCAGACAAACTGATGAAATGGGCTTCACATGTGTGGAGGAATTTTTTTCCCTCAGCTTCTTTTTTTTCTTTCCTATTTTTTATTTATTTTTTTTTTCGGTTTGCGCATGCGCGACGACCGGCCACGTTTTGAAGTTCGGCTTTACTCCTCGACTGGCGTTTGCGACTGCGCGAGTCAACGAACGAATTCGTAGTGAGTAACTAATTTTTCAAGTGAGATCCAAAACCGGCAACTGGAGACTCGCCACCCGATCGACCACGATCGACTTTATGGATTTAGCTTCGGTTTTTTTTTTGCGCTTGCCTTGAGACGGTCATTTATTGCATGCGATAAATGGCACGATTTGATTTTTATTTTCATTGAGTGCTAACCAATTTTGATGCCTTGGCTTTTGTTTGCACGACTCTTGTACGCGACACTTGCTCAGATTGCATTTCCTCATTAATCTCGCGTTCTTGGTCAATTACAAAACAATTAAAAGCAGCAAAACGCAGTTAATTGCTGGTGTTTCAAGGAAAACCGAACCGAAATTGCTAGTACTTTTTGCAAAATGCAGAGTAATCACGGCCGGCGGAGAAGGGTGCACCGAAAATGATAATTGCTGTCATGACAAACGCAAAAATAAAGTTTAAATAATAATAATTTCACTAGCTGCAGTTGCAGAATGCGCAGGATTGGGCGCAGTGGCTGCGGAAAAGGGGGCGGTGGCGACATTAAGAAACCATTAGCAACAGCCGTGCTGGCAACTGTCAAGAAGTAGCAGTGCACTCGAAAAAACCAGCTCTTAAAAGTGCTTATTAAAAACATTTAAGTATTTGAAAATTGAGCAATAACTCAATCAAACGCCATCAAATTAAATGGAGTTATAGAATCTAATAGAAATAATCCTTATGGTGCAATATTTTAAAATTTATGTTTACACATTCAAGTCCATTAAAACACATTTTAATGACTGCATACCATGTATTTTACAATGGATGTTTTTATTTTTAAAATTAAAATTTCTAAATTAAAGTTGCATATTTTGTTTGAGTGTAGCAGTAACAGTTATTGCGACATCAGCAGCAGTTCGAGTAACAGCTGCCGCAGATGAGTGGGGGCTGTGCTGAAGGGTCAATGCAGTCACAGTTTCCGATCGCAGTTCCCAGTTCGCAGCTAGCAGCTCGCAGTCACCGCATCGGCGGCATCATTTTTCAAGTGGAGCACTCAACGGCAGTAGCAACAAAAGGGCAGGGGCGGTGGGTGTGTGTGGGGGTGGTTCAGGCTGGTTGAGGGGCACATTAAGGGGACGCCGGAGTTGGAGGGCTGCTGCTTCTGGGCCTCCCAACAAATGTGCCCATTCATTAGGGTTTAATAAATAATTTTTTCCTCCTTTGCGGAGTTCTTTTTTGTTTTGTTCGTGGAGTACAGTTGGCGAGACTTTGACAAGCATCCTTCTCTCGACCCCGCCCCCCTTTTTCCGGTCAGCGGGGGTTGACGTTTAACAGCATCTGCCTTTGTGTGTCAAGTGGCGCTGCACAAACAAACAACTTTGGGGGTGGAGGATTAGCCGTGAGTTCCGGGATAATGTGCTAAACCGTAGAATAGGGGTAGGGGATAAATGTTACAAAAAATATATGTTAAAATTTATATATTAATTCCTAGCTTCAGTTCTTTGAAAAAGGCTAAAGTTATATATATTTCACCTTACCAGTAAAAAAATTAAAAAACAAGAGAGTTTTTTGCTCACTAAAAAACGCTTGAGTAAATCTTGAGTAGATCGTTTGACTCTTTGAAACAAACAGCTCTTTTTATTTTTACCCAAAAAAGTTCATTTAAAACTGTACATAAAATGATTACTTTAGGTTTAGTGTTTTTTTATTGAGTGTAAATTATGTAAGTCTTTCAACAGGCATAAACAAATATTATCTTGTAATTATGTTTACAATTAAAGCCGATATGGTCTACCATTTATTTAGTCATTAACCTAACAATTATGCCAACCATTATGTAAAATATAATTGTTTAATTCAAGTGACCATCCCCTCGAACCACTGTCTATTTCAAAGAAAATCGACTACATCATCTTGAGTTCCTGCCACATTTCCCAGACCAATTTGATGGCCAATTGTAAACCCCAAGTTAAGTACGAAATTTAAAAAAACGATTGGCAAATAGTCTAGGCAAGGTCGTTTGTCTGCTGGCTTTGATTTTCCAGTGCGTTTCGCACTGTTTTGCTCCGACATATTTGCTGTGCGTTAATTGCTGTTTGCGTTTGCGTTTGGCTTTTGTTTTTGCTCTGGCCGAAAATGACTGGGCCAAGTGTTAATTGCACATGTTGTCTTGTGGGTTTCCTTGGCAGGGCCTGTCTTTTATCTAGTTCAAATATAGCTAATTATCGGTTTAATAGGCCAATGAATGCCCGAAAACCTTTTGCGGGACTACGTGACGGATGCGTGATGTTCGTGCAAAGCCAAGCGAATTTTATCGCATGATAGAAAATCTCACAGGCCGACTCTTCGGCTTCGAAGTCTTCTGTTTTCTCACTCTCCCGCTGCGACTCTCAGTATCGCTCATTGCCATGTAAAAGTTGAATGAATCGAATTGAATAATATCGGACCTGAAGTTCGGGTTCAAGATTGTTTATTTCGGCAGCTGTCCGTGGCGACGTGGGCCGGTTATTGAATGTTTTCGGTTTCATTGGCTAGACCGACCCACCTTCAAGGTCGTCGAGCAAGTTCTTCGGCTGATGCTCTTGCAGTTTGTCGGTTTTATTGAAATCTTTTGATTTTATTGCTATACCCTGCCTTAGGGTAGCACCAGATTGACTGGTAAATAACGAAAATTAATGTAGATTATGTTCTTAAAAAAGGTTAACAGACTCCAAGTTATTTGAAGTAACTAAACAGTTAAGTCTCTTATAATATTATATAAATAAATTCTTATTTGATTTTAAGGTTGATTATATCTTGGGATTAATGTAAAATATTCAGTTTGTATTTTTTCTTGATATATTTAAATTCGTTTTTGGGTAACAAAATTAGCTTCTCAGTCTTAGTTTTTTATTGCTAAATTGTTCTGCTTAATTTGATTAATATCTCACTGTTAACTGTTATAAACTAAACCATTGTTAAAAGTTCTGATGAAGTGGCAAGGGTATAATAAGCTCTGGTTTTCCTTGGTTTGTTTTTAGTGTCTCCCTGTTAATGAATTACTTCCTTATTTCCGCCAACAGATCCGTGTTTGTACATCATGCGGTTCGCCAATCGCCTGCAGCTGGGTGCCAAGACACACGAGGTTTCGATGACTGCCCTCCGGATTGTTCAGCGCATGAAGAAGGATTGCATGCACTCAGGGCGACGACCCACTGGCCTCTGTGGAGCAGGTGAGTGAACCGCAAGAAATCGAATTAATAGCCACCGCTAAAAAGGGACTCGTTTTGACCTTAAGCTCTGCTGATTGCGGCTCGCATGCACGATTTTAGTCGCACAATGTTGGACGTGATAGGTGTGGTCAAGATCCACGAGTCAACGCTCCGCAAGCGACTTTCGGAGTTTGCCGAGACGCCTTCCGGTGGACTGACTTTGGAGGAGTTCATGACCGTTGACCTCGAGCGCGAACAGGATCCGCCTTCGTTCAAGGCTGCGCGGAAAAAAGATCGTGAGAGGATCAAAGATGTAAGTATATTTTTAATCTATTTGAATCTTAATTAACTTTGTTCCTATTTTAAGATGGGGGAGCATGAGCTCACGGAGTTGCAAAAGGAAATCGATGCCCATTTGGAGAAGGACTTGGGCAAGTACTCCAACTCGGTTTTCCGACAGCTGACCAAAGGAAAGGGCATCACGCCAATCAGCTCTCCAAGCACTCCAAAGAGTACCTCGGAAAAGGATCTCGAACTGGAGGAGTCCAGCAAGTTCATCGAAGAATCCAATGCAGAGGTCATCAAGAACTTGATAGCCAAGAACGAGGATGTGAGGAAGGTGGAACCCAGTGGCTTGGTGGCTGGCATTGAGGGCCTCCGCCCGGATATCGAAGCCATTTGCAGGGTGACCCAGAGCGATCTGGAGGATGTGGAGAAGGCCAAGCAGCCGCAGGAACAGGAGCTCATCACTGACGATCTGAACGATGACGAACTGGATCAGTATGTCCTCACGGAAGAGGAGTCTGTGGCCAAGTTGGAGATGTGGAAGAACCTCAATGCGGAGTATCTGCGGGAGCAGAAGGAGCGCGACGAGCGACTGGCCAAGGAACGCGAGGAGGGCAAACCGGAGCGAAAGAAGCGCAAGCCGAGGAAGAAGGTCATTGGACCCTCGTCCACTGCCGGCGAGGCCATTGAAAAGATGCTGCAGGAGAAGAAGATCTCCAGCAAGATCAACTACGAGATACTCAAGACCCTAACCGACGGCATCGGCGGACTGACAGATGATTCCAACAATGCAAGTGTGGACACCAAACCTAGCACTCTTGAGGAGATCAAGCAGCAGCCGGTTATTGTGGAGGAGGGACCCATTGCCCCGAAGAGCAGGGGCAGCAGGCCAGCCTACGATCTCCCGGGACCAAGTAGGAAGCGACCCAAGGTGGAGGTGGGTCTGCCGGTCAGCCAAGCAGCGGAGGAGGAGCAGCCGGACACCAAGCCAGCGGTGGTGGTGGAAGCAGGTAAGTCAAAGTCGAATCGACTTATTGAAAGGCTTTGTCTGCTAATTAATCCGGATATTCCCCCCTCAGATGAGCTGGACGACGAGACAGAGGCGGAAGCTGAAGAGGTCGATGCCGAACCGGAGGCAGAACCGGAGGCCACCCTCCAGGACATGCTGAACACGGGCGGGGATGACGACGAGTTCGGCTACGGATTTGACGAGGAGGAGGAATATTAGGCATAAGCTCGCATTTAGCGCTTAAACTTTAAAGCATTTTAGTATCTACACACCGATTTTATAGTATCCCGGCCTACTCGTAATACAATTAAACTAAGCATTAAGCACCGTGCACTTGTTGCCGCCGTGCCATTTCCTGGGCGCGTTGGCCGTGGAGGCCATTAAATCATGGGCTCCTCCTTGCAGCCATTTACATGTTTAAGCCATGTCGGCGGGCCTGGCCCTTGCTCCTTTGCTCCCCGGCTTCCCGGCTCACGGACTTCTCGGTGGGTACTTGTAGCTGGCTTCTAATTGTTGGCGCTGCCGTGGCGCGCCTCCAAGTGCTGCAAATAAATATTTCACTCTTAATCATGTTTTGCACTCTGTTTTGCTTGCCTTTCTCCGGCGCTGCAGGCGGCCAGTTCAGTTCAGTTTAGTTCCGTTCCGTTCCGTACCCTTCGGTTCGGTTCGGTTTAGTTTCAGTTCAGTTCTGTCGAGTTCTGAGCCCTGAGTTCTTGGCCCAGCCAGGAAACTTGGCCCGACTCCACGGCCGTAGCTACGTTGAGTGGCAAGTGCCCGGCAATGAGCTGTTGAGTCTGCCGAGCACTTGTCTCTGCGATTTTATAGTTATTATGTTGTAATTAGTGTTAATTTACTTGCCTCCGGTTCAGCAAGTCAGCATCAGCGCCCTCATAAAGTCTGGCATGGCTTGTGGAGAAGCTTCTTGGGGCTTGTCTACGATTTTCCAATTGTTTGCAGCTTCTATCCTGAACAAATAACCTAACTCTATTTAGTTGTAAGATTAAGTTGTCTGGCCAATAAGAATTAAACGATTAATAAATATTCGAACTTTTTCACTTTAAAGAAGTATGTTGTATTGAATCTTAAAACTCATCAATTATTGCACCCTTTCAATAGTTTATCTGAGAATAAATCTTTCAAGCCAATGTATTTATGATGGTATTCATATTTGATTATTATAACTTCTTTCAGTTAGATACACTTTCTCTAATAAAAATTTAATATTGAGGGAAGAAAGAAAAGTGGCAATTATCGAATAGATTTCATTATGCATAGTTAAGTTTCGCTTGAAACTTTGCTCTCTCATTCAAACTAAAATGTTTGCAACTTTTCTGTTCCGTAGAACATGTAATTCATTTCACTTTTCAACAAATTTATGCCGGAAGTAAAGTTGAGAACGGGCCAGATTTCCCCGCTTTCCAACTTTAACTCGCCAAATGGTTTCCGAACCGAGCTGAAGTTAGCTGCACTTAATGCCCGTTCGCTAATTTGCATAAGCCCACCACAGTCCCGGACCCAAAGGATAATTATTAATAAAATGCACACGAACCGCTCGAGAGTCCTGATGGGGCGTGGTCTCCTGGCCGCTTCCCTCGACCGGCTTAGCTGGCCAAGTTGCAACGATAATGTGAACTGTATGCACATGTAAATCCCCGAGCAAATGTGACAGTAAAATGGCAATTAGTAGACATCTTGACTTGACCAGCCACTTGGAAGTTTCCTGGTCAATGCGACTAATTTATGCGCAGCCAGCTGGGAACTGTTGGTAACTGGGAGTCCTTGGTTGTCCTGCTTCCTGGTCTTTCCCTGGCTCGCCGCCTGATGTGGATAATCGCCCGATTAAGCACATTAATCCCCGATGATAATATTTTAAAGCTTTTGTGCACGCTTTTTCAAAGGATTTTTCATGAGTGCCCACTTATTAGCAATGAATTTTCACAAGTCTCATAAAGTTCTGAAAAATATTTTGATGGACAGTATAACTCCAATGAGTTTACTAAGCTTATCATAAACTATAAACTATGATTTATTAAAAAAATATTTAGTTTGGATTATAAAGAATCCTTGGTAAGCTTTATTTGAATTTTTTTAAATATTTAAAATAATATAGTAGTTTTTTTCATTTATAAAATTTATGGTATGTTTAGCGTCGTATATTTTCGTTAAGTTTTAAACGAACAGTGGACTGTGTTTTGCAATAATTTGTTTTTCTCCGTTGCGTCGACTGTCACTTGCGGCATATTAATTAAAAAATCGTTCTTTGCCGCTAAAATTCAATATAAAATATATGTGGTATATGGTATGTATCGAACCGACGCTCGCCATATATTTTAATGCAGTTTAATTAAAAATGTGCCAAGCTGAGGTCATTTCGCAGTTCCAGGGATTTTGTTGGCTTCTTTTTTTATCTGCTGCATTTATTTTTTACGCTGCTTCTGCCCGTCTCTTCTCTCAATAAAATTTTTATAATTTACACTTTATTTGCGGATTTGGCTGCTTTATTATTAAATACAGCCGCCACAGGCTGCCATGGTCGGCGGACTTTCTGGCGACGCTGGAGACCATTTTGAAAAGTATTTAATAAGTGGAAACAAATAAAGCGGCGGCGGCAAATACCGAAAATGCGAAAATAATGCGTTTAATTAAAATAAGTTGTGTGGGTGCCTGTTGAGTTCGCTGGTCAGGCGAAGGGCACAAATAAATGAGTAAATGAAAGGGCTTAATACGCTTAAAGTGAGCTGCATTAAGTATACGCAGTGGATGATCCATGCAAACAGTCAAGCCCACTATTTAAATGTACATTAAGCACTTCAAATCAGATTAATTAGGACCAACTGCCCTGCAAATTAGTTGCATGAAGTGGCAGTTTCGTCGCGAATCAAACGAACCGAACCCAAAAGTATGCTATAATTTAAAGCCACCCTTCGATTTCGCGTTTGATTTGCAATTTATAGTATGCGGGGCAACTAATTTATGCGCTAATTATGTTGTGTTTTTGGCTGTCGAGTGTTGTTTCGGCTCGATGAATAATTAAAACGCGTTTTCCCTGCGTGCCTATTAATTAAGCCGCTAAATGCTTTGTTTAGTAATTTGTTTTGGTCTAGCTACGGTCTCAATGACAAAGTGAGAGTTTTAATAGCTTATATACTTTATGTGGGTTCGTTGTCCTTTTTCTGTTGGATTAAATTAGTTGGTAAGTCCAAATAAATTATTGAATTTGATTTTACATGTTTTGGCATGAAACGTTAAAAGGGGAATTTATTTATGACTTTAGTGAAAGGAGGAGTGAAGGGATTCCCAAAACAAGGCTCACACGTTTGCAGTCCATCGGTAATTGGGAAGATGGTGCATTGGAACCCAAAATGGCGTTGGTAATGGCAACGGCCTGCCCAATCAGCGGATCGCAGGCGAGTGTTTGCCCACTGTTTTAGCCGCAAGATGCCCGGTGGTCACAAGGGGGTGGTGGAAGGGGGTTTTGGGCCAGCCCTTCGAGGCTGCTGATTATGGACGTGCATTAGCAGCAGCAGGTGAACGCCAGAAAGCGAGCCGCAGTCAAGTAGCAAGCTGCGGATGCACGCTCCAATGGGCACACACCCCTGCACACATGACAACCGCTGCTATGCAGAGGCAGTTAACAGACGATTTCCAATTGTCCTTCCCCACGCACATACACACACACACACTCGTAAACCACGCACATTTGGGCCTGCCTGCAAATATGCAATAATAAAGTAAATAAACGCTTGCCAGCCGCCATTAAGCTGCAAGATGCAAAAAGTGCATGCTGTTACAGGGGGGATTAAATAAAAATTCTTTAAAATACTTCTTAATATACTTAAAGTCAGAGTTTGTCACATTTGGTTCTTGTTATAAAATAAACATAAAACGTATCAAATAAATTGAAAAATGTATATGATCCTCACTTAAAATTCACGACACTATATGGGATTATACCTGGAACCTTATTAATCTATTTAACAAGGTTATCTTTTTCCAATACAAAATATTATTGAACAAAATTTGCATATTCTTTTTTAGCGAATGCTTGCCGTACGAGTGCATCCATGGCCGATAGCGTATTGAACATAAAGTGCCTGGCAAACTAGGCAAGGCTGTGATTGCAAAACACAAGTGCAATTACCTGGCCTGCAGGCTCAGCACATGCACACATACGTACGCGAATAACTACTACCACATCAACATCAATTTGTTCAACTAAGGTCAACAAAATAGTGAAGGTCAGACAACAAAAAAAGTTGTATTTGAAAATGAATTTCTTTCCTTACATCCGTATATGTAGGAAACTGGAGAGATTAGGAAATAATAATTCATTTCTTAAACCATTTTTTTTAGAAATTACAATGATCTTTTTCATTTAAAGTCGCGCTATTAATTTGCCCACAACTGCAGGCATGCATGCATGAATGTACGTTAGCTGGGCGCCGCAAAGTAGGCAACGATAATGTCATAAATTCAATGAATAAACATAAACGGAAAAAGCAGATACACACACACACACACAGACGTGCATAGACGGGGCACAAACATACACACACATACACACAAACAGAGAGCACACATAAACAGCAGCTGCGTGAGTTGGCTGTTTGCCGCGAAATAGGCAGCAACAACAATGGCAACATGAACATCAACGGTGGCAAAATATGTATTAGCCCCCAAAGTTTACTAACAAAATTAATTATGCGAATTAAGCGCAGTAAAAGCACTTTAAGCAATCCCCCTTCCCCGCCTTCCCTGAGTCACACCGACGCTCCGGACACCGCAGACCGCACCACTAACACCACGGCAGCACCTCTCGCCCAGAAAGCCCCCTTCCAGATCCTACGGGGCCATAATATGTGCCGCATTCTGTGCCGTGTCATGGAGCTACACTGTTCATTTGTTGCTATTAGTAGTTGTTTTCATTAATAAAACGTTTAAATTGTGTTTATTTATGCCAAGGAAATAACTTTGTAGACTTTTTACTTCCTTCTTGAAAAAACAGAGCTTGATTTAAAGTATGTTACCATTTTAACCATAACCATTTCTGCAAAGATAACTTAAGTGAATTAAAAATACTTCTTAATAGTAATACTTTTCTGGAATATAACAAGTCTGTGGTCACATGGGATCTATATGTTTATAATAAATGTTATTTTCCCAGTGCAAGGATAAGAACGCTGGCTATGAGGATGCTGAGAGGCCAGGACCCGTTGGCCGGGTATTGTTCAATTTATGCGTGTTTGTGTGCGTGTTCCACTCAGGAGTTATTCGTGCTGCCGCCGCGCCCCTTTTCCCCTTCCCACCCCTCTTTCCCCCTCTTCCTGCTCCTTGGCTCGGCTTTTCGCCAGTTAGCAGTTTGTGGGCGCACAAGTAGGCCAAGCACCCGGACCTGGCCAAGTGCAAGCCCCAACAGTCAACAGCCAACGAGCAGCAGCAGCAACAGCAACAGCAGCAGCAACAAACGACGGCAGCAGCCTGGAAGTTGTTTATTTAAGTGTGAAATTTAAGTGCAACACTGCGTAATGTGTAAGGACCCAGCATATTTAGCATTATGGTGGAGCGAGATAAGCGACATCGCCTTTAATAACCCCAGGCAGCGGGGGACTGCCGTAATCATAAATTGACCTGCTAATAGATAATAAAACAAAACACCAACGAGCAAACATAAGCCACCAGCAGTCAAGAGGAAACAAAAGCGGGGAAAAAGTGTTATTGCAGCGCAAAAAATCTCGAGTGCACTAGAAGCGGACTTTTGGCGCCGTCGCTGACCGAACAAAATAAATAAAACAATTTGTCGCCGATTTTTGGGGTCAGGCAGTCGCCAAGCCAAATTAGCTAAAAGTTCGGACAGCCACTTAGTTAATTGTCGTCGCGATTCAAGTTAAATACATAAATACCCGTGCACTCCATTTATAAATTCCTCCGAAAAAACAATGACAGCTTACACCACAGTTTGGCAAAGTAATGTTTAATTTGTTTTATTTACGACTACACAATTCAGATAACAACGATGTTTTTTATAACGATTTAAATTTTTGTCAAGAAGTTATCTTTTAAGTTTTTTGTTAAGCTCAGTAATTGTTAAGAGCCTTTAAAATTAAAATGAATATGCCAGTAAAGCAATACTTTAAAGTTCACTTTGTATTTTAATTTGTTGAAGAGGTGCATTTTAAAATGGGAAAACCATTGAAAAGCCTAGAATTCTTGTTTATTGTTTTTCCCTTTTCAATTGATTTTAATGCCATATGAGCGAAGATACCATTTGCAGTGAGTTTACATTGTTTTCGAGATTTAAACATTTTACTCCCGGTCAATTAAGTTTATAATAAAACTGAATAGAATTTCGCACAGGTCAATAAATGTATTTTTCGATCAGAAATTAAATTGGCCATTCAATTTAGTTTTACTCCCGGTTTCATTCAGATACGATCTGAACAGCGGTAAAAGGTAAATAAAGGATTCGTTAATTGTAAATTGAATTAGAGCAAAAGTGCACATTCTAATTCGAAACTTTGCACTAAAGTGTTGAAAATTGAGAAAAAAATACGAAAATTGAAAAGGTCGAAGCACGTTTGTCAATTTTGTGGTGTCGATGAACACTATAAATCAACTGTCAATCAAGAAATGCTGAATAAAAGGAAACACAACTAAACTTGAATAAAGTTCTCCGCAAACTTTACTTTGGCCCCCTCGAACTTGAGAAGAGCAGCGGGAAAACTTCAGACTGAAGTTGAGCCAACTGCTACGCCATGACAGACAGATCCTGGCCATATCCTTTGGCCCGACCAAAACCCAAAAAAAAGGGATGCCATCAGAATGGACGCTAATTAGCGTGCAAAGTTAAATAAAAATCAGCGAAAATTCCGCTTTCAATGCAGCATGGCATATGGTAAGATAATTAATTAATACTCACTCGCCTGATTGGTGAAAAACGATAGTCAGGGCCGAGGCAATTAGCCAAGTTCTGGGCTCAGGCCAAAGGCAAACAATGATGAACCCTTGCCGCTGCCTCATTTTCCTCGGCTGTCGACGTCTCTGTCCTTCCCTCTGTTCTCGCCCCTCTCCTTCTGTCTTAAATGATGGGTACCCAACTGGCCGTGGTTGTGGGTGGTGGCTCTATGTTTTTATTTGCGTCACTGAAGGAAAATTCTTGAAGTAAATGGGGGAAATAGTTAAGGCTTAACTACTTAAAATTTATGGTTTCCTAATTGGATTTTTTGTAAGCCGTTTTGCTATATACCTTTTGAAAATTGATAGAAATCTCTTCTATTTATTTAATTAATACATTTTTACAAGAAGAATATATATTTATATTCAACTTAGTTTTATACTTGCTTGCAGATATTTTTGTATTTTATATTTTTTTTTTTTTTTCTTAAAGAGATTGAATCTTATACAACTTTTGGTCTGTGTTGCTATTCTCTTTGAATGCGAAACGTTTTTGCATTTGGTTTTTTATTGCTGTGCTGCCTTTTGGCTTTGCACTATGCTCCCACGTTCTCGTTGTTACATCGCTGTTGTTGTTGTTGTTATTGTTGCTGTTGTTGTTGTTTTTCCGCTGGCTTGCTACCGAGCTTGTTTCTTGAAAAATAATGACTGCACATTAAGTGTCTACACACACATGCCTGGGAACAAGGCAAGTAAAATGTCAACAAATGACAACAGAAATATGATGCAAATGGCTCATGTAAGTGGTTCTTGCCGCCAACATTTATAAAACAGGACAACTTATAGTACAATGCAACAACAGCGAAGCGGCGACGAGTGGAGAAAGTGGGAGTTTTGAGTGGTGGGCGTGGAGGGCGTGGTGGGCGTGGCGGTGTCCGTCCGCTGTAAACATTTGCCGTCTGAGCTTCTCCATTCTGCTTGGCAATTTTTCATTTCCCATTTCACTTTGCAATTCGCGTTTAATTCGCAGTGCTTAGGAGAAGGGCGAAAAAGGGCGACATTTGCTTAATGCTGGAATTAGCTTCTATTCGAGCATCGCGCATACGCCGAGTTGGCCGGAGTCGTTGCCATTGAAATGCCTTTCAAGACTCTCCGCTGCAATTAAAAGCGCATTTAATAGAAATTGTTTGAGTGCAATCGCATGCCAAGGACATCCAAAGTACCAGTCCTTGAATGCGGCCTATTCTGTGTGCCCTTTCTCCTTCTCCTTCGATTGCCTGAAGTATTTGGTCGCGTGGATAAATTGCTGGCCTGCAGTGGAAGAAAATATCTAAGAAAGTGTTTAGGAATGTGCTTGGGTTTGATTTATCTAGTTTTTACTCAGCTGAACGTACTAAAACTCTTTTTGGGACATGGCAAACTTAAACATCTGTTGCATAGCATATACTTCAATTTGTTTTACCCAATGCCTTCAATTAAGTCTTATAGCGTTCTGGGTATGCGATTGCTTCTTCGGACTGTGTGGCTAATCAGCGTTATGTGCGTTAAGTCAACAGCCGCATCAACATTATCATCATTATTTGTACAAAATGAAACCGGCCAAAGCCGCACACTCACACAATTTGGCAATTTGTGGCGGACGGCGGTCAACAAAAAGCAGTTCGGCGAAAGGACCATCCAGGATGGCCAGGACTAAACTGACATTCGGTCAGTCTGTCAGTCAGTCAGCCAGTCAGCTAGCCAGTTGGTTCGTTGGTTGTTGGCTGGATTTGGATGGTCCAGGGCCAACTCGACCACATTGATATTCCACGCTCGAAGCGCGCCGCTGTTGCCATTGGTCATTGAGGCTCGCTCATCCTTCGTCTCCACTCCTGGCCACTAACGATAGATGTCCTTAAGCCAACACACACACCAACACACACACGCAGATATTGCTATAAAAAAATATTTATCTATATAGCGATATATGGCCGGGCTGCGTCCTGCCATCCGACTATCCGGGATATCTGGACAACTTTGTCCAAAAATTGTTGCCAGGGCCGAGCGCTGCTTTGTTAACTTTTTCAGTTTAATGAAATCAATTCACAAGTCACGTTGTTGCTGGACAATAAATACATCAGAGTCCATTTAATAAAATCATGATGTGCACTTTGGGATGATACCCGCACGCCACACATACATCATCTACGGGTGGTCATACCGTATCGATTCCTATATTGCAAATAACTTTCGGCTCTCATTGGAATGCCGCATATGGTCCATACGTATCCTTCGTTCTCCCCCCTCCCCTCTGCCCCCACAAAACTTGCCCCATCCCCTCCCCAATTGCTTGATAAGTGCGCGGCAGTGCTAAACTTAAATCAAAATCCACATTGAGCACTGCAACGTCGGTTGGCCACCGACTCAACTCCCTGGCAATTTGTTGCGGCTTCTGGCTTACTTTTCGGTTCATTATATTGATCTGTGACTCGGCTGTTTGCTTTACGTCTTTCGCACGCTCATTTTTATTTGAGTGCCCCGAGAATGGCGCGCTGATTATTGGGGCAAGGTGGATGGGGGGCACGTTCGCACGGAACTGTTTCATAAGTGCATCGATTGGGGGAGGGAATGTGTAGAAAACACATTTTTTTGACAAATCCGAATGAAATAGAGAAAGTACGAACTGAAAATATGAACCAAACTGTGTATTAAATTTGTATTTTTGAATAGCAGGAATATATGTGTATGTGTTTTTTTTTAATTTTTTGTCACGACTTGATTATTATGTACTTAAATTAATTTATTATGCAATTATTATTTTTAATTCATACGTATTTCGATTATGACAATTAAAAAAATAATAAAATATTTCCTGGAATTTATTTTACATTATAAAATTTAAAATACAATAAAGCCAAAAATATTTGTTTTTTTAAGGAATTTACAGAAAATATTTTTAGTTAACCAACTACATATAATATTTTAAATATTATTTCTTAACTATCTATACGGCTATTAAGGATAGGCTTCTACATTAAACTATAACCATTATTTAAGACTATTTTCATTTATTAGCTGCTTCTGCGCACTGGAACCCAAACAGCTGTTAAACTAAGAAGCTTATCCCGTTATTCTCAGCACGAAAACAAGCAGAGCATGCAAGACTTACTTACACCCCGAAAACTGTTCTACTCTCAGCTGATTTGAGCCTGCTCTCTTGCGAACAGTTTCTCTTAACCATGACCATAGATAACTGAAAAAGCCTTGCCTTGGAGCACGGCGAATTCTGGGTTCTTTCTCTCTTAGCCAAGACACATTCGGTCTCCAGTGTTATACACTCCTTTCCGAAAACGAGAGCCGGAGCGAACGAAGTGGCACGATTCGAGGCGAGGACTCCGCTCGGCTGACGAGGCAATCCGATTCGGATTTCTGGGTGCGTGTACACAGCCTCCGTGCATATCTGATGGCCAGCGAGCAAATCAGTCAGATGCGTGGCGAACGTTGAATTTAACGGTCGGTTTGGCAGTGAAAGTGGAAAGTGGAGCCATCGCTTTTTGCCCCACGATTCTGGACAGCGATTTGTTTGGTGCGGAAAAAAGGAAAACAATGTAGCGTGTAACGAAGGTATTCTGTGGTGAGTTCTAGGATCTGTCCTTGCGGGTGCACACTATAGGGTCCGGCTCTCGCTCGTCTGCTTTGGGGGTGGAGGTCTTGCTTAGACAAATCCGCACACTAGCTACATATTATTATTTTTAAGACCAGAATTGAGTGTGCTGACGAAAATAAATGCGAGATATCAAAATCAGAAGAGAAATAGATAAAATTCAAAAAAAACAAGAGATAGAAAAGATCGAGAAAAGTTAGAATCAGCGATGCCACAGATGTTGTCGTGGTCGCGAAATGCCCACCCTACCTATGATCACCATCCTTCAGAGCTAAACTCCGGTGACCCCTAATACCCTACGATTGTGGAAGCATCAGCCGAGTTAAAAAAAACGTGAACTACTCGAAATTCATTTCAAATACAATTTAATTAATAGTTATACAAGAATTCATTATTGTTATTTGCTAACAGGTAGATACTACCAATTTTATATAAATATAATAAATGATATAAAGGCGATAAAAATACTATTTAGATACTTAAATATTTAAATGATGTTATCCTCATAAATTAAAGTAGTTATAATGTTCGTATATATTTAAAAAGATAAGAAATAAGAAAAATATAGGGTATTCAGATATCGTACTTCATCAATAAAAAAATATTACTCTTGTATAACAATAGATATTTAAATTTCATTGCTTTAATTTATTTTTTTATTTCACTAAATCATCTTCATTCTGTTTGATATCTTTTTGTTTAATTTAATTTAGTTTAGTGAGGCTATCGGTTCAGGGTTCTTTTAAATTCACAGTTTCATTCAAGTAGATTGTTAAAAATTATTTCATAGAGTATTTCGCAATAAGATATAAATAGAATAGATATAAATGCAATAATGAGAATAATAAACTCACAGCTTATACGTTGTTCCAGCGGCGAAAGATCGATCTCCCGGGCAGGTGGCTGTAAAGGGTGAAATTGGGGCTCGAAAACACAAAACTATTCTATAAAAATCTTTTAACTTGGAACCCTTTTAGGCCTACATATTTTACTGAGAAGCGACTGTGATATCTTCACTTAACCACATTTTTAAATTTAATATTCACTATTGTTTCTTATCAGAAGTTGCTATTTTCAAATTATATTTAAATTTACAAAAAAAAAATAAATATTTAATTTATCGCTTTTAAGTCATAGTTGAGCGAATTTTCCAAAACAAAATCGATGCGTAAATAACTCCACTCGTGAAAAATTAAGTTTTAAATTTAATTTAATTTAAATATTACGTTTTAGACTGAATCATTCAGACTTTAGAAAATATCACTTAAACTTGATTTTTACGGCATGTTGCTATCTTTGATTCATTAAATTTTCTTCACTTTGGCACGTTTCAAAACTTTCAAATTTTTAATTATAATATTTCACTTTAAAAAAAAATCGCAGTAGCGGCTTAAAAGCAATTCCAGGTTATATATTCCCTTTTGTGTCCATATTTGGCTATACTAAATCTGCTGCTGCTGCTGCCGTGGGTAGAGAGGGTTAAACATCTCTCCAAATCACTTCTTTAATGCCGCATTCTTGAATTTAATTCCAGTTGAAACTCCTCATTTTTCTTGTCCGATTTAATTTGGGGCACGATATTAAATCATGCCCCCCACTGTCTTGAAGGGGAGCTCCCACGGATGCCAGTATTGATGGCCACGTGAGAAATATATATATCATATATATCTAAAGAAAATCTGGGGTTAGAATTGATAAAAAATCTACTTCCACCACTTACATCTCAATAGTTTTCCAAAATTAATCACAAAAATATTACTCAGCTAGGCTCGCTGCACTTATTCCTCTTATTATTTTCCACGATTTCAATATATAGTATTTAAACAAAACTTTGTTGACGTTGAGAAAAATTGGCACGTCTGCTCATATCGGATGTCAATCAGAAAAGAACCTTACCAAATATAGGTAGTGTTAGGCTAGGGTATGGTCGGAAGTTCGCCACAGATGATAACACCAGATGTCTAAAACGAGCTTCCCACTGCATCTCTGTTACAGCTGATTTATCAAACATATGTGTAATTAGCTAAGACACTAAGCCGAGCTTAGATATATTTTAAAGCATGCTTCTAGGCCGAACTAAACTATCTGGTCGCTACAGGCGCCGTTACAAAACCCCCCTGCCGCAATCAGACTAGGGTATTTCATTCTAGATACCCTAGGCTGATACCGCCTGGAGTGACGTCATTGGCGAATGTCTTTGGCGTGATAATTACCCAACAGTCGCCCTTGCAAATCTTCAAGCTCGTAGTAATTATTACCTATCTTTCTTTTAATGCGTGCTTTTACGAAGGAAGGTCCAAATTTGGCGTTGTAACCTGTTTGAAAGCAACTCTGCTTGAAGTTACGTCGAAATACCTCCTGTCCTACCACAAAAGATACTTCTCTTGAACGTAAGTTGTATCTCTTTTCGTTACGATCGTGAGCTTTCTGCATTTGCTTACTAGCTTCTTCGCGAATTATCTGGAAAGAATCCTGTCTATTAAACAATAGCGAGCGGTCGTCTAGCATATTCAATTTTCTTAACAAAGCATAAGTTGATCCTGAAGTAACCATATGCTGACCAAAAGCCATATAGTATGGTGTGGTACCAATACTAGAATGAAACGAAGATCGTAAGGCACAACATATCTTGTTCAAATACTCATCCCAGTCTTTTTGATCAGGACGCAAGTACGCTCTAATAGCTGAGATGACAGAACGATTTACGCGCTCAGAAGCGTTGGCCTGAGGCGAGTGAACAGCTGTTAGCGTGTGTGAAATTTTGTACTGCTTCATAAGTTTCTGAAATGCTACAGAACGGAATTGTGACCCGTTGTCTGATACGACAGTTTCTGGAACACCAAATGTCATAAATAGTTCGCCTTCAAGGTACTTTATTACGACATCAGCATTTATCTTTCTAACAGGTTTTAAAAATACAAATTTAGAGAAATGATCGAGGACAATGAAAATGCCTATGTTTCCACTTCTCGATCGAGGGTAAGGACCAAGAAAATCAATGAAAATTCGTTGGAAAAGCCTAAAAGTTATTGGTGCTTTTCCTAAAGTCGGTCTGAGAACTTGATTTGGTGATTTGGTTGTTTTACATGTCTCACAAGCATTGATATATGCTTTGATGTCAGGCACAAGACGAGGCCAAAAATAATATCTTCTAACACGCTCGATAGTCTTATGGATGCCACCATGGGAGGCCAAAGGACTGTTATGTGCTTGGAAGAGGACTTCAGGTATCAATTCTGTCGGTATCCATAACTTCCAGGCATATTCATCGTGAACCTTTTCACCTGTCAAATGTTCTGCTTTTCTGTAAACATAGCCGTCTTCTGTTTTTAAGTCAGGGAAATTTACTTTATTTGCCGAAACTTTTGCTACCAAATCTTGATACGCAGCAGATTTAAAGTGCTCTGAATTTAAATCAACCAGCAACCCTTCACGAAAATCTAATGCTGCTACTTCATCTTCGTTAACGCGAGACAAGGAGTCGGGAACGATGTTTAAAGAACCTTTTCGATGCTCAATCTTAAATCGAAATCTTTGAAGAGATAATGCCCACCGAGCTAAACGAGAACTAAGGTCATGATTGGACATGAGCCACTTGAGCGATGCGTGATCGGTGATGATGGTAAATTCGTGTCCTTCCACGTATGCTCTAAAATTCTTCAGGGCTACTATAGCTGCTAAGCACTCCTGTTCGGTTACGGTATAGTTTCTCTGCGCACGATTTAGTTTCTTCGAAATAAAAGCTATCGGACGTTCGTCTCCCTCTTGAGATAATTGTACCAAGACGGCACCGACACCAGTCTTGCTAGCATCACAATGGATGGCGAACGGCTTAGAAAAATCCGGGCTACTCAATACCGGAGCTTCACTAAGACGACTCTTCAGCGCTTCGAATGCCTTCAGTGCTTCAGGAGTCAAACAGAATTTACGTTTTGTTGTCATCAAGTCGGTTAAGGGAGAAGCAAGAGAGGCAAAATTTGGTACAAATTTGCGATACCAGCCGCATAATCCCATAAAACTCCTTAAACCTCGTAAAGTTTTAGGAACAGGAAATTCGGTAATTGCTTTGACCTTATCAGGATCTGTTCGGATTCCGCCATCGCCAACAATATGGCCAAGATAACGCACCCGTTGCATACAGAAATGACTTTTGCCAATATTGATTGTCAATCCTGCACGCTTGATGTGAAATGCGATCTCTCTGAGAACGTCAAGATGACTGTTAAAGTTGGAGGAAACCACAAGAAGATCGTCTAAATAAACGAATACTTCGTTTCTTAGATGCGCTGGAACGACTTTGTCCATTAAGCGAGACATAGTACTTGTGGCATTGCATAGGCCAAAAGGCATTACCTTAAATTGGTAAAGAGGCCTACCGGGGACTGTAAACGCAGTCTTGTCTCGAGAATTAATTTCTAAAGGCACCTGCCAATAAGCATCTTTCAAGTCCAAGCTTGAAATATATTCCGCCTTAGGCAAACGACTCAAAATTCCGCTGATTTGAGGAAGCGGATATGCGTCTTTCTCTGTAAAGCTATTGACTTTTCGACAATCTAAACAAATTCTAACTTTACCAGGTTTGGTAACCATCACTATAGGGGAAGACCAAGCGCTTTCCGATTCTTCAATTACGCCCATTTGCAACATCCTGTCAATTTCGGCGTACATACTCTTCTCAACAGCTGGCGACACTGGAAAATGGCGCTGTTTAATCGGCTTCGCTCCACCCACATCTATTGCATGAGTTATTAAATTCGTTTTTCCAAGTCCTTCCTGCGTGAATGACGGGAAACAATTGATGACATTGCCAAGCTTTGCTTTTTCCTCAGCAGACAAGTCGTGTTGATCAACTTCGACCTTGCTGCTAGCTTCGATAGTAGTTTCTAACTCTGATATATTAAGGTTTTTGGGGAGAAGATCATATAGTCTCCAAAAATCTATACCTAAATAAAGATCATGTTTCAAAGACGGTACTAGGTAAATATTTAAAGGTTTTCTCTTGTCTCCATATTCTACGTCAATTTCCATTCTTCCTACTACTTTCTGAGGTCGTCCATCTGCTGTTTTGGCTTTAATGTTTAATGGCTTGTATTCGGTATCATTCGCCATAACTTCTTTAGCTAGATCTCCTCCAATACAACTTATTGAGGCCCCTGAGTCCAGCAAACCAAAAACAGTACGGTCTAATAAGCGAATCGGCAGAAATGGTCGTGGATCTCTTGATCCCGTAGGGAGAGAACAAATATATTTCAACCCGAGCCTACAGCTTTTAACATTCTGCCAAAACCTTTTAATTCTTTCGGCGCTGCGAGACTTACGGATTTCTAAGAGATGTTCAGAAAACACAGTAGGAGTTAAAATCTGAGGTAACTTTTTAAGTTTACAATGCAGTAGAGAGCCGACATTGCTTTTTGATACGTCCGGGGAAGTTGGTGATGCGACTAATGGTGCATTCACATCTGATCGGTCATAGTTGATTGGTGACGAGAGGCATTCAAAGTCTTCGGTTTGAACTGCGACTTCGAACTGCCGGGCTTTAAGTTTTTTGAGCACTTAACGCAGTTTGGCTTATAGGTGTTAGCGGTTCCGCAACCGTAACAAAATACGCGCTTCTCTGATAAGCAATCTTGGTATCTGTGCCCTTCTTTGCGGCAATTCCAGCATACCAAGGAAAATGCGTCCACCTCTAATTCACTTTCGGATTCGGACCCATTCTGAGAATCTGGCTCTTGAATAAGCTCTGAGACTTCTCGTCTAAACGGTGTGTTTTTACTGTATCCGTGAGAGCGTTTGACATCGTCTAGAAAAGCTTCGCGTCGACGACAAGTTTCTCTCAACTCAGATACTGAAGAAATGTCAACATTCAACAATTCATGGCGTATTTCGGGTCTCAAATTGTTTTTGAGAATTCGGACAAGTTTTCTCGGCGACCATGGTACTTCTAACTGATCGACTAATACGTTTACACTATCGTAAAAACTATCAAAAGATTCATTGGGCTTTTGTTTTCTGTTTCTGATTAACTCTTCTACATCAATATCGTCCCTTTTTTGACGAAATTGCAATCGCAAGGCAGAACATAATCTATCCCAACGTACTTCGGTTACCGATTTATGGTAACGCCAATAAAATTCGTTGGCTTTGCCCTCGAATAAGACGCTAGCATTTCTGCAAAGCACTGAGAAGTTGCCTTCAAGTGTCTGATGCGTCAGCGCTTCGACTCTGTAAATAAAATTGTCTATCGATACACCTGATCCGGAATATTTTATCTTCCATCCATTCAGGATATGCACGACCTTGTCGGGTCTATTTAAGAGATCAGAAGGGATACTTCTATGAGAACTTGGAGAACCTAAGTTAGGCGCGACAAAATTTGTGTTTTGGATATGTTCATTGCCAGAAATTGGTCGGTCTAAGGGTGGTGGAGTAGCTGACCTATCTCTGTCATTCGCATTGGAGCTAGATGGAGGGGAGATTAATCTCTGAATACTGTCACTCACTGAAGTTTGTATTAACTCAGTCATTTTCTCTGACAACACTGTGAGCAGTCTTCGCTCCATTGAGAGTAACGTCATTGCATTAGCAACATTAGCTGGATCTACATCCCTACTGCTACTACTATGAGCGCCTCCTGACGTACCAGGGACGTTTTCAGATATATTTCTATCATCAATACTTTCTGTGCCACGACTTTTAGATTGGGATCGCGTTTGTAAACCTTTACTCTCGGCTACTGGCCTGCAAGAAATTCTGCATACTGGACAGCTTTCACTTTTCTTCAAATGTGCCTCAATACATTTCTTGTGAAATTCGTGATGGCATACAGTTTCAAATAAATCGGTTGCTGCCTTAATATCTGCTTTACATAACGGACAGACTGGCTTTGCACCTCCTTGCGATGCTTTTCCCGGAGAACGGTCTAATCCCATTTTGAAAATTTATAAAAATATAACAAAAGCAAAAAAAACAAAATGTTGTATCCTTAATTTCCAACGATTTAAACAACAGCTCAAAACCAAAATAATTTAAAACCAAAATGTTGTATCATTAATACCAAATGATTTCAACAACAGCTCAAAAAGAAATAAAAAGATAAAAAAAAAAATGTTGTATCATTAATATCAAATGATTTCAACAACAATCGGTAACTCTCACGATATAAACTGTGGTTATAATAATAAAGATAAAGCTTTAACTCTAGCTTGATGTCCACAACTCGTAGGATAAAAATTTTATTTACTACTAACATTTCTCAGGAAAGAAGAAAAGAATACAGATGAAGTGAATTTCTTGCCTTTCTTACTACAAGAAAATTCAATAAGGGAAGTAATTAGGCTTTAATAAATATGAAACGGATAAGTTATTCTTAAAAAAAAAAGTTCTTATGTTCCAGTCTCAACTCACATAAGTCTAATTCCTCTAAGAAAAAATTATAAATAATTCTTTCTAAAAGTCAACCGTGGATAGGGCACTTCAGTAAAACAATGCCTCTATTTTCCGAAACGCCTAAGCTTGAAGAAAGCATTTATTTAAGTAAGTGTGAATATTGTAGTGATTTGGTAAACCAGCAAGGGCCAGAAGATCAATCGCAATTTGATACTCTCTGTATTTTCCTCAGACTAAGTTTTCCTTATCATCACATACAAAAGGAAGGAAAATTCTTACACGGACTTTTAATTAAGGCCAGACGGAAACTAATGTTCACTTGCTCTGTTATCCATAATAAATAAAAATCAACATAAGAGATTTTGATCAGAAGTTAAAGTTGAAATAAATGAAAGAAAGAAAAGAGATTGAATTTATCTATCGGTGAGTCTTAATGAGGTAATACTGTACTCACTAAGGCCCCACACGTTGGGCGCCACCTTCCTTAATAATAATAATAATAATAATAATGATATTATAACTGTAGCGTGTAACGAAGGTATTCTGTGGTGAGTTCTAGGATCTGTCCTTGCGGGTGCACACTATAGGGTCCGGCTCTCGCTCGTCTGCTTTGGGGGTGGAGGTCTTGCTTAGACAAATCCGCACACTAGCTACATATTATTACTTTTAAGACCAGAATTGAGTGTGCTGACGAAAATAAATGCGAGATATCAAAATCAGAAGAGAAATAGATAAAATTCAAAAAAAACAAGAGATAGAAAGGATCGAGAAAAGTTAGAATCAGCGATGCCACAGATGTTGTCGTGGTCGCGAAATGCCCACCCTACCTATGATCACCATCCTTCAGAGCTAAACTCCGGTGACCCCTAATACCCTACGATTGTGGAAGCATCAGCCGAGTTAAAAAAAACGTGAACTACTCGAAATTCATTTCAAATACAATTTAATTAATAGTTATACAAGAATTCATTATTGTTATTTGCTAACAGGTAGATACTACCAATTTTATATAAATATAATAAATGATATAAAGGCGATAAAAATACTATTTAGATACTTAAATATTTAAATGATGTTATCCTCATAAATTAAAGTAGTTATAATGTTCGTATATATTTAAAAAGATAAGAAATAAGAAAAATATAGGGTATTCAGATATCGTACTTCATCAATAAAAAAATATTACTCTTGTATAACAATAGATATTTAAATTTCATTGCTTTAATTTATTTTTTTATTTCACTAAATCATCTTCATTCTGTTTGATATCTTTTTGTTTAATTTAATTTAGTTTAGTGAGGCTATCGGTTCAGGGTTCTTTTAAATTCACAGTTTCATTCAAGTAGATTGTTAAAAATTATTTCATAGAGTATTTCGCAATAAGATATAAATAGAATAGATATAAATGCAATAATGAGAATAATAAACTCACAGCTTATACGTTGTTCCAGCGGCGAAAGATCGATCTCCCGGGCAGGTGGCTGTAAAGGGTGAAATTGGGGCTCGAAAACACAAAACTATTCTATAAAAATCTTTTAACTTGGAACCCTTTTAGGCCTACATATTTTACTGAGAAGCGACTGTGATATCTTCACTTAACCACATTTTTAAATTTAATATTCACTATTGTTTCTTATCAGAAGTTGCTATTTTCAAATTATATTTAAATTTACAAAAAAAAAATAAATATTTAATTTATCGCTTTTAAGTCATAGTTGAGCGAATTTTCCAAAACAAAATCGATGCGTAAATAACTCCACTCGTGAAAAATTAAGTTTTAAATTTAATTTAATTTAAATATTACGTTTTAGACTGAATCATTCAGACTTTAGAAAATATCACTTAAACTTGATTTTTACGGCATGTTGCTATCTTTGATTCATTAAATTTTCTTCACTTTGGCACGTTTCAAAACTTTCAAATTTTTAATTATAATATTTCACTTTAAAAAAAAATCGCAGTAGCGGCTTAAAAGCAATTCCAGGTTATATATTCCCTTTTGTGTCCATATTTGGCTATACTAAATCTGCTGCTGCTGCTGCCGTGGGTAGAGAGGGTTAAACATCTCTCCAAATCACTTCTTTAATGCCGCATTCTTGAATTTAATTCCAGTTGAAACTCCTCATTTTTCTTGTCCGATTTAATTTGGGGCACGATATTAAATCATGCCCCCCACTGTCTTGAAGGGGAGCTCCCACGGATGCCAGTATTGATGGCCACGTGAGAAATATATATATCATATATATCTAAAGAAAATCTGGGGTTAGAATTGATAAAAAATCTACTTCCACCACTTACATCTCAATAGTTTTCCAAAATTAATCACAAAAATATTACTCAGCTAGGCTCGCTGCACTTATTCCTCTTATTATTTTCCACGATTTCAATATATAGTATTTAAACAAAACTTTGTTGACGTTGAGAAAAATTGGCACGTCTGCTCATATCGGATGTCAATCAGAAAAGAACCTTACCAAATATAGGTAGTGTTAGGCTAGGGTATGGTCGGAAGTTCGCCACAGATGATAACACCAGATGTCTAAAACGAGCTTCCCACTGCATCTCTGTTACAGCTGATTTATCAAACATATGTGTAATTAGCTAAGACACTAAGCCGAGCTTAGATATATTTTAAAGCATGCTTCTAGGCCGAACTAAACTATCTGGTCGCTACAGGCGCCGTTACAACAAGCATGCAAAAAAATACAAAATAAATACACAAATAGAAAAGGATTACAAAAGTGAAATAGGCCAAAAGAAGAAATAAATTTAAGTGCTTAGCTAATAAATTGAGTGTGTTGAAACAGTCGGAAGATAAAGTGCTTAAACAGTCGCAAGAAAAAGTGTTCAAACATTGCCGTCAGTTAAACTTTAAATATAAAACCAAGTGCCACCATTTCACTCGGAGTTGGAGTCGTCAAATTTGCTGGTAAATTATTCAAGCAAGTTTATTTTTTCGGGGGAATGGCTGCTTCCTGAGATCCTGGATCCTGGATCCTGGGCCTTCATAAAGTTATACAAATTATTGCCTTTCAGACTGCCAGTATGGCTGGCTTTAAACTTTCGGTTCACGCCGCGCTCGCATTAAATTTCCTATTTTGTTGTTTTCCTGCCTTTTATTTCCTTTCCGCTATTCGCGTGGCACATGCGGCGTATACGCAATGTATCTGCTTCTATTGTACTTGTGTGTGCGATTGTAAGCGTGTGTGTGTGTGTGTGTACATCTGTGTATAACCTACATTTTTGTGGTCCTTGTTGTTTTTCCACTGACAGGCTGACAGTCAAATGGTACCGAAAACAGGATCTTGAGCTGGGAACCCGAAACTGTGTCTTTGCCAGCGGAAAGTGAATTTAATGGATTTACGGCCAAGTTTCTTGTTTGCTTCGCTTAAATACTGACTGATCCACAAGTTGGCGTTGGTGTATATTAATTTTTGTATTATGACCAAATAGTTTGGGCCAAACTTGGTCTCTATTTGGTATCGCCAGCGTTTGTCTTCATCAACTGGGGCTAACTTTTACCAAGTGATTGTTGATTTTGTTTGATTTGCTGTTTTTGTTTTGGTTGTAGCTGTTGGCTTTATTTGATTTTAGTACTTTGGCAAAGTCAACATTCGTTAGCAAAAATTTCGCTCACGTTCCATTCGACCGAGTTCTCGATTTCATGAGTTTTGGATGCTGCTGGTCCGTGGCTCGTGTTTGCTCCTCTGTTCCGCCGCTTAGCCGTCACTCCTCTGTATATATCCCCACATACTATATACATATATATATTTCTATTCCGATTCCTGTTTGTGTCTCCGACAGACTGTCGCTCCCCTGTTTGTTTTCAGCGCCTCATGCACAGTGCATACTGTGCGGAGTACTCAAATAAATATATGTACGAGTATATACAAATCGGGTGGATATATATGCGCACTGGTCCGATGTAGTGGCGGTGGTGAGTGGAGCTTAGCGGAGCTGTCCTTAAGATTATTTATGCGGTGATTAGCCGCGCTGAATTATTGCTGAAATTATCAAGTGTGCTATAAAATTTCACTGCCATTTATTTGCGCAACTTTTGGCGGGGCTCACGTACTAACCGAACACCCAGTTATCCCCCAACCCATCCCTCCATTTGCTCCACTTGCTCCACTTCACTCCGCTTCAAGCGGTGCCGTCTCATGTGTATCGTTTGGGCCCGGGATTCCTGGTTCAGATTCGGGTGTTTCGGGTGCGTGCGAGTGAGTGTAACAAATTGCCGGAGTTTGATTTTTAAGTGTGAAATATCGCACAGCGAAATTGGATTAATTACGCTGGGGCCCGCTTAGATTGCGTTGGCTTAAAAGCCAAAAGCGATGGCAAGCTCAGCATTTAAGGTTTAAAGTCTCTGAGTTGAGCTGGGAGGAGATCAGTAACAATAACCAGTAAAATGTGTTAAATGTCTGCTTCAGTTACAATAAAAGTTCCTAAGGCGACTTGGAATGTATCTCTTATTCGTTTGATAATTTCAAACTAATCAGTTATGACTCAAACAGGTGATAGAGTTATAGAATAATTCAAAATAATGCATAAGTTATCCCAGAATAAATAGTTTATGCCCTTCGCAATGTCCATGTGTTAGCAAAAGCTGATAATACACTTATCTGAATTATTTGTAAGCCTGCCAAAGTTTCTGTAGGTTCCAGAGATGGAAGTCGAACAACCAAACATAAATAGCTTTTAGAGCCAAATAAGGATTATCCTGCTGGGCCGAAGGAAATGAGATTTTCCAGAAGCACTTGGCCCCGCCCACTTTCAACAGCGCCCACTTAGCCGGCAACTAATTGCCTAAGCCCCAACCTGAATCCAAATGAGAACCAGAAGCTGGATCTGCGGCCAGTTCAAAGTCTGGGCTCCTCCGAGATTAATTACATTTAAATAAACACGAATGTCTGCAAACATGGCCAAGACCGCAACAGTTACATGAACAATTCAACCGGACAGACAACAATAGACAGCCAACAACTTACTCATCTTGTTTCAATTCAATTGAATCAGTTTCATTTTGCTACTTTAAGCTGATTACAGCCAGAATTTGGGGCTGAGTTATATATAAAGTGTATTGCGTAAACTATATTATTAGCTTTTGTTGCAAAACCAGCAGATTTTACTTAGCAGCAAATGTTTTGCATTTGATGAGGGTCTTCAGACGAACAGAAAAAAAAAACAGTGGTGTTCAAAAAATTAAATTTAAATACTAAATGGTTTTAATAAGATTAACCTATAAAGTGTCTGTGAATTATATTTCTCAAAGAGTATAAATAAATTGATGCAATCTCTTAACTTTTAATTTATTTCGATTGGCTTAGACAATCCCTGCTGGACTTTATTATTATACTGACCGCTGCTGTATAAGTTATATCTGTGGTAAATGAAAGTCAAAGCCGGGTTTAATGCTGGGTTTTAGTGATAGCAATGGCGAGCCTCTTGCATATGGCAAATGCCCAATGATTTATGGCTGGAACGGGACGACGCAGTCAGCAGACTTTTGTCCCGCTCACAATTGGTGGTGAAAAGCGTGAAAAACTGTCGGCCACATGGAAAATCTCTGTGTGAGTGGGGTAATGTGGGAATGTGGCAGAGTAAATTCAATTTTACGTTTCACAACTCAGCATGATTTCTATCACGGCAGGGGAATCCCCTTTTCCACATTGTGTACCGCAAACTGATTGCTTTCGGTGGTCCCTCGACTGTCTGTGTGTTAGAAAGCCTCGGTTTTTTGGTGTGTGGGTGTGTGGGTGTATGGGTGTGTGTTGGTTTGGGTGTGGGTATCTGCCGCCCCCCAAAAGCGGGCTACATAAAAAAATCACTAAAAACTTGTAAAAGCATCAAAGCGCACTTTCTGAGCTCTCAGCTCGAAAAGTTGGGCTTGTTCGGTCCTTTGTTGTTGTATCCTTAGTGTTTCCTTTACTGCTCCAGTTTATGCTATTATTGCTATTGTTGTTGTTGTTGTTGCTGGCGGTGGAAAGTTCACAACTTTTCAAGTGAGTTTTGAGGGCGCTTTTTGGGGCTAGCTATTGGCGAAATTGCTTTCTGATAGCTTGCCTGGTGTATTTATGCAGTTTTAATGAGAGCTGCTTGAGGAGAGGTTGTTGTTAATACAGGAAATTAATAAGTTAAGTAGCCATTAGGTGGCTAAGTGCAAAGTTCAATCGGTGAACTTTGGGCCATAAATGGTTTAAAATCACTAAGGTAAACATTTAGGATACACTTATTTGAATTGTTTTTGGCAAAGGTGAATAATCTCCTTTTTTCTGATAAAAAGTTTTATGAGTGAAAATCTATGAAAATTTTAAAAAGTAATCTTAATTTTGTTTTTGATAGATTTTTACTAATTTACACATATTAATACTACCTTTTATTTGGAATGCTTAAATAATTTTCCCAGTGCAGTCTGAGAAGAAACACAAGCCTCTCTAGTCTGCGTTTTCTGGAAATCTTTTTGGTTTCTTTTATTTTTGTGACTGCTGCTTAAGCCGCGTTTTATTTTCACTTGAGGCAAGTGCAGTCATCTGTGAAAATATTGGCAAAACTCAAACAGCGCCAGCATTTGACATAAATCCTTATTATCCCTTTGTGCACAAATTGACATTGCACTTGTAAGGCGATTGCCGAGACTCTGCTTGACATCCCCGCTCGCATCCCCTCTGCAGGCGCCTCAGAGCCCCTGGATGCCACCCAAGTTTTATCTGTGGCTTTGTTTTCACTGCCAATGCAGTGGGAGTGGCATTAGCAGCCCCAGCTGACAAATGCAGGAAGCCCCGGCAGTCCTGAAAGTCAGCTCCGTCCTTCGCACGTTCTCGCTCTTAATTGTGACTGACACACCGCTGCACAGAACGAAATGATAATAAAAGCTTGGATTAAAGCTAAGCAAAATTTAAACCATTCTTCTTGCGTAACTTTAACCAAAGTTTTTCCTAAAAATTCACATTTGTTAAACTCACTCGTGTTTGTTATACAGAAAGCTACTAGAATAATAAATCATTGCATGTTCTCAAACCCCTTTTTTTTGCTCAGTGTGCCCTCATTCGCGTAGAGTGCACGAAATTAAAATTCATAATGTTGACTTTAATGGGGCTAATGCTGAAATATCAAAGCTGCTGGCTTAGGTGGCAGCGAGCACATCTCATAGATTAGCCGGGCTGCCATGTAAGCGAAGCCAGGAAAATCCTGGCCAAAAGGCGTCTTCTTCCTGTCAGCCTCGCTGGCATTTTATTATGCGACACGCAGCCCAGCCACCTTGGCCCAAAGAGCAATGGAGCAGGCACCCAACTTTGACGTTATTAAATTATGCGGAGATTTGCGCACTTTTTTTTTTATTTTTGTATTTTTGAAAGGCTCTTGACGTTGTTAATGATGAGCCAGCTACTCCCACCCATCCGCCTGCCGACTAGGCCGAAATTAAATTATTTTATTGCCGGAAATTCATTAAATCATGCCTTTATGCAATTTCCAGACTACATTGCCGGCATACCCAAGTGGGGAATCTGTCAATTTATTGGCCTTTTCGGACTGATAGACAGCCTGTCGGCATTTTTGTCGGTCGGGGCCACGCCCACCTCTTTGCGGAAACGCCTTTGATTAGTACGTGCCGTTGTTAACATTTCCATTATGCTTGTTATAACGTTTATTTTATTGTTTGCCCGGCCGCGGAAAATCGATTGAGTTGTGATCTATTTCCAGACACATGCTCAAAGCCAAAAATCCCTAGCAACGCGACGAGACAATGCAAATCTGACACCGCCAGCGGAGTGGAATTTTATTTATGTTTTCACTGGACGGCGGCAAAAACCGAACCGAACAAAATGGCACCGAGCCGAGAGTTTGAGCCAAGAGCTTAGTCCCGGCGAAAGGGAAAAAACCAAAACAATCATCAAAATAGAATCATAAAAACAGTTAGCAACGATCATA